GAATTGAAAATTGAAGTCAAAGCAACGTGAGCTCAGTAGTAAAATGATAAGAAGATTCATACGAAGGTAAATCGTAATGATTTCCTTGGATTTCATTGCAAGCCATAAGGTTATGGAGCAAAGGATTGCGACTGGTATACTAAGAACATTCTGACAGTATATAATCTGAAGAATTTTAGACGCTACGACAACTTTGTTCGTTAAGTTGCTGAATGTTTGGGCAGATAAGAGATGAAATAGAAGAGGTAAAAGTAATGGAATAAACAGATAAAGAACCAGGCAACTTTGAGTTTAAAAGAAAACCATTGAACGCTTTTTAGCTGTTTTAGCAGGTAAGGTGTTGCAGAATATAGACGCAACAATGAACCCCGCCAAGTGTTCGAATGGTAAACAGCGAATGAAAGGATGATATAGACGTATGCCGTCAAGAGAATAGAAAGAATGAGAAACGACTATGCTAGGACTTAAGAGAAAGAGAGCAGAAAAGGCCAGCAGGAAGATCAGAAATGGGACATGTAGCATTTCTAAGCAAAAAACTATCCAACTCCGCCAGTGAGCGATTTATCCTATGTATCTGACGTCAAGCAGTAAAATAGAGTAAAGAAACCTCGGCATTGTTAAAGACATTCGATGTAGCTGGAAAAAGAAGAAATAGAGGCTGAACAAAACTGTTTAAGTCATGAACCATGCCGCACATATACCGATGTAAAAGCGCTTGTAATAGGTGTATGGTGAGAAAACGTGCTTAGAAAACATGTTAGAGTCGTGAAGTACATTCTGAACCATAGAAATAATTTTTGGTTCATTTACAAATGAAGTCTTTGGAACAAACATTTAAGGTTCAGATGAATCTTGAAAAAATTCATGAGGTTTGTTTTGATGTGTTGTTAGAGCATGTGTGAAGAAAACGTGTTAGACAGAACATGTTAGATCTAACATTCTACATAAAATATATTTTTGGTCATTTACAATGAGTCTTGGACAAAAACTGATCCAACATCAGAAGATTTCCTTCTGTCTGGAACGTCAAGAAGAGAGTATAGGAAGAAAAAGGAACTTTCGCATTGTTAAAACATCGATGTATGCTAAAAGGAAGAATAGAGGCTACAAACTGTTTAGGATTTCAAATATTATACATCGTCAATTAATTGGTAAGGCACGCTTGTGAAGAAAAGAAGGTGAAAAACAGGTGCAGATCGCACCACTTCCCTAAACTTTATTTTTGCTGGAAAAATGACAATATGGTTGTCTGTGAGTTTCCGAAATGAGAGAATAGAAGGGTAGTTGCGTTTATTTTGTTATTGTAATTTATTTTATTTTGGGTTGTAAGAACAGAGAATTGACAAACATTGAGTGTTGACAAGCAGTTTAGAAAGATAGAGCAAGTGACACCAAAGTGGTTAGAAAATAGGTGATATTAAACGTAAGATGACTCAAAAGAAATACAACAATAGTTCTTTGTCAGACATTGAATAGTGTCTCCATGCTGGAAAGAAAGCAAAGGACTGGGGTTCATAAAATTGCTGTGCTACTCAGAAAAATTTTGACATAGAAATCCTGAGCTTATGATAATCGGTAAGGATTCTAGTGGAAGGCTGCAGCATAGTTCTGATAGACAAAAGTCTTATCAACCAATAGTTTTTGTTGATGGTTAGGATCCCAGTGTGTTGAGTATAACTTCATAAACCATGACTGGTTCATATCGATAGGAACGTTGCAGTGAAGCTTACTTTACATGTTCAGAATCCGAAGACTTCAATACAAAAAGATATAAATAGGAAGAACATATAATATAACTCAAAAGATATGACAGTACAGGTCAAGTATAGTCAAGGGTTGGTTTGCTAGATGATATGGAGAGCTGCTGAAACAGAACTGACTGCGAAAAGTTTGAGAAAATGTGATGGTGCTGGTCCCATAAAGTAACAGAAACGTTGTGAAGTAGATGAGATAGATAAAAGCTATAACAATTTGACTGAAGTTGCTGAAAAAATACGATGTAAAAGCGGTTTATTTTCTGGTCTTTTGTGATAGAAGAAAATAAAGTTTAGGTGTTCATTTTTTTTTATTTTGTATGTCAAGGATATGATTTCAGGATTTTTTTGACGAAAGTGTCAATGTTCACATTCGTCAAAAAATAACAGTTATCTTAATGAAGAAGTGTTCATTGTTTATTTTTTATTTTTATGTAGAGATATGATTGCAGGGATTTTTTTGACTAGAGGGTGTCAATGTTCACTGGTGCACAATAAAATAACAAGTTTATCTAATTGGAAAAAGTGTGCATTTTATTTTTTATTTTGTATGGGTAAGATATGATTGTTCAGGGAGTTTTTTTGACGAAGTGTCGAATGTTCACTTCGTCAAAAAGAATAAACAGTTATCTAATGAAAAAGTGTCATTTTATTTTTTTATTTTGTATGCTAAGATATGATTTCAGGATTTTTTGACAAGTGTCAATGTTCACTTCGTTCATAATGTAAAAGATAAGCGTTTACGCATGTAAACGCTTTGTGAAAGAAACAGGTGAAAAAAAACAGGTGAGATCGCCAACCTTTCACCTTAAACATATGTTTTTGCTGAATTTCCGTATTGAAAACAGTGAAAAGAACAGCGAGTAGAGGTAAAAAAACTTAGTCGCAAAACTCTATGAAAATTCATGAGAGCACAGCGAGAACCGGACTTTTTTTCGGGTCTGCCTAAACTCATGAAAATCATGAATTGTCCTTAAGATAGAGAAATAAAGTTAGTTTTATTTTTATTATTTTTGTTATTTGGGTATGTGAAGAGACAGAATGTTCAACAACAGGAACACAACACTGCGTATCAGCTTCATGAAGCCATAAATGAAGAATACTGAGTGAGGGTTCAGCTTTAACAACAACTACCGTCTCCATTCGTTCGGTCAAGAGACGATATGTACAAATTGCAAAGTATTGTTTGACAGCAATGTTTATGCTCCAGACACGTAAAGACAGCGCAGACGAACTGGGTTCAAAAAGCCAACAAGACACAAGCAAGACCTTTTGAGTGAAATTTCTCTAGACCGAGCTTTTTTCGGCCATGCCAGCTAAACACTCAGGAAAATGTAAAAAATTTGCCATTAAATTTAAGAGGATATTAATAGTACAATAGACTTTTAGTAAATGCAGTTTGCAATGTGGGCTTCTCCTCGTTATGCATGGCATGTTTACACAGACTTCTTGACGAAATCATCAGACAGAAGTGATAGAGATGGAAAAAGAAACTTTCAAGCAAAAGATGAGTGCATGTAAGCAAAAAGACAAAAGCATTGCAGAAAAGAATACCACGTTCAGCGTACCAAAAGGAAAGGAAAAGAGAACTATAAGTATAATGATTTTAACTGAAGGAGATGGAAAATGAAGAAGATAAAGTGTATTGGTGTATCGTTACATTTAAGTCAGAAGAACAGCAAGAGCTTTTACGACCTTGCTAAGATTTACGAAATTCTGACAGAAAATTGTTCTATACGCAGAAAACTTTACCGATTTTCCAATAAGACACCGAATGAAGAATGTGGAACAAGATAGTTCAAGATACGTTACGCTTCAAAACACACTATGTGATATTAAGGTTGGTACAAATTACTTAACAGTTCAAAGAAATTGCCATTGTTTGTAAAGGGAAAAAATACCACGAGTAGTTTTGACAACTTCAAACAAAGAAGTAGAAAAATGAACCTCTTTATTTATTCAAGCCTTGACTTTTAACAATTTGAACTTTGTTTGCGTAGATATGAATTCTGAAAGAAGTAGTAGGGTGCTTGATAATGACTTCTGTACTTCTCCCATAGTGTTCATGTCCTGGTCTAACTTACCTGCCATGACTCTTTCATAAGTTCCATGAAATGCGTCTTCGGACAATTCCTAGGGAAAAGATTACGTAATGTCAGTAAGTATTCTTTTAAAACGGATCCTTACTGTAAACTCTTTGCTGTCGGTGTACACAAATGACAACTGATGATGTTAAGTGTTGAAGCTTCTTACGAATGTCGACACATATCATTTTCTCTATTCTTAAGCAAAGGACTGAGAAGCAAAGTCATCTAAGATAAGAGAGACATCTGATGAGGGTTAAGTCTGTGCCAATCGTAAGATTGCAATTTCTTCGAAATGTATTCTAATCTCTTCTGTTGGTGGTTTCTGAAGTTGTTTCTCTCTACTATTTCTCTGCATTTCCTTCATTTGGGTCTTTAAACTTCGAATTTTCATAGCTCATATTATAGGGCATTATACTGTCAAAATTCTTCTTCTTTGGTACTTCTTTATCCAATCTATAACAGGACCTCAGCTATTCCTTTATATACCTAGAGCTTATAGACATTCTTTATAATATCTTTGAACGAAATTGATACGTTATGGTCAAATGGACAGAAGTTACTAAACCCAATGGAACTTAACTTTAAAACTTTTTTTGTCATAGAATGGGGTTTCTTCTCATCTATTCTTGGTGTGTTGGTGCAAGGCCATTTTAAGATAAGTGAAAGTCTTACCCGACCCAGGTGGTGCAATTAGACCTGTTATACCATTCTGAGCAAATAAGAACTTGTCATGTATAGGCTTTATCTGAGCATTTTCTAACTTCCTCTTGTTCTTATTTAAAACATTCTCAAATTTCTTGTCAATGTCAGCAAACTTTTTTTCTAACATATTTTTAGAAAAATTAAAATTTTTATCTTTTAGAAAATGTCTAGCGATTTCGCTATCTATATTCGAGACAAGCTTTTCGACAGCAAAACATCTGTCGACCATAAAATCTTACATAGTGTAAACAAGAAAGGTGAATTTGTTCTAAAGTTCTGTTTCTGGGAATATGACAAGAACCATAAAACATTAAGCAGAGCAGTCTTAAATTTGTCAATGACAGACTTGTTGACAGAGATGACGCCGATTGGAAAGATGAAGTCCAACAAAAGTTCTTAGAATGCAAAGAAGACACATGCGCTGTTCTTGAAGATGAAATAGAAAAACAGAATAGATGAGCTATTAAAGGACAAAGAACTTTTACATAAATATAGTTGCGCCAAATTTGACATAACTCCACCAGAAAAGAAGAAGAAAGAAAAGAAAGAAAAGAAAGTAGAAGAAGAGAAGAAAGAACCTGAACCAGTTCCAGAGAAAAAGAAATTTGACATGTAAAAATAAAATTTTATTTTTAGAACATTTCTGGGTCAATGTCAATGTTCTCTCCTCTTTAGGAGTAAACACTGGCTTAGACTCTAAAATCTTTTTACCCATTTACCTTGAACTTCAACTATCTTAGACTCATAATATTCATAGTCGTCTGCTTTCTTTGGTTCATAAGGTATAACAAGTTTGTATGCTTTGCCTTCTTTAAGGTTTGAAAACCTTCTGTCAAAACTTTCTTTGACTGCTAACAAACCTTCTATGTCTAAGTCTTCAAATTTCGCACCATTTTTAGTCACAATAGCAAACTTAACTGGTTCGATGTTCCAAACTTTGCTGAATGAAGACTTTTCAAAAATGGTAGAAGTAAACATTCAAATATGTGAATGGGTCTAGTTCTTCTTTAAGTCTGACATGTACTTGTTTACTGAGATGAATTTTGCCATCTTTTCTATCGGATAAAAAAATATTTTTTTTTTAAATTTACTCATAAAAATTTTCTTTGTATATACACCATTCTGTACGTCTAAAAGACTTTGACATTTGCCAAAATGTTCGTTTAGACGCTGTCATATAACCATATTCTTGACAATATTGTTTATACGAATCGTACAATGACCTTTCATCTAAACACTCAAAGTCAGTTTCATCTATGAACAGTTCATATACACTCTTGTTTGCTTCTAACAATGTTTGGTCTCTCTTCGGTATGTGGAATTTGTCTTGGATTGAACTTTTGAAATATCTAATGTCATAAAATATGAGAACAAGTGGTTGTAAAAGTCAGATGTCAAAGTTTCTGCTAAGTCGTCAAAATATTCTGTATCTTGCATATGAGAATCTGACGTTCTGACAACTACATATCTTCTGTCAGAACTTTCTAACTTCATCGGAACAGCATTGTTTGAAACCATAATGAAGTTTGCAACATTTTCACAAACTCTTTGGTCTTTATATTTTCTTTCAACAACTCCAACTTTATCTGTTATAAGACTCTTCAAAGCATCTGAGTTTAAAACTTTTGTTGTATCTATACTTTGAAGTTCGTTACATACTATAAGTTTCATATTCTCTATTGAGGAGTTAAACTTGCCACAGATGTTTTCTAAGTTTGTCATATTCGGGTTCGAATAGCCCTCTAACAGTTTGCATAAGATATCTGTAAAGAATGTGTTCTTACCAGTTCCTTGTTTTCCAATTATAATGAGAGCAGTTTCATTTTTAGCACTTGGATGTTGTAAGATGTTTGCAAACCAACATAAGATATACTCATAGACTCTTTCGTTTCCATTGCATATAATTTCTTTGACATGGTCTAACCAAGCTTCTATAATATTTTCTTTCCATTCTACTTGTTCGTATTTATATCCAGTGAAGATAGAATAGAAGTTTGGAGAAGGTGTATAGAACTTTATACCTCGAACTGAAAAATCTTCTAACTTTGACAATAAGATATCCCAAGCATCTAACATCTTCATGCCAACTTGTACGACTTTTATTTTCTTAAGTTTCTGTCTACATTCTTGTTTGAAACTATTGTTGCTTTAGGTTTGTTAAAGACTACATCCCATTCTTTCATAACATAACATTCTGGGGCAGAGTCGACATAAATGACTAAACGTTTCAAATTCTCGACTGCTTTGTTATAGTCTCGAAATGGACACATATTTCTGAATGCTTGGAAGTCATAAAAATCTGAAACATCTATTCTGTACATTTTTATAAAAATAAAAAAATATTTTTTTTATTCTTGACTTTGTTGTTGCATTTGTTGCATTTGTTGTTCTTGAGCTATTTGTTGTTGAAGTTGTTCTTGTAATACAATACTTTCACCAGTTGCATCTTCCAATTCGAAACTTTCTGCCGTCATTGACAAATACATAGGACATAAAAGTTTTACAGGAACAAAGTTTGCGTCAACTAATGTCAACGTTATACTTGCCAAAGTGTTTGAGTTCACTAAGGTTGAAAATTCTGCATTCGAATGAACAATAGGCAAACCAGCAGAGAAAGTATTGTTTATACGCATAAGTATCTTTTGGTCATAATAGTTTCTGTCGACATTCGAATAACACTTTGAACCTAAGTTTGAAACAATATATAAGATTGGTGTGCTTAATATCAATGGAATAGACATTCCTTGTATGACACCTTTTCCTGTTATAGGAAACTGTTGGTAGTAAAAACCAGAAATAAGTTTTGTATTATAGCTCATATCGTTTTATAGTAAACTCAGTCGGACATCCAAACATAATGAAACCTGCTCTAGTTGCGGCACATGTTACACCCGTCCTTAAAGTATTAAATAAGTCAACAAAACCTGTTGGTGGTATATCTGAGTAAGTATCTTCAAAGGAGTATTTTTTACCATTCACAACAATAAAGTCTTCTGGTGTCAAAAGAGCAAAACAGGCTTTAGTCGTCATTGTGTTTAAGGTTAGTTTACAATATCGTCCTTGAGGACTTTGTAAGTTTGTTGTTATAGAATTATATGACTCAGGGTTTTTAGTCGTAATAGTATAAACCATTATATCTTCTGCCATTTATATATATTTAAAAGTTTTTCTGAAAGTGGAGAAGAACTTCATCTAAACTTTCACATGGCGTTTCTTGAAGTTCTCTGTCTAAGAAGTTCAATATTTTGTAAAGACATAGAACTTTCCTTTGTCTACACGAACAAACAAAACAGGGTCTTTCATATCGTTCAAAAGTGTGTAAAGTCCTTTACATGAAATAAAGTCTATATTATTTTTCTTCAAACATCTTTCAAGAAGTTTTGACATTTTTACTTAGCAAATAAATTTTAATGAAATGTTGTGGTCGTCAAATATTTTTATGACGTCTGGGAAACTATACTTTAAGTTCAACGTTTCACCTCCTTTCATAACGTATATCTTGTCAATGACATTATATGAAACACCACAGCAACTAATGTCGGGTTCTATTTCTTTGATGTTTATATCGTCTGCCTCTGTCAAAAGTTTCAATAGTTCTTTCAAAACTTCATGAGGTGCAATGACATATGAGTTCACTTTTACAGGGTTGTGTTCGACCAAGTTTAACATTATACTTAAAGCTTGACAAATCTTCTCCTGAGTTTGAAGTTTGTCTTTCAGTTGTTGGTAGTCGTTTCGAATATCTGCAACAGAACTTAAGTCTCTGCTAACTTCAGGATATGTTGGTTCTTTTACAGGAACAATTGTTATACCATCTTCGTCTTCGTATGGTTTCCCCACTTCAACATCTCTGTCTTTGACATTGACAACAACACTTTGACTGTTTGTTTGAGTTGGTGAATTTAACTTCACATCTGCCACCGCCATTAAACCTTTTGAAACACTTACGCTTCTATTTTTTCGGAAATGACATTTTACTTAGAATAAAAAGATGGACGTATTCGAGTATCTCTTCGAATTGAAGCAGAACAAAGTTTACACACACAAACAATACAAATACATTGACAGAATAGTTCTTTATACAAACAATGGTAAATGTTATAGAATAGCAGTCTTTGCTGAACCAAAATATTTCCATAAAGCAAAGAAAGTTGGTATAACTGAAATGGTGAAAGTTCTTGACGTTGACAAAAATATAACAACAAAACTTACAGATATTTCTAAAGGTAAGTTTATCTTACAATATTATGTCAAAACTGGCGTACTGTCAATATTTGACGGAGAGAAGTCAGTTCAAGAACAACTTACTGACCTGCTGCCAAAATCTGCTCGATGGAAGCTGTCGTTATGCCAATCTGAGGAGCCCCAGCAGGTTTCATCGAACGAATCTTCAAAAGAGCATCTTCCGTGAAAAGTGCTATTGGTTTTGTAAACTTCTTTGCTCTCAGTTCATCTGGACCGTCTCTGTCACCAGTATATTGTATTTGTACAGTACCAACAGTTGAAATACCACCCATAAAGTCTTCTGAGTCAGCAAATGGAATGCCAAGCCAAAAGTTTGAACGGTCTCCATTTGTATATTGAGTTTTTTGACCTCCTGTATGAGTCCATACTTTCACATATGGCATAATAGAACTTTGCATTTCAGGGTTAATGGTTGTTGTGAAGTTGTTGTTAAAGTTCATAGCATCTAATGTCAAGTTGTATGACCTCATATCCTCAACTGTAGAATATTCTTCTCTTGGATAATATTTGCCATCTATGTTTATATGATATTTAATACCGGGGTTGTAGAAACAAGAATAGTCATTTATAGTTCGTCTGAACAGTACAAACATAGTATCTGCATGTTTCATTGCAGTTGTTAAAGCAATATCTGTTCTTGCACCTGGGTCAGCACTTTGGTTTCCAACTTCACCTGCAAAGTCTTTGACAGATATTTGGTGTATAGGGAACATAAGTGGAACTGCAATATATTTGGCAGCTAAAGCATTTGAAATATCTGGGTCCAACATATAGACTGCAAGTCTGCTTTCTATTCTCTTGCATTCAAATTTTTCGCATGTGAACTTAACTGGGTCCCAAGCAGTTCCAGCAGCATTGAAATAATAGTTTACTTCATTGTTGAAGTTTGAGAAACCAAAGTCTAAGTCAACTTTGTCTTTGCAAAATTCGGCGAATGACGTTTGATTTGTTCCCTTTACGTCTGTAATAGTGAATGGGTCTTGTGTTGGTGCAATGACTAAGTTATTTTTGCTTGGAGTAAGTTCGATAGAAATTTTTCCTGCCCAGTTTGGCAAGTATCTTAAAAACCTGAAGATGAGGAAAGATGACAAAGGAACTCTAAGTTTCAGTTTTACTTTGGTTACTGCTGCTGCAGTTTGTCCAGAAAGGTTAACATAAACTCCTGGAACGTTAGGGTCAAGTCTTCTTATTTTCTCAATATTTGCATACTGGTCTGTTTGTTCTCTAGCTTGTGGTTGTACTGAGTTTCTCAAAGCGAACCATTCATAGTTTGCCCATGTTACTGTTTGAACTAAGTCAGAGTTAGAATATATCTTATATCCCATGAAAACTTCTGGAGCATATTGGTATCCGACATAGAAAATTCCATTGCAACCTTTCTTGTCAGACAACTTGGCAGAAGGTTTTATTTCAATGTCTTGTTCCACGTATAAGAATGAGTTGTCAATAGAAATAATATGAAACCTGTCGCAAGCAATATCTACTGTTGTTGAAGAACCTTCTCCAAACTCACCTACGTTTCCATAAGAAACAGCAGTTGTATATTCGTAAGTTCCAGGAACTATTTCTGACCTTCTAATGGCATTGTCGCATTCGTTATACCATTCGGAAACATTTCCGTTCATGGCATCCAAAACTGTTGGCGTTATATTCTGAGCGGCGTACATTTCATATGGGTAAAAATATAGAATAGTTGGATTTATATATCATAATAGAACCCACTCGGACCAAGCTTTACTTTCTTCCTGACTGAGTTTTTAACTCTTCTTTTTCCTTCATTGCCACTACTTTCACTAGATGAAGTTACTTCTTCACTATTTTCACTTTGTTCTACTCTTCTTCTTTGGTGTCGCTTTTGGTAACTTGCCCTCTGCTTCAAGTTGTTGCATCTTTGCCTCATGTTCACCTAGTATGTTGTAAATTTCCCATGTCCTTTTTGCCTTTTGGGCTCTGGTCGCCCATCTCAGGTAACCTATATCCTAGAAAGATTTTGTCATAGTTTGTATTTGAGTCTTCGCGTATTGTTTGCATGACTCTTTCCTGAGTTTCCGGTTCAAGCTCTTCAAACAGAGCTTGTCCATATGGAATAAGCTCGTTTCCAAATATATGTTTTTGTAGCCATTCTGGTTTTCTTTCCATGTTACCAATAATATCTTTTGTGAATGGGAAAGCTTTTACCCAATGTTTCAGTCTTGCGTCATTTATTTCTGTAGTTGGTTTTATTTTGTCAAGGAACATGTTTTTCAATACTAACATTTCATTTGGTACTGTCCATTTGAGTTTTCTTAAATATTCATCCCTTCTCAGTTCATTGTCTGCAAAGTAAGTTTTTATGACATTTTGTAAACTTTCGTTTGCAAGGTCATGTACAATAGGTTCTCTTCCTTCTCCCTCCCTAACTTTCTTTCTAAACTCTTCACCAAATATACCATCTTTATGGTTCTGTGTAGTTCTTTGAGATAAATGTTCTAGAACGTCAGGTGTTATATTTCCATCAGCCATGTTCATTTCATACTGGTCCAAAATATCTGCATGTTTCATATCTTTCAATGGCATTAAAGCCGCGCTGAAAATACCAGCTATATCTGGTTCACCATTCACTTCCATTGCGTCTACAACTTCTTGGAATTGTGGTTGTAAGTTTATGAACCACCTATCCGGATTAGCTTTATGACCCCATCTCATTGTAGTTCCATAGTCTGCAGAAACAAAAGTAGGTTTGTTTCCATATTGGTTAGGTTCTGAATGAACTTTAAACAATGTTTCATTTCTATATGTTTTGTTGAAATTTAACCTTTTATTTTCACCGAGTTCAGCCAAAGATTGAACGTTATATGGTCGTAAGTAAAAAGGATTGTTGTATTTGCGTACATTTTCTTTCAGTACTTCCATTCTATGCTGAATATTTTCATCTGATGTTGGAGTCTTTTGTATGTCGGCGAACATTTTTCGATATTCTTCTACTATGTCAGCCGAATTTTTCTTAGACTCTTGGAAAGATTCCATATTCTCCGCATACACTTGTTGAGGGTCAAGATTTTTCGGCTGTTCCAAATCTTCATCTAGTTCTGTGAAGTTAGTTTCCAAAGGAGGGACTTGTTCGTTTCCTTCAGGCTCTTCTAGCTGTTGTTGCTGAACTATTTCTTCCATGTCTGGTTGTATCTGAACTTCTTCCTGTTGAGTTTCTTGTACCTCATCTGCTGGCATTTCATATATTCCGAGACCGTTTTTAACAAGTTCCCTATTTAAGCCATCCGCATTCATAACCCTTTCTTCTTTCGTTCCGTCTCTATTTTTTACGCGTTTCATGAAGATAGTTGAATTATCATTTATCTCTGACACCAAATATCTCGGAGTAAATTCATTCATGTCATTTGGATGATATGCTATTAAATCATATCCCTTAGCGAGCTTGTATTTTCCAGGTTTGAAATTATATCCCATTTGGTGCTGAACCATAAAGCTAAATAGGTTCGGGTCAGTATTTCCTTCCTTGAACTTTCTAATAGCTTCTTTATATCTGTCACTAAAGTCAAGAGTATCTGGGTAACCATAATTTTCCTTAAGCATTTTTAAGAATTCTTGGTTTCCTTGTTCTCTACTTCTTTTATGTCCTTGCTCTGTTTGTGGTTGTTGTGGTGCAGTGTTTTGAACTGTTGGTTGTGGTGCTGGATTTTGAACTGTTGGTTGTTGTGCTGGGTTTTGAACTGTTGGTTGTTGTTGTTGTTTTGGTGCATGCCTGTGTCTGTGTCCATGTGACGATGTAAATGTTTTAGGTAGTCCTGGTGCAGGTGCTTCTCTTGGAGGGTTTGGTGGTATATAAGTTCCACTAGCTAGTATATAAGTTCCACCAGCTGGTATATAAGTTCCACCAGCTGGCACATATGTTCCATCTGCAGCATAATGTCCTACCTGACTTTTCGTTTTTAAGAAAGCATTTACTAGGTCTGTTTTGGTCTGTTGTAACTCTTTTTCTTGACTTTCCACAACAGTTGCTCTAACGGCGTCATAGGCACTTTGAACTGCCTGTCTCGTTGCTGCATCTGTTATTTTCGTCATATTTTGTGCTACTTCTCTTAACTCGTTGTCGAAACCTTCAGACTTCAGTTTCTTTCCAGATGAGAAGTCGTTCACTAGTTTCACCTTACTATGAAGAGCTTCGAAGGCGTTCTTAAAGTCAGCATTCATTAAAGCTTCATTTGAACTGTCTTCATCCGCTTGTATTTTTGTCCTTATTGACCCTATAAGTTGGGCTGCTTTAGCGTTGGCTTGGGCATCTAACCAGTCATTATTAGCTTTTATATATTCTGCGCTTTTCATTGCCTTTTGCATGGCTGCGTCGTTATTTTTACTTTCTTGTGCTAAGTTTTCATACTGTACGGTTTGGTTTTGCAACTGTAAAAGTTTTTCTGCCTTTACATTTGCTTCAACTTCTTTTTTATACTCATCGCTATCCATATATGTCTTCAGGGCTTTTTTGTTTTATCTCTTCATCTTTCAGTACTTTATATTGAGTAGTATGGTTTTTCAAATTTATAACATCTTGTTCCATTTTTGCTACTTCTGCTGCTTTTTCTGACACTTTTTTCGCATATTCCTCTGTACTTAGTTCTTTCAGTTGTTCTTCTTTCTTCTTTTTCTCTACGTTTAACTCATTGAGTTTCTTTGTGTGTCTGTCATATTCTAGTTTCTTTTCGTTTTCACTTATTTGTTTCTGTATGTCTATGTTTGACTTTTTGACATCTGTTATTTGATTTTTGAGTGAACTCAAATTCATTTGACTTTGAGGGTTATAAGCTGTTCCGTCTGCAGCTCCACCATAGCCTGCCATTTTCGCTAAAAGTGCCGCTCTTAAACCTCCACTCTGTGCACCAATAACTCGGCTTAAAAGCATAGGGTTGCTTGACATTTGTTGCAACATAGTGGGGTCATTCATAATTTGTTGTTGCAACTGTTGTTGTGGTGTTAGTTTTACTATTGGATGTTTCAATGCTCCCTTCCTCTTACGTATATTCTTACGTAGCTTACGTGGCATTTTAAGTGAAGTAAAAAACGGTTTTTGACAGATGTTTATATGACACTTTTTGTTCAGCACAAAAAACTACTCGGTCAAAGTGTTGTCAGTTTTGTAAAATAACCGTCCTATCTTGTTTTAAAAGGGGGAAAGGCTTCTCAAAGTATACTTCTTTGGAACGCCCGTAACTTTTCCTGTAGCGACGATAGACCCTTACTTGTCCGGACAAAGTTATACTAAACATCTTCAGGGCTAGAGGGCACGAAGTGCCTGGAGGCCCCACTACCTTTTTTTTTTTTTTTATTCAGTTTCATATAATGAATGGAAAACCAATAAGATAAGAAAACATTTAGGAGATTATGGGAAATGTTCTGAATTCTTTAAATCTAGTATATACGAGAGAGTAAAAGAAATTAGAAATAATTATTTTCATGAATAAAAGATTCACTACCATAATGAAATAAAAATAATTTATTTTTTTATTCTTACATAAAAGAAGCTATATATAGATGATGTCAGATATTCCGCGATTAATTAAACATTGTTTAAATCCTGAATGGAATCAATGGAGTCATAATCAAAGACCTCATAAACGAGTAAAAGAATTTGATGAGTTCAACATAGAACTTTAAGAAGCTAATGATTATTTGAATTTATGAAATCAATTATTTGATTCATTCTTTCTTCAATCTCTTCTATTCTTTTTGTTAAATCATCAATTTTCATTAATGAGGTGATTCTTGATTGAGGAATAGATTTCAAACTAACCACTCCTTTTATTTTTGAAATTTTGAATCCATCAACTTTAAACATTTTATTCAATTTACATGGTGTCAATTCTTCAAATAATTTTTTATTATTAGCATAATAGTCATTAAATTCTTCAACAGATGAAAAAATTTTTATTTCAGTAATTGGTTTAACAACGTTTATTTTTTGTTGAACATTTTCACTTTCATTTATTTCTTCCTCCTCTGTTTCATTTATTTTTAAAATCGGTTTCATTTATCATTAAATAAAAATTAGAATATAAGTGATGAAATATATTTTTTTAATTAATATTAAATCAGAAATGGCGGCAGGATTCTTTAAAAAATTATGGGATGGAATTAAGAAAGCTGCGGGTTGGGTTTATAAAAATATTATTAAACCCGTTGCAAACTTTTTGGCACCAGTAGCGAAAACGGCAGGAACTATCATAGGTGGAGTATTAGGTACTAAAGCAGGTAATCCAGCGATGGGAGCACAAGCAGGTAACGCAGTTGGTGGAATAGCTGAAGGAATACTTAATAAAATAGGAGGTAGATAGTGGAAAAATAAATAAAATTATTTTTATCTTAGTATCGGTTGTAGTCTTTGATAAACTTTTTCTCCTTTATTTAAAACTTCTCTTATTGGGGCAGCTTTTGGTGTTATTGATTCAGCAACGTCACTAATTGCTTCTTTATTCTTAAATATCCAATTTGCCCTTCTTCATGTTTCCCAAACTTTACTCGCTCCTCTTTTTACTTTATCCCACAGTTTCTTAAATATACCTGCAGCCATAGTTGATTATTTCATTAAAATTAAAAATTCATTTTCATCTTTTAATTTTGATTTTTTATTTATTAATAAATGACGACTAACTATTTGGTGCCAAACACTAAACCGATTAATGGAAATGTGTTTCATTCATTCGAAAAGATAAATGAAATATTCGCAAAGAATGACGGTAGAAGATATTATAGAGAACTTGAAAGTTCATGCTATGACTCTGATGCTCCATATTTTGATGATAAACAAACTCATTTAAGAATTACAAATCCGGCTCATGATGTGAACCAATTAGGTGACACATATATTAAACGCAAAGTTAAAGCAACTCTAGTTTCAAATAAAGCTTTCACATGTGATGCCGCTTTTAAATGCATGCGTTTATTCGTTGGTTACAAATCATCAAATCAAAGCTTTAAACAATTAGAAGTAGAAACCGAAAGAGGTGATGCCGGTTATCTTCAGATGGATTGCGCCCGTGAATCTTTCGCATTTGCAACATATAAACCAAAATCAGAAAGGAAAGTTAAAAAGTTTGTTCATTCGTTATATAATAATGTTCAAAAATATGATAACTCAGTATGTGGTAAATATATTGACCCTTCAGAAGTTTTCAAGAAGCAAATGAAGAAGTTGATGTCACTTTTGATATGATTATTCCGGTAAATGATTTGTTAGCATTTCAGGCGTTCGATGATTATCCTAAATCATTTGGTGATATCATTCTTAAATATTATGTTTTCAGGGATACTTTAGTATTTTGTCAGGTTGACCCGTTAAGAGTTGCTGATTTACAAAATTACGTTTATGAAAAGATAACTGATGAAAATTATGAAAAGATTATGAATCATGTTTATAAATATGATCGCAAATTCCAACAAATCGGACTTCCTGCCAAATTAATTACAAGCTTAGCCGCTACATCTGCTGACGCAACAGTTGATAACGTTATTATTTCATGCACAAAGATGGAAGTTTTAGAGGATAAATGCATTACACCAGGATACGGTTTAATTGAAGAATCAGTTAAAGCAATACCACGTTTATTCAGTAAGGAAGATCCATTCATGATTCCAGCTCAACATATTGACGTTCGTTCACTAAATGGAGGTTGCATCACTCCTGAAGGTATTAGCTCAGATTTCTCATACGCTCTTCATAATGTTACAGATGTTGTGTTAACATTTCCGAAGAATGCAATGCAAAGAACGGTTTTAGAAAATCCAATGCTTCGAGGTCTTCAGGTCACTATAGATTCCAGAAACTTCCCCGATCAAGCGATGACCACAGTGGGTGACATATTCTTTACACGTATGCTTCAAGCTTCTGATTTAGATGGAGTGAATGAATGCACGGAAGAATACGAGGACTCATTAACTAGACCACTGAATGATGATGATGGCACGCCATTAGCTAGAACATGGAAAGACCAAACTTCATTCTTATGCACTATTCCAGTTCAACGTGATGGAGCGGGTATATTCTTTGATGGATTAGAAACTTTCAACTCACAAGTTACAGTACAAGTGAAAGCTTATCCAATCATTCAGGGTGAAAATGACACTTACTGTTCAAAGGTGACAAATCCTCCTCAGGTTTGGTTTACTAGGACTACATATTGGACATGGACACCGGATGAAGGTTTGAAATATCATCCAACAGGTACACCACCACAGTATAGAAGTTCATATGATGAAATATTGATGAATAGAAATGTTTAAAATTATAAATTTATTTTTGATTAAATGGATTTAAATTCATCCACCCCTTATGAAGAATTAGCAGGAGTATATAATACATACGTAGATGATATGATTAATGAAGCATTGAGTGATAATAGAAATGCTCTATCTAAGGAAAAATTAATGAAAATTCCATATTCTGAATGTTACTTAAATTCAATCACTGCAGCAATTGGTAAACAAAATAAAGGTAAAACATTAACGATATTAAAACAAATTATCATTATTGCTAACACTTCCCCCTATTCACATGTGTTAATTTATATCAACCGTTCAGGTTCACCTTCAGATGATACATTTGAATCTTTAAAGCATTTAATCAAAATTCCAATTATTTATTTATCACAAGAAGAAGCAGAAGATTATTTAAAAAACTTTTTAATGTATAAAGAATTATATAATACAATCAAGAAGCAAGGATTAGAGGATAAAATTATTGATAAACAACGGGATGAATTATTTGAAACACTTTCTATTTCAAATTTTGATAGAGAATTTTTGCATTCACTCATTTTTCTAGATGATGCAGTGAAATCAAAACTAATAACAAATGAGAAATCATATTTTAATCAGTTATTAACTCAATGTCGACACATTCAGTGTTCATTCTTTATGGCTGTTCAATATTTCAAAGCATTAAGCACAAACATTAAATCAAATCTATCAACACTTTTCATTTTCAGTGGGTTTAGTCGTCAACAGTTGAACGTTATGCTTTATCAAGTGAATTTACCAATGAGCATTAATGAACTTTACACACAATATCAGCAATTAGGTGAACATGGAAAAATAATAGTTGATTTAAATAAAGGAGTGTTAAATTTGATTAACTTTTTATAATTAATTTTTATTTTTTATTTATAATTAAACATGACAGAAATAGCAAATCTTCTACAGGTTCCATTAAAACAAGGGACAAACAAAAAGGGTGCATATAATAGAACTATGAAAGTTCCTGATGGAATGAAAGAATTAGTTCATATTGTTGCTGGTCTTCAAAAAGATGTTAAACAAATGAGAAACGTTTTAACATTACCGGAAGCTCAAGCATATGCCAAACGTCAAGGTCCAAATTTGGAAGCACACGAAGCAGATATTACGGGTCCAAATGGAAAACCTGATGGTATAAATGAAGTTTTCGTTACTGATGGTCAAGGTAATATTAAAGTCATAAATGGTTATAAATTAACTATAACTGATTATCCTAAACGTAAAGCATATAATGAACGTTATCCTATGCAATTTGATGAAAATGGAAAAGCTGTTAAACAATACATTGGAGAAGGTGAAAATGGTCCAATTAATTCATACCGTCATAATCCATATTCTTATTTCAATGAAGAATTAAATGCTATTGAAGAGGGACCGGATGGATTACCACGATATTCTAACCAGTTTGATGGTCAATATGCAAATATTAGACCTGAAATTTCAGCTAAGAAATTCTTTAAAGTTGCTTTATTCGATCCAGTTTTCGCAAATGTTAAAGATGAACTTAAACAGCAATTCCAACCAATTATAGTAGCAAGAATTGCATCAGGTGCTTTATCTCAAGCATTCAAAGATTTAATTAAGAAACCATTATATCAGCAACGAGGTTTAACTTATGATTTAGTTAAGGAATCAGATAAAAGAAAATTTGAGAAATCAGATGATTATAAGAATGCAATTAATGAATATATTAGGTCTATTAATTACAATGAAACAGCTAAAAATCAACTTCATGAACAAATACAGGGAATAATAGATTCAAAAGTTCCAGCAAAATAAAAGTTTAAATATATTTTTTTTATTCGATTATAAATGAGAAGACGTTTCACTAGTCAAAAGAACACTAACGCAAAAGCAGAGATTACGGTTGGTTATAACGTAAATGATGATAAATCACGAATTATTCAAAATGTTAAAGTTAATGTTAGCCCTGAATTAACAAGGTCAGCAACTCAACCAAATTTATTAACTCGTGACTTACCGAAGAATGAGGAGAATGAAGAAAACCATGAGAATGGAGACCCAATCATTTTATCTGAACCCGGTAAAGAACCTGTTGAAATTCCCACTTATCCAACATACCCCCACCTCTTTCATCAAACATCGAGAACCCATATAAAATAGACATTAATTCTGAATTAATGAAAATTTACTGTGATATAATAATTAATAATTATGATTCAATAATAAATTTAATTGACCAATCCGGTTTAATTATTTTACCTTATGAATCATTAATTCACATTATCGCCATTCTTTGTGATGTTCAAGATTCAGACGTTAAGATTCAATTTTTCATAGATGATGAGGTTTCATGCTGCGGAACAGTTGCAAAAATAAATCCTATAAAGGATATTAGCACAATTAAGATATCAAAGAACGGAACAACAACTGAACTTCATTTAACATATAATGATATTTATAATAAAAAGTTGATGAATATAAAATATCACTTGAAAAATTCTTTGTTAAGGCTATTTAATATTCAAGCATTAACATTATCGAATAATAATCCTTTGAATCATAATCAATAATAATTGACCTTTCACCAGTTTCTATCGTTTGTTTTATTTCTTTTTGTTCCCCACTATCCGGATCGGTCATTGTAATTGTTTTTGTTATAGTATCAGCTTTATCTTTAACTTCAATCTTTTTTCCATCGGGATATTTAAACCAAAATTCCAAAAATTCGATATTGTCAATCTGTTCATATTTTAATCTATCAATTACATTTTTAATACCATCTGAAAATCTTATGAAATGGTCATTATATGGGTTTGATTGAACTAAATTTGAATGAAGTGAAATATAACCTGTTGATGAATAAGACATCGACTCATATTTTCTGAAAACACTAAAATTTATAACATGAATGAATTTCTTATTCGTTGAATTTATGAATTCTTGAGGTAATCTTATTCTAGTTTTATTTATCACTGGAAAATAACGCTTTACCATATTTTTAATCGTAATAAAAAATGTCAATTATCAATATTATTTCGAATAATAACTGTGAATTAAATTTAACAGTTAGCGGAATTTATAATGTTACTCTCGTTTCTGTGAGTGGTAAATTTAATCCCATTCTTTTAGACCCTTCAGATTATATATCATTTATTAAAGATGACCTTGAAAAAACGTATGATATGTATATAAATAATGTGATAGCGAAATGGGATATTAACATGATTTTAAGTTATTTAAATGAATCATTTATCGTATGGTATGAAGAAAATTTTAAATCAAAACCTGATAAACTTTTTGAACTTGATGAAATAATAAACCTTATTAAATTTCCACTGAAAATTAAATTTTGTACTCCTCATCTCTTCGTTCATTGTTGGGGATATTAAATTTTGAAAAAGATGTTGGGGATGTTTTGTATTCTGACACTGGTTCCAATTTCATTTTAATCAAATGTGATAAAGTTAATACCCCAATGAGATTTTCACATCAAACATTAGACCCTAACTCTTATCCATCAATACAAAACATTTTATCCATCAACTTAAACACATTTTCTTTATCATATCCATTTCAATTATCCGGGAATTCATTTATTCTTCATTCAAAAGATTTATCAAATATTAAATTTAGAATAACTGACCTATTTGATTGTGATTTAGAATTTATGAATGAAATATTATGGCAATTTCAAATAGAGAAAATAGCTGATGAGATAACGGATTAAATATTTATTTTTAAATCATAATAAATGATTAAACAACAGCAACTTAAGGCGCAAAGCGCCCAGGTCCTTCAGACCATTACATACGCCATATATGCATATAATTCAAAGACGGCAGAACAAACGCAAAGGTTGAAATATGGAGATTTGGAGATAGTATTGAAAAATGAGCATTTCGAATTCGTTTGCAAAGGTGGTGCAGTGATATCAAATATAAAAGAAATTTTATTTATGAATTCAAAAATTAAAGGAATAACGGATGATATAACATCAATTCCACCAGAAGAACAGAGATATTACGCATTAAATGCATTTCCTAAAGTTTTGAAGATTGGAAGATTTAATTTAAATGAGGAATTCATAGAAGGTTTCCTAAATGACATAATGAAGAAGGCAAATTTGGTTTATGTTGATGAAAAAGATAATGAAATTAAAGAAAAGGTTGAATGGTATCATGAATGGACATTGGAGACTTTTAAAGTTAAAGCTGATACAGAATGGGTTTCAGGATGTTTAGACCTTAAAGCAGATAAAACTTATGTTGATGAAAATTATGCAAAGAAGTCGGAAGTAAATGATGTGATTACAAGCATGAAAAATGAAATACTTCAAACATTATATCCTGTTGGTTCTATTTATACGTCAATGAACTCAACAAATCCAGCAACAGTTTTAGGTTTTGGTATGTGGAAGCAGATTGTAGATAAATTCTTATACTGTGCTAGATATTCAAAGCAAACAGGAGGTTCAAAGAAAATTAAAGAAGCAAACCTTCCACCGCACACTCATACAGGAACTACAAACTTTTCTGGCGACCATAGACACTCATTAAGAGACCACCCATTATACAACTCAGACTATGAAGCTGGTTATGATGTTTTATCTCCAGCTTATAACGATTCAACAAAAAAGACTTTTCGACAAACTGAACCAGGAGGAAATCATGTCCATACTTTCACAACAAATCCAACAGGCTTGGGTAAAGATTACATGCCACCATTTGTGACTGTATTTGCATGGTACCGCATTCATTGAATGTGCTTGAGCCCAGACCTTTGGGTCAAGGCTTACCGAATGAACTAAATATATTTTATGTCTGTAATTAATTAGGTAATGAAGTAGTGGATGAACTGCAGAAATATATTTTATCGTTAATGGTTTTTAGGTTATTCAATAATGAATTATTTTTGAAGAACTGAGGGTGTCACCACGTCACCATGTGTCACCGGGTTAATTAACTTCTCTTAAAAAATGATGACAACATGACATCTTGACAACAGTCCAGGAAATATGATGCGGTCCAAAAATAATTAATTATTTTTAAAATTATTTTTATTTTTTTTTATTTTGTATGTAAGAACAGAAATGTCAGTCGAAGCAAAAACATTCACGAACAAATCTAATGGCGAAACATTCACAAAAGGCACTTATAATGGTATTGAAGTCTTACGTAGAGACAAGGATAGTTACATTAATGCAACAAATATGTGTCAGCAGTTTAGGAAAGACTTTAGAAAGTTGTTGGAAAATAAGTCCTGGGAAGAGTATTATAAGGCGTTTTGTGAAGAATATAGCAACCGCCGGAATTCAGACAGTTGCTTTTTATACAAAATTCATGCAGGAATTCCTGATGAAATCAAACAGGTTAGAGGAACGTATGTAGACCCAAGACTTATAAACTATATAGCAATGTGGGCTTCTCCAAAATATTGCATAGCAGTTGGAAAAATTATGGACTCCATAGACAAGAAAGTTCATGAGAAATTAGATGAAGAAGAACTCGAAGATACAGTAGAGAATGCTAAACATTTGTTTGAAGAAGAAGTTAGAAAAATGCATGAAAAACAATTAGAACATGAACGTGAGATATGTTATGGTTATAGAGATTCTCCATACGAACTAGACCAATGGGAACAAGAAGATTTAAAGAGAGAATTTAGAGAATATGAACTCGCTAAGATAGCATTAGAAACTGCAGAAAAGAAGTTAAAAGTTTGGGGTCGTTTTGTACAAAAATATTGTGAGTAAATGAACCATTTATTTTTGTCATAAACGACCAAAAATATATTTTATCGTTAATGGTTTTTAGGTGTCACCACATCACCATGTCACCAGGTTAATTAACTTCTCTTAAAAATGATGACAACATGACATTTTGACAACAGGTACGAAAACATTAATATATAAAATTCATGAAAATTCATGCAGGAAATTCTTGAGTTTTGGATGAACGAATACGGTCAAGCCAAAAGTGGCTCAACCTCAAAACAAGCATTTTATGAGCTTACTAAGGGTGTTATAAATGAATTCAAAGGTATTTACATACATCCTGACCTCGTTCATTTTGTTGCTGAATTCAGCAAAAATATAATTTAGGTGAAGAGGTGAGATCTCACCCGTTTTTTCACCTGTTTTTTCACCCTCATGATAATTCTTCTAAACTTTTTCATTAGATGTAAATCAGACAAAAATAATGTTTAGGTGAAGAGGTGAGATTTCACCCGTTTTCTCACCTGTTTTTTCACCTGTTTTCTCACCCTCACCGCTTAGTGGCTCAGATTGCTTTAGCTTTCTCGTGAATTTTCATGAATTTCCTTAAGATAGAAAAAATAAAGTTAGTTTTAAAATTATTTTTAAAATTATTTTTATTTTGTATAAAAAATATGATTTCAACAATCGGCACAACAAGAATTCAGGCCACGAACGGCGGGACTCTGTCCACAACTACAGCACCAAACTCGCTAGTCATGAATCCTACGTCAATGTTGGTAGAGATGAAAAGCTTTATTCCGTCTTCATATACTTTTGAAACAGAAATCCAGAAGATAAAGCAAGAACTTTTAACAAGTAATTTAGACTGTAGTGCGAAAGATGAAACAAATGAACAGTATCTTTATGAAATGGAGGACCTCATCGACCATTTGCCTAAACTACCTGAAATTCAGCAGCAAAAACTAACCATTCCTGAATTCGACGAAATTGAAGTCAAAGCAACTGACTCAGTAGAAATTAAGAAATTCATACGTAAAGTAAATTATGAATTCCTTGGTTTTCATTGCAACCATAAAGTTATGGACAAAGATTGCGACATGGTTTATAAAAATATTTCTGACCTTTACAAATCCGAAGAATTTAAGACATACGATAACTTTGTTTCATTAGTTGCAAAATGTGTATGGCAGATAAGAGATAAAGATAGAAGAGGTAAAGTATGGAATGAACAGATAAGACCAGCAGCTTTTGAGATGAAGAGAGCAATTGACGCCTTAGTTGTTCTAGCTGGTTTTATTTCAATGTATAACGCAAAAACGATGCCGCAATGTTCAAAATGTAAAGCAGCAATAAGAAAATATAACTACTCAGTCAAAGAGATAGAAAGAATGCGAAACGACTATGCAGACTTAAAGAAAGAAGCAGAAAAGCCAGTAGAAGATAAAATGGATATGTTGACATTTCTTAATAAAAACTATCCAACTGCAGAAGATTTCCTTCTGTCTGACGTCAAGAAGAAATATAAAGAGACTTTCGGCATGATTAAAACATTCGATGTACTAAAAGAAGAAATTGAAGCTACGAAATTGTTTAGGATTTCAAATATACATCGTACAATTCATGTAAAACGCTTGTGAAAAAAGAGGTGAAAAAACAGGTGAGATCTCACCTCTTCACCTCAATTATATTTTTGGTCATTACGAAGAAGTTTTGACAAAACATTTACGATGAAATCATGACAAAACATTTACGATGAAATACCCGTAAATGAAGCTTTATAAAGTATGATTGGAATTTATTTTTGCATTAATCCTGCTGTGTTGTCAAAATGTCATGTTGTCATCATTTTTCAGAGAAGTTAATTAACCTGGTGACCTGGTGACACCTTCAGTTCTTCAAAAATGCTTCATAAGTGCCTTCCTCCTTAATCCTGCTGTGTTGTCAAAATGTCATGTTGTCAGTAATTTTAAGAGAAGTTAATTAACCTGGTGACCTGGTGACACCTTCAGTTATTCAAAAATAAATTTTCTTATCATTCAAATTAACTAAAGATGAACTTAATAAAATAACGATAAAATAACTGATAACAAAATTTTATTTTTATATAAATGAATACCCCACAAGCTCAAAATTTACCACGAATCATAACAAGGGAGGAAATGATAAAAAAGATGCAAGAACTAATTAAAAACAACAAACCACGAAAACCGAGAAGATGCGGTTATGCAGTAATGATGGAAAGAAGATGAGGAATAAAAATTAAATTTGGATTGAGTTTAAAAATTCATCTTTATTAAATTCATCTCTTCCAATCAATTTATTTATTCTATTAAATTCTTTTATTTTTGCTTCACTCAGTTTAAGGATTGAACGGTAAGTTTCTAATTTTTCGATTATTTCTTTCCTCTCTTTATCGTTTTCAGCCCCACCACATTGTGGCTTCTTTTTGTAATAGCATATTTTTGATTTAATTCTGTTTAGTTTCTTTTTATATTCATTGTCTGGACTCTGAATCTTAATTGAATCAGGACTCTTGGATGCTTCATTGTCACTCATTTCTTACGAAATAAAAAAATTAAATATTATTTAAATATAATGGAGTAATAAAATAAATCGGAATTTCTATTAATTTATTGTTAACCTCAATTAATGCATTGCCGTTAATATATCTAACAAATTCAGCTATTGTGTCAAATCTTCGTCTTCTTTTTGTCATTGATTTATCAGTTTTTCCATAATCGAGATGAATCAAAACTTTATCCCCTTGTTTAAAATTCATGAGCCCCGAATTAATTTGTTCATGTTTAACATCATTTAACCTTTCCATTTGCTTTCTAATATATTCCCATTCTTTTGAAATATCATTTTTCATTTCCACTGGTTTCATGTTTATAGTTCTATGCCATGTATTATTGTAATAATATACTAACTGCTGTATGATGGAGTCATGATTTCCATCCCAGTATATCTGACCGTTAACTCCTAACGCATCTCTAAGAGTTCTCATTACCGCATCAACTATTTTATTATGAAACGTATATAGAGAAGATGAGAAGTAAAAATTAATTTGTGGGAAATAATGAATCATAGCTGCCTGAAATCCTTTATCACCATCACCCCTGATATTATCTACTCTTTCATGATCTAGTAAGTATTGAATAGCTCTTCTTGTTTCCTGTTCTGTTTTCCCTTTCAACGGAATGCAATATAAATATCTAGTGTTAATGTTAATGGCAAATAAATAAGTAACGTTTCCTTTTGAATATTCCAGATGATCGATTTCGTATGAATATGGATATGGAGCAAATGAAGGGCGACTAAATTTTTCCTTTAACGGTTGAATTTTCGGGTCAATTGGTTTATTTAATATCTTGAAATCCTTTTTAAAATCTTTTTGCTTCTTTAATGTTTGAAATGGATATAATAAAGTGAATGATGAAGGATTAACTGAAGGAGGGGGAGGTACTGTTGTTGGAGGTTTTGGTGTTGCAAGTGGTTTAATTTTATCTGCTTTGATTTTGGATGATGAAGTTTTAGTTGTTGATTTTCCTTTCATTAATTCTGGATGTATTCTATTCATTTGTTTTAAATATGCTGTATATAAAGGTTTGATATACTTTCCCGCTTCGAGTTTATGTTGAAGGATGAATTCCAAAAGTTGATCTTCATTTAAAAGTCGGGCTGAATATGGTTTAACTAATGAATCATAAATTAAAGCTTGTGCTTCATTTATGGTCTGAAGGACCTGGGCGTTTTGCACCCTTAGCTGTTGAACATTTGCTACTTTCTCTTTTGGTGTTGTTTTCGGCTTTTTCTTCTTTTGTTTTTGTTCCTTTGGCTTTTGCGGCTCAGGATTATATAATTTATATAATTCATCAATATCTTCTTCTGTTAATACTTTATTTTTGAAATCTTTCAACTGTTTAAGTTGTGATTTAGTTTTTCCCTTTGTATATTCATTATTTTTAATTTTGTCTTTAATTTCAGAAATTATTTTATCATGATATTTCAAAATTTCATTTTTATAATACGAATAATAATAATCCATATCATCACCCGTTATATTTTTATTATGTTTTTGGAGATATGATTTTAATTCATAATAATTAAGAAAATTTTGATTAAATACTAAATCATCAATTAAATTTTCTAAATCTGCGTTATCCATTTATATAAAAATAAAATAAATGTTTTAAGGGTGCCCACCTCTTTGAATCATAGTATCAAAACCATTATTTACATATTGAATCGCATCATTAACTGTTCCTCCTTCTAAAACGGTATTAAATAAATGGCATACAACATCCATTTTCACAACATACAGCCTTAGTGTGTGCTCCTGTTAATGCAGTCTTACCAATTGTTAAGCGAGTCATTGACCCGTTTTTAAGTTGTAAATTAATATTCTGACCATCGAAAATAACTTTATCATTTATTATATCCAAATAATTTTTAGGTGTTAATTGTTTATTTTGTCGTAAACTAACACCTTTCATTTTTTGTGCAATCTTTTTAAAATCACTTCCATCAATTGAACCGTTGAATGATGTATAACACTTAGGGCATAAAGCAACCATGTTATCACCTTGTTTCTCAATTGCTAAACCCAATAACTTCTTCTCATGTGCTTTTTCTTCAGCTTTATTCTTTAATTTAGGTTTAAATTTCTCATCAAAACAGAAGAAATCAAATGGTGCGAATTTGAAAATGTTTTTATCATAAAATTGTTTATCGGTAACAATTGCTTGAAATGCTTGAATGTTAGGAAGATTTGGGTCACCAGCGATTGCCCAATAAGATGAATCAGTATCACCTTCAATGAAATGAAAACGATTAACATACATGCATTTATACATAAAATCATAAATGAAAACTAAATACCAGTATTTTGCGTTATCTAAAGTGAAGAATGTCTCTTGTAAACATGTATCACATCTATAAAGTCTATCTTTAAGCATCACTTGATATGTATCCTCACCTATTTCTCTTATGTTTTTAAACTTATTTGACATACATGCAACGCGTGCCTTCTGTGCATTCATTATTTTAGTCTTTGCGTAATTTTGCGTATTCATTGCATCGTAACCATATGATCCATTAAGTGAAATCTTGCAAAATAAACTTTTTCCTTTATTTCCTTCTAATTCAGCCTTTTGTCTTTCGTTCATAAATTCGTTCGCAAATTCATTAAAACAAGTGTTTTTCGTAAATGTTAAAATTGATTGAATATCATCGATGATAAAATGAAATCTGTCTATTAGATACCAAAGATAATAAGAAGAAAATGGTTGATATTGGTTGTGTGTTGATGCTAACTGAGTTAATTTCCTCTGTTTCTGGTCAACTGGTAGATTGTTTGATTTCATGTAATTATACATAAAACTGCCAATTGTTTTTTCATCTGTGATAATATCTAAGTTTCTTATTATCGGTAAAAAGTTTATGTAATCATTAATGTATTTTTCATCAATGTGACCCTTTACTTCAGCCACGAATAAAGTATTTTTCTTCTTAATTATTCCCAGTGCTTTTGCTTTCTTTGTTGCTGTATCACAAATGATAACACCATTCAATCTTCCCGGCATATACATTTTATGGTCAGTATATTGAATGAAATCATGAGGATTAGATGAAAATGATGAAGGATATAATGAATTAAAGTCAACACCAACGAAATGAGTCATAATGTTGGTGGTGTCCTCATTTGATACAGTTTTAGTTTCTGGATTATATGAAAGTTTATTAATGTGCGTGATTCCTTTAAGATTTACTCTATGTTGAACATTTGATAAACCACCAGTAATTCCATTACGGAGAATGTGATAAGCTTCAACTGAATCTAAAGTCATTGGTAAATTATTTTTTAATGCATAATTTCTTAAATTGATTCTTAAACGTTGAACATCTTCATCTTTATTTGATTTTACGACATTGCAATAACAACACATTAACTGACAATTTTCTTTGGTATGTGGTTTTTCATTATCGATTCTATCCAATGTTGGTTTATTTGCATATGTAAACGCTTTACCACACATTTTGCATTTAGATGAAAGGATTAAATCGTGATAGTATTGAAAATCATCCATTGAAACATTATTTTTAGTATCCCTTTCTGCTTTTTCATCTTGTTTCTTATATGATTCAATTTTATATTTCCAATACTTTTTCGTTAATTCAAAACTTGATTCTATCTCTTCCTCAGGATATTTTTCATTAGGATTAAAGTCTTTATATGCTAAAGCGTAACGAATCATTGAAGCATTCGATGATAAAGAAAGATTATGAAGCATGTCAATTTTATAAACAAATGTTTCTTCAATAATTTTATCGATTGGGTCAATCATAATTTCAACATCTTTATTGCAATAATGAATAAAATATTCTAATCTATTCTTAAAATTTTTAGCATCATTGAGATATATTTGATAATCACTATCTGATATAGTTTCTTGAGTTAATGCTGAATAAAATGAATCTTTCGTGAATGGTTCCTCTTTATATAATTCTTCTTCGTAATTTTCCCATGTGATGAATTGATAAGGGAAAAAGGATTTAACACGTGATTTATTGTTTCCGAAATCTTGAGTGAATTGGTCTAATGTCCCACCCGCTATATAATTTCTGATGTCAATAAATCTCAATTCATATGGAACGTTTGTTTTCTTTACAATGATTTGCTTAAATTGTGAAGATGAACCCAGCATTGATTTTATTTTCCATTTTGCAGTGTTTAAATCACGAAGAATTAAATTTAAATCAAACTTTCCCGAATTAAAACCTATGATATTCACTTTATTGAATTCCTCATCTAGAAGTTCTTTAAATGCTTCCTTCTGTTTTTCATTTAATGTATGAGACAAAGTCCCCGCCGTTTGCGACTTCAATAATTCATTGTATTGACTCATATTTGATTCAACAACTAATGAACAGGTTGAAAATAAAAACTCAATCCAATCAGAAATAAAAGAATCACTCGAAGTTAAGCAAAAATTCCTCGTATATGTTTTATCGTTTAATTTAACCGTTGATGATACCATGAATGGTTTTAAGTAAGCGTTCAAAGTTGCACACTCAGAAAGTTGTAATTCTTCTTTAGTCTCTAATGTTTCAAAGTCAAAAGTAATATAATATCTTGTCGGTTTATAATATTTCTGCAAATTGTGAGCTAATAACCACTGATATATCTTCTGTTTCGTAATATGTGGTGCATATGGTTGCTGTGTCTTTTGCAACTGAACGTCTTGAATTAATCTTCCATTATTTTCTTTACATTTCTCACAATGCTTTAAAAATCTTCTTTGGTTTTTCCTTTCTGGATCATCACGGATAGAATAAACTTCTTCTTTACAATATGGACAAACTTTATAGCCGGTGAGTGCTTCAACGTCTGTTATTCTGTCAGCGTGAAGTTTTCCACATGGACTCTGTGTTAATAAAATATTTACTGTTTCAAATTCTGGATCTATCATTATTGATTCCACTAATGGAAAGTCTACCTTATTTATGTCCACGTCTTCTGGTTGAGGATCACAATAATAGAAATCAATATTAACATTTAACATTCTCGCTAATCTCTCACTTTCTGATGAAATGTCAAACCCTTCATATGCATCTATTGCTTCATTTAAATAGCTTCTACGAGTTTTAGGATTAACACCATCAGGAATGTTATAGAAGCGTTTAAATAACCTTCTACCTTCTGCTCTAATTTGATTATCATTCATTTTAGCTGTTCCGTTTTTGTTCATTTATGTAAGAATAAAAAATTAAAAAATAAATAAAAATAAAGTTTATTTTTTAAAGCCCATAAAATGAATTAAGAACACATAAATTTTTATCATCTGCGACGTGACGAATACATTTTAATTTACTCAAGAATGCGTACCCTGATACATTAAATCTAATTCCTGTCTTATTTAATTTCACAACTTTGAAAAGGAATGTATGAATAGCTATAAAATGATGAGAAGATGTTTTATGGGTTGCTTCCATTTTTTCTGAAATAAATGAATAAATATAATGTTTATAAGTTTTCATATCTTTTATGTTCTTAATAACGAATGGTATAGACCTTTCAACTTCGTCTTCCTTCGGTGCTGTTCTTTCATATGAAACATTATTGGTATCTTCAACAATGAAACCACAATCACACAAAATTTTATAGGTTCCAATGGTTTCTTTTGATATTTTATCTAATAAATCAAAAACTTTATCAACACCTGTGCATTTATTTAAATAATAATTTGTGTAAATATCATGATCTTCTTTCTTAATCGTATTAGTTGCATATGTCACGTTTTTAAGAGCTTTTTTGAATTTTTCGGAATCTAAAGGTGGTGAAAATAAGATACAAGGGTATTCTTCATTATCAATAAATTGTAACTTATGTTTACGAATAAATTTAGTACCTTCTTCTGAAAGTGTTTCGTCTATTTCACCATCTAATAAATTTTGTGTTGATTCTGAGACATAATTTTTATATCTTTCTTCATGAGATTTCTGAACTGCTGATTCTGAAGCTGGGATATTCATTAAACCCTCTACTTCATTTTCATTATATTTTTCAACTTCTCTTAATTCCTTAATTTTTTCATCTATTTCATCTCTTATTTTTTCCAGTCTTTCAATTTCATTGTATTCATCATCTTTAATCCGTTCTTCATAATATTCAGGGAAAACATCAGGTTCTTTAGGTTTTTCTTCTTCAGATGTGGGATATAAGAAATTTATAACATCATCTTTATTCATTTTTCCATCATAATCTAAATCATTTAATAACTCGGCAAATTTTTGACAATTTCTTAAATAATATTTATTAACTTCATAACCCACCTCCTCTAATATATCCTTTATTTCCTCGTTTGTGAATCCTAATTTTTTAACGTTGTTAGTTTTGACGCTCATTTCATACAAAATAAAAAAATAAAATAATAAACATAACCAAGTTTTAATTTTTCGTAAGAAGTTTATTTTTTAAAAAATTTTTTATTTTTTATTTCATTATGGTAGTGAATCTTTTATTCATGAAAATAATTATTTCTAATTTCTTTTACTCTCTCGTATATACTAGATTTAAAGAATTCAGAACATTTCCCATAATCTCCTAAATGTTTTCTTATCTTATTGGTTTTCCATTCATTATATGAAACTGAATAAACTTTATCTTTATCTTTACACCTTTCATCACTTCCAATATATTTATATCTCAGTTTTGATTTATTGGTTTCATATTCATTAGCGTTTAATAATTCACAGTCTTCCTTTTTAAATAAATGTTTTATGTATTCAGGATTAACAATTCTATAATATTGCTTCCCTTTAAATCTTTGAATATAAACAGGAACACCATCCTCTAAAATTCGATAATCTATTTTATCTGGTTTTACTTGTTGGGTCATTTATGTAAGAATAAAAAAATAAATTATTTTAAAAATAACTTTAATTTTTTTAATGGTTTATTTTTTAAAAATTTTTTATTTTTTATTTCATTATGTATGGGCTGAGTGTAAATGTCTTACAATTTTGAAAATTTTTTAAATCTTGATTTATTCAAAAACGTAAGAATAAAAACCGTAAGAATCATACATTTTTTACTTCATATGTTAAAAAAAATGATACAAAATCGCTCGATATTGTATGAATTCTTACGTTTACAAAAAAAGTCACAAAACCCATCCTATCCTACTACTGCTCTTTTTTCGGACCCACATTTTTTTAATTATCGCAATATCTTTATATTTGGGATGATTCATCGTCGTTCTTAACTGCAATTCAAATAGGACATGACGGAAATCGTAATGATTGCCAATCCATTTTCTATTAAAACTTCAATCCATATATAAATATAGAATGATTATGAAAATTTAATGGATAGCTTATAGGCACAAAAAAACTGGTTTAGAAAAATACAACATATCATTGTTCAAATGTTCGTATTCTGAAAAGAATTGCTATAGGGTGTCCAAAGGTGCGTTTAGCACAGCGCTCTATATGAGACTATTAAAGGAGATATATGCTGATTATAAATATATAATAAAAAATATGAATATATGTATATGATGAGTATGTTGTATTTTGGCGCCATGCCGGAATATAAAATGAATTTTGAGACAAGAGGCGGTTTCGCGGGAAATTTTGGCGGGATTTTTTTCATTTTTTTAATGAATCATAAAGAAAACATCCTCGCTCTTGCAAAAAAATGCAAAGACTGTAAAAAAATCTACGAGACATTGGTAAAATGCTTCGGTATGGATGCTCTTAGCTATTCCACTGTAACGTATCATGTTAGGATGTATCACTTCATGAACAAAAAGGCGCCCATCATAAAAATTGACAAAAAATCGCCGGATCAAAGAAAAATCAAAGCAATTCTTCAAGCGCTAGATGAAGACCCAAGAGCATCACTCAGAAGGATAGAGGAGATGACAAAGATACCACGTACAACAGTCAGTTATTATCTGCACAATTATTTGAACTACAAACTAGCGTATACACGTTGGGTTCCGCACAACCTTAATTCAGTTCAAAAAAAATCTAGAGTCCAATCTTCGAAAGAGCTCCTCTCTATATTGGGTGCGTATCAATCCAAGAAGTTTCGCTTTTTAGTAACAGGGGACGAGTCTTGGTTTCAATATGCAACAGAAGCCAAAATCATGTGGATCCCGAAGGATGAAAATCCGCAAACATTCCCGAAGAAAAAAATTGACACACCAATGATGATGTTGTCGGTTTTTTGGGGCGTGAATGGCATCATCGCAATTGATATTCTTCAAAAACCTAATACGATGAATGCTCAGTATCTAATTGACAATGTTCTTACTCAAATTATCAATTCTGATGAGTTTGAGAAATCCAAACAACAAAAACAAAAGTTTGCAATTCATTTTGATAATTCAAGAGTTCACAAAAGTCATAAGGTAATGAATTACTTGGTGGAAAACAATGTCAAAGTTGTTCCAAACCCAATTTATTCACCTGATATTGCACCCTCTGACTTTTATTTATTCGGCACGCTAAAAAAGAGAGCTGAAGGACGCGAATTCGCGAGTCCAGATGATCTTGAAAATTTTGTAAGAGAGCAATTTGAGCAATTTTCTCATGATGATTTAAAGCGCGTCTTTCAAGCCTGGATCGATCGCTGCGAACGCGTGATTGAATCCAATGGTGATTATATTTAAATAAACTTTATATATATGTAACTTGTTTATTTCTTTTCGCAGTATTCAGGTTTGTGCTAAACACACCTTTGGACACCCTATACTTAGTTTCTTTCATTATAAAAGTTTGGTCATAAAGGATGGCTTGAAATAGGAAATTCAGCACTTAGATGCAACAGGCGTCAAAAATTTTCTCACTGGGTTTTCGTCTATCAATCCCAGCTCATTATATACGCAACCAATCAAAAATCTGATATGGGAGTCCAAGGCTAACTTTTTGTTGTCTACCTAATAAAAGAGGAAGCAGCATTAGTGAGAATAATCGCAAATATTCAATTTAAATTATCTTTTTATTCTTAATTTAAAGTGACAAAAAGAATAAAAAACCTATTCTAAGGCATGTTGTTATGTAAATGAGACTAGACATCATATTTTATGTTATGAAAAAAAAATATTTAGAATTTTAGAACAAAATAAATAGAAAAAATAGCATAACTTATGGATGTGCGTATATTAAATTTAATAAATTAAGAGAAATTATTTTTGGCGCCAAAATTATTCGTTAACTCTCAAATTTTTCTGAGTCAATAAGCCGCCAAAAAGTGTCATTTCTTTATAGGAAAGGAAACCTATTTGACGAACAATCCGGACACTAGTGCCTCAGCGAATTTTGCCAAACCCACCAATCCCCTCCCTGCTGTTGTGCACCATCGATGGAAAGTAAGTCATCAATAGTCTCTTTTCCTTGGACTTGAAATGTAAATCTCGGACGAAAGTAAGTCTGACTTGAAATGTAAGTCTCGGACGAAAGTAAGTCTGACTTGAAATGTAAGTCTCGGACGAAAGTAAGTCTGACTTGAAATGGAAGTCTGATTCTAAATGTAAGTTCTAGACTAAAGTAAGTCTGATTCTAAATATAAGTCTGATATTAAGATAAGTTTGTAACTAAAATTAAGTCTTATTCCAAAAGCAAATTTAATTGTATAATAAGTCTGGATCTAGAGTAAGCCTTAGTCTACAGCTATTCTGTGTCAAAAATAAGTCACGAACCATAGTAAGTTTCGGACTAGAGTATGTCTGTAATTCGAATCATTCATATTCTTCAATTATCCCGCCAAAAAAATTATCGTCTTTTTATCATACCATAGTTTTTATCAATCTCGTTCTACTAAAAAACCTTTATATTGGTGATTTCTTTGTTAAACCCGTATTTTTTCATGTGAATCTTATTGTATAAACTCTAAAAGTTCAATTTCCGGTCGAAAAAAACTTGAAAACAATTTGTATTCGACGAGTTAAAGAGCTCTATTTATTCTAAATTTTCCAAAAAAATTAGATTTCGTTTTTTCGCTTCAAAAAATGTTGTTTTAAGTTTTAAAATTTGTAATTCAAAATTTTTTTGGAAAGATTTACGATTTTTTAATACTGCGAATGAGTTTTATTTTACATACTCTATTGATAAATCATATTTTTGTCGAGATATAACTTTTTTTAAAAAAATTATATGCAAAGAGTGTTATAGAATTCTAGAAGGTATAGTGCATAATTTGAAGTATACTATCAAATAAAGAAATTTTACAGTTTTTTAGTTTTATTTAGATGTACGTTATTTTAGATGGCTTCGTCGAAAACAAAGCATGTCTGTTAAGTTTATTCTTAACATGGTAAATAAAATGGCAACGAAGCCCAGTGTACTGCGTCTTATGCCGTAGTTTTTGTTATCTTCATACTCAAATACAACAAATACAAATAGATTTATTACGAAAAAACGTATAAAACAAATGATATATTTATTTCTAGACAAGTTGACGAACATGTAGCGCAACTGTATCGCTTTAGAGAACAGTTCTTCCAACACCTACTCATTCAGTGAAAGACTGATTCACATTGTTGCTGGTAAGTCTGATTGCTTCAGATAGAGAGCATGAATTGCTTCTTTATCATCTAATCCCCATCCCCCTTGTTCCCGATTGGATGACATGGACAATTCATCTTTCTCTAACGAAAAAAATGACACTTTTTGGCGGCTTATTGACTCAGAAAAATTTGAGAGTTAACGAATAATTTTGGCGCCAAAAATAATTTCTCTTAATTTATTAAATTTAATATACGCACATCCATAAGTTATGCTATTTTTTCTATTTATTTTGTTCTAAAATTCTAAATATTTTTTTTTCATAACATAAAATATGATGTCTAGTCTCATTTACATAACAACATGCCTTAGAATAGGTTTTTTATTCTTTTTGTCACTTTAAATTAAGAATAAAAAGATAATTTAAATTGAATATTTGCGATTATTCTCACTAATGCTGCTTCCTCTTTTATTAGGTAGACAACAAAAAGTTAGCCTTGGACTCCCATATCAGATTTTTGATTGGTTGCGTATATAATGAGCTGGGATTGATAGACGAAAACCCAGTGAGAAAATTTTTGACGCCGATGCAACATTTGCAATTTTTGAACGTAAATCTAATTTTTTAGGCTGTCGTAATTATATTTTGAGAAGATATATAACATATTCAATAAGATGTTGCTTTAAAGCAAATGAGATAAAAAGATATTTTCCAATTTTGCAAATATTCTAATATTTATTCAAAAAAAGAATATGAATATATATATATTAATAGGTATACGTGTGTGTGGATATATATTGTTAAGTTCAGAATATCTCGAAACTGTTGAAAAAGTCACCAAGGTCGAAGTCATTCTGGAATATGTTTTGTTGGTTGAAATCGATCATGAAATCTCCGATTTGATTATTTTTGTATTTTTCATCACTCTGCACATCTTTTGATGTTGAACCGACAAAGTGTTTGTCGTCATCAATGTCTGATGTTTGTTGTGTCTGTGATTTCATCCTGCGTTGAAGAAGTTTGAATCGAGTCTTGACAGATGTGTCTGAACGACCTGGAATCATAGATGATATTTGGACCCACTTAGCACCAAGCTTAGAGTGAAGTTCAAGAATCATGTCGTCTTCCTCTTTCGTGTATGGACCATTACGAAGTTTTGGACAAACAAATTTCTCCCACCTGTCTTTGCACTGGCGCTGATTGCGACCTGGCATGCTGCGACTGATGAGTTTCCAGTCACTCGTTCTATGCTCGTTGACAAGACGACGAAGACGTTTGTCTTCTTCCTTAGAGAAGTGGACTTTCAAGACACGTGTTCTTGTGAACATTTATCAATACTGTTTGTTATCATTTATCCTCTCAATAATAAAATTTTGATAGAAAATTCAATCGTTTTTCAATTCATTCAATGGTAAAAATTTCTATGAATTTTCTGATGTTTACAATTGCCCGGCTGATTGTTTCTCCTCTCATTTTAGAAATGACTATCAAGAATGTTTTATTTCTTATCATCACAACACACACTACAGCATAACATATATTTTCATATCTTTATTCTTTTCTACTCTTCCATCAAATATATTTTTTCAATTTCGCATTTCATATCATATTTTAACCAATACCATGCATTACACTCAGATGGGCATCGATGTGTTGCCATGTTTCAATGTATTGATTCAATCATATATTTATTTTTATAATTTTTGTTATTAAAATTTATATAAAATTGAACTTTTCACTACAACAAGGATTCGCTATAGATACACCGACCATGTTATGTGAGTTAATAATATCAATTTAATTTATTAAAAATGGAATTAATTATTTGTTTTCAAGTCTTGTGCTAAATGATTCACTTGCTCTTCGGCTTACATCACATCATTTCGAATGTTAACAAGTAGCTTCTTATTCAACTCTCTTTATGAATAGCATCTGAGAAACATCGAAATCATTTTTCTTGAAATAAATGAAATGAAGCTTTTTGAGTCGAAATTTTCTATTTTACTTAATATTATCATTATAATCTTAATAATATACAACTCAATAGTATTTACAACAAATATTACACTTGATACATCAAGTAGGCGTAAAATTTCAAATTCAATTTCCTTTCTCAAAGAAAAAATTCAACCCAAACAAAGCAAATTTTCTACAAATCATAGTAAATATCCCAATTCGCCTCTACATTTACCCCCAGCTCCAGAAGATATCAATTACACTCAAGAAGAATTGCAAGAAGCAATTAAGGGGCTTAATATTCCTATATGGTCAAGATCATATGTGCCTTGTGATGATAGTCGTAGTGAAATTACATGCACACAAGTTATCAAAGCTTTTAGAGTTTTGAATAACTGGTCAAAACATATAGAAAGAACAAAATTTGAGGATACAAAACATTTTTACACAATACACAAAAACTTTGGTGGGGTAGGAAATCGTTTTGCCACTGATATGGCAACTTTTCTGATTGCATTAATGCAAAATCGATCCTTTGTTATTAACTCTGTCTATCCTCGAGGGATCAAATACGGAAATGGTCAAGCTTTCCAGTTCCAAAAGAATGTTATTTTACTTGATGAAAATAATGAAAAAACGTATGGACTCAAAGAAAAGAATAATGATTCAAGCATTGACTCCGATGCAAAATGGTATACATATGATTATGAAACGGAGCTTCCCAAGAAAGATTTATATTTTGACAGATTATTATACGCAACTACTCCTTATTTGAATAGCCAATTATCAGAATTTGCACGAATCCACTTTGGAATGCATGCAGCATATTTCATTTCCAATTTTCTTACAAAAATTCCAGAAAAAAATATAAATTATTCAAAAAAGTTACTTGAAAAAGTCCCTCCAGGTTATAGAGTCTTTGGAGTTCACCTGAGGTTCCAAAATCCTGGACAATTTTATTCTTATAATACTAGCGCAACTATGAAAACAGTTACGAAATTTTTGAAACAAAAATTAGAAGAAAAGCCAACAATATTTATATTCGCAAGTGATTCTGCTACAATGGAGACAGAGTTCATGAAAGAGTTTGCCAACAATACAATATCAGCAAATGTTATTCGTATTCCAGATTACGACCATGATTCAGCACTTCTTGATATTACTTTGCTTGAGATGTGTGATGAATGCTTGTTGACTTATAGATCTACTTTTTCATATGTTTGTGCAATGAGAACAGGAAAAAGAGCTTGGTTTGTCGAAAAAGAGTCAAATTATGTTTTTCAAGCATCAAATTCGCAAGCAACAGCTATTTCTGTCCTTTATCATCAACATGATATAAATGACTGGCAGTTAAATAGAAGAGTTCATGTTAATGATAAAAATGAAGAAGCATTAAGATATTACTTTAAGTATTTGCTTATATAGAATGAATAAAGTATTTGTTTGTATGTTATGTAAATAAAATAATATTCAAATTATTTCAAAAATTGAAATTACATCATATATGGTATTAGAGCTTTAGTATATGATCGAAGGAGGTACAATATAATGAGTTCTATTCAATTGATGCTATTAAAAATGATATTAAATATGAAATTAAAAAAAATATTGTTGATGGAAAAATAAAAAAGAATAATGGTATGGAAATATATATTGTTTTGTAGTGTGTGTTGTGATGATAAGAAATAAAACATTCTTGATAGTCATTTCTAAAATGAGAGGAGAAACAATCAGCCGGGCAATTGTAAACATCAGAAAATTCATAGAAATTTTTACCATTGAATGAATTGAAAAACGATTGAATTTTCTATCAAAATTTTATTATTGAGAGGATAAATGATAACAAACAGTATTGATAAATGTTCACAAGAACACGTGTCTTGAAAGTCCACTTCTCTAAGGAAGAAGACAAACGTCTTCGTCGTCTTGTCAACGAGCATGGAACGAGTGACTGGAAACTCATCAGTCGCAGCATGCCAGGTCGCAATCAGCGCCAGTGCAAAGACAGGTGGGAGAAATTTGTTTGTCCAAAACTTCGTAATGGTCCATACACGAAAGAGGAAGACGACATGATTCTTGAACTTCACTCTAAGCTTGGTGCTAAGTGGGTCCAAATATCATCTATGATTCCAGGTCGTTCAGACACATCTGTCAAGACTCGATTCAAACTTCTTCAACGCAGGATGAAATCACAGACACAACAAACATCAGACATTGATGACGACAAACACTTTGTCGGTTCAACATCAAAAGATGTGCAGAGTGATGAAAAATACAAAAATAATCAAATCGGAGATTTCATGATCGATTTCAACCAACAAAACATATTCCAGAATGACTTCGACCTTGGTGACTTTTTCAACAGTTTCGAGATATTCTGAACCTAACAATATATATTCACACGCACACATACATATCAATATATATTCACATTCTTTGTTTGAATAAATATTAGAATATTTCTTTTCGAAAAAATTAAATATCCTTTTAATATTTTAAAGTGAACAATGTGATTAAAACACGAATTCTCTTGTTATGCAAAGTTGAAATGAGCTATTATCCCATTATTTTTGAAATTCAAAATGCAAAGCAAAGCTTTTTGAATGAACGCCCCTTTCACATGGAAAGATGTTGTCCCTAAGACAAGATGGTAACTACATTTATGTTCTTTAGTAAGGTCCAAAGATAATTTTTCTTCAAAAATAATAATAAATTAGGGGGAGAAAATTGAATAAATAGTAACCTCGTTTTTGATTTTTTCATCCATGGATCCTCAAGATCCAATTGGATTTCGACGTAACAAAGCTATACAATGGATCAGAACAGTAAGTTATAGCCATGAAGATCAAAAAATCTGGCAATATGGTGAGAATAACCTTTATAATACGAATTTTCAAAAATATATTTCAAAACGAGAAGAAATCATAGCAGACCCTCAAAGTGTACCAAAAACAAATCCAATATCATCCTTATCAACTATTAATGAAATACGAGATTTCTTTATGAACGATTTAAAAGTTCCTCAGTTCGAATTATTGATTCCTGATATCATCAGACAAGTAATTATGGTCTCATCAGACAATATTGGTCTATGTTTATGTCTATCTACATATGCAAAATCGATTCCTTTAATTGTACAATCACTTTTAGCCAATTTCAAAGATTTCCCAAAGGATGCAAAGAAATTTGGTCAACAAGCAATCAATATGCTCTCCAAAATGAAGCCAATTGCGCCTTTTTATCCCGATTTTGAACAACATTACATTTTTAATTTTGGTCTTGTCGAACCATACATCGCCACCAAGACATCATTTACGTTAGGTGATGGATGCGTATACTCAGGATATAGTAATAATACGATTGTTTATACATTTTTGAGTTTATTCGACGAAAGTAACAGAACTAAAACGATTTTTACTTCACAGAAGTCGCTTGGAAGATTCTCATTAGTATGCATTAACGAAATACTGTTAGTTATATCAGCAGATGTCCAATCTTTCGCATTAAATACAAATACATACGAAACTGTACAAATTCAGAAACTATCTTATGTACAATATCCATGTATATCAGACGGTCATTACATATTCTCAATTTCAGAAAATCATCCAAAAATTAAAGTTTTCGAAATTATTGGATCAGAAGCTGTTTATATTCGAACAGTAACTGTCGAAACTACTTTAAATATCAGTGATTGCATCTGTGCTACAAATGGAACTGTTTTATCTTTACTTTCTTCGGCAAATAATTCGAAAAGTTGTTCAATGTATTCAATCATCGATGGAAGGTTCCTACAAACAATAGAGATAGAAAGAAAGGTCGGTTTACCATTAATTTACGGTTGGATATTCGATCCTTACAATTTTGGACATCTTTGTTTGACAACTGACGGATTGTTGTTTTTAAATGGTCCGTCAGCATTGCCACCATGGTTTTTCGGTATTAATATCCCAGAAGTATCGAAAATTCAGTTCGCAAACGAACATGCGATTCATATCTCGTATTTGAATCAATTGTTGCTTCTCGCTATATATTATTTGGGAAGTGGTATCTTTCCTATGTCGAATGCCGACCAAACTGTTATAGTTTCTTTGTTATCTTTAATGGAAAATCAAATTAAGTCAAGTGAGTTTGATCCGAACATTATCCATGCCATTCTCATAATTTTATTGTCAAAATGCAGGCAGTTGAATACAGCTTGTCCAGAAATTTATGGAATTACTTTACAATTTTTCAATGAAGCGAACAAACATCTTAGACCGCTCAGAAAACATATGAGTTTTGTTTATCTCAGCTTGTATAACATGATTCCTCCTGAAAATGATAAAATTATCAAGATATTTAATAAAATTTCCGCAGATCCTTCTTGTTCAGAGATTTTAGTCATGCTATTGGATATTAAGTCCATCGATCAGGAGCTTCTATCAAAGGAATTCGTACAAAACGTAATTTTGAATTTATTAAAATTAAAACAAACATTTTCTGACAGAGTTACCTCATTACTTTGGGATTTGATAACCAAACTAATCGATGCCCGTGAAATTCCTGAAGTTTCGGAAAAAATTGACGCTTTTGTAATAAATCTCGTTGCAGCAATGAACAATTTATGTATTCCATCGAAAGGAGCGGTCATGACTAACTTACAGTTCTCCAGATCTCCTACTTTGATCATTTATTACAGATTATTGGATACATATCTTGACACAAGGAAGATAACAACAGATATTGTGGCCAAAAACATAAATAGTCTCTCAATATTGACTATTTGTTCGTTAGATCCTATAATTGACAGAAGAATTTCAAATATTTTGGCCAAAAACATTTTCTTGACTTATCTACAGCTTCTCGATAAGATTTACAACGATGATGAATTCATAAGATACAAGAAATTGCCTCAAAAAGTGTTTCATCCTCAATTCAAAATCAAAAATCGAGATAATGTTACGGATTTAGTCGAGAAATGCCTCTTAGACTCCATTGGTATTGCCAACCAGTCCAATATCGAGACTTTCCTCACCAAAATATCGAACAATGTCAAAATTGGAATCGATTCTTTTTCAAATTTGTCCGAAAAAGTGAAGAAACTCGAAGATATCCAGCCACAACCACTTAGAAAGATCATACGATTCCTTGAAGACCCAGATGCCAAGTTTAATGTCCATGGAGACGAAGCAATGCAAGATTTCCTAAAATCTGTAAAATATTATCACGACCAAACCGTTGTAGACTATGATTCCGTTGTTGGCTCTCTTCTTTTCTACTTCGATGCCCTTTCCGATGACATTCTCTGTCTTTCCCAAGAAGATGCGATGAAATTCGTCCGAATTATCCCTTCCCCGCTCTCTCTTCCCTACCAAATCCTTGTTGCCGCTGACTACAAGATGAATGAGAACCAAATACTCGCACTCAAGCTCGACGACCTCTGTAAAAATAAAGAAAAAATCATTCAAATTTACCAAGGTTATCAAAATTTGTCACTTTTACAACCGTTAATTTCTACACAACATTTAGTTTCTGTTAGTGAAAGTGTGTTGAACAGAGCGTTGAGTCTTTCGTGTATTTACTTCTCATCGGATAATGTTGTTCTGGACAACAAAATTTACTTTCTTTTGCAAAGAATTCTGCAAAATGTCACTGGAGTCACTTTTCCAACTTTTTTAGATCTTTGCAGGATCATCATTAGCAAAGGATATGATGTCATATCAGAGCAGCTCAGCCAATTGATAATAGACATTATTTCTCGTGGTTTGATGAAAGATAAAAGTGTTTTGCCAAAAGTGAATGAGTCTTCATTCTTTAAATGCGTTTTCACGGCAATTGACACTGCAAGAATCCTTCTTTCGTCATCAACTGTCTTCTCTGGTTTTATTTCATCTGTTGATTCGTTTTCGAGAGAAATGAAAATTGCGGTTTTCGCAATTTGTCAAAATTCTTTGTTTGTCACAAGAAACTCAAAACGAATCGAGATAATTCTCCAAAATACAGATGTCATAAAGGCAAAGGATGTCACTGTTTCCGTAGATTCTACAAGACTATTCCTAGAAAACGGAAAAGTCATAGAAACAAGAGTTTGTAAATCAATCAAAACTTTCTCAGAAAAATTCAAAATTCAAAAATTGAAACAAACTCGTTCAATTTTTGATTGCGTGTTAAACTTCGGCGCGCAGAGTGAAATAGAGAAAGTTTTGAAGTACTCTTGTTTAGTTGAGTTTACAAAACTGCCAGAATTATGTCAAACCGCTGAATTATTTGAATTTTTCAAAGGAAACAAAATTTCACCTACAACTGTCTTAGATCAGCGGATGTGGCATTTCTCGAACTCTTTCTTCAAACTCCCGAACTCGAGAATCCCTCCTTTCCAGATATCTTCCGCTCATTCTTCTTCAGTTTTGTCAAATTTGTCAGAAAATGACAAAATTTTTGTGAAAGGCGAAATTGTTTCTAATGGCGAATTCATGATATCATCTCCTATATTATCTAGCGTTTTTTCGAACATTGTCATTAGTATTCCTATTGCAATAACAGTACAATTCTTCATGCAAGGAAAACTTCGAAATTATTCAAGTTCTTTGTCTTACAAACAAATTACATTGAATTTCGAAGAGAATTCTAAGTTAGAAATATCTTTTGATCCTCAAATCAACGAGATATCTGTCAAAGCAAATGGAAATGCACATGTATTCCCTATGTATCCTTCTGTTGAATACTACGCTTTCTGTTTGATTATGCCTGAATCAAATTGTCCTTTTTCAGCGGAATTTTACGAAAAAGAAATTTCGGAAACAAATGCTTATAAGAACTTGAACCATGAGAATTTCCCTTCTTTGATTGAGTCATCAGGAGCTGCAAGTGTTGGATCTATATTTGATAAACATCAGCTCCACAACAGGACAAATCTTTGTTTGGAAAGTTTATCTTGTTCTGCATTGGAAAACATTGCAAGAAACAAAGGAAATAAACTGAAAACGAAAGAATTTGTTGAATGTCTTGTTATTGATGATGAAATGGACATTGCAAGAGAAATTGCTCTTGAAATAGGAAAAGAAGGGTTTCATTTAGAAAACAATGATGATGTTGTTGTTTATTCAGGAAATATAACAGCAATTCCTGTAGGAATGAATTTCCAATTGAGAGATAATAATTACTGGGCTGATGGAAATAAAATTGTGAAAAGAGGAGAAGGATTTACAACTCAGCCGTCTTTGATTATTCCAATCGATGATATAAGATGTACTTCTATTGTTAATAACAAAATTGCGAATTTGTTTGAATAATAAACTATATATATATACGATGTATATTATATTTTCTTGAAATTTGATTTTGATTCTTTCTTTTAATGATCGGCAATGTGCAATATAAATACTTGTATCAATATCTATATGTCAGTTGTTTCGTCTTTTATATATACATGTTTAAAGGGCCTAATTCACATTTTCTGGAATATTCTCAAAATATCTAATTCAGGCGTGAATACACAGAAAATTTAAGAAACTTCAAAAAGTAGTAATTGTACCTTTAAAAACACTTTTTTAATGGCTTGTTGACGCAATTATGTTCGCAATGAATGAAGAAACTCTAATGCATAACTACAATGCAGACAATAGTGATGATACTATATCTAAAGTTAATCGATCAATCACTCAAGATGATACATTTGATGATAGTCCAGATAATCCTATTGATGGAACTAAATTCCAGACATCATTCGAATAATTATATTTTTATTGATTGATTTATTATAACCGTGGTATTTATTATAATTCTATTTTTTTCATACTATTATAATAGTATAATGTTATTATTTTAATAAATAAGGATAAACATTGGTTTTCCCATCCTTTGCAAAATGAAATGAAAAATTTAGTATATCTAAGAATTTCACCCCTTAATATGTATATGTGGTGGACAAATGCTATGAATATGTTACGCTTATTTTCATATCTATATGTTATCTTTCTTTATTTTTGCGAGCAGATAAAACAAAAAATAATAATAAAAGATCGTAAATTGAATTTTTATTCAATTGGCTAATTTCAAGCAGATCTTGGTATTTCTGAATGAGAACGTCCTTTTGAGGACCAGTCGCCAAAACCTATTGAACCAAAACCTCCCATAAAAGGAAAGAAATTTGACGTTTCATTAGATTTATGTCGATGTAATTTATTTGAATGATCAGATATTTCTTGTCTTTTTTGAATTATCTTTTTTAACTCTTGAACTTCCTTTCGTAATTGGCGAATTTCATATAAAACTGATGTTAAGTCATCTTCATCTGATGTGAATGAACTCTTTATGAAGAAGAGCAAAAGGAATAGCATTCAATGAAAAAAAATGATTTTTGGGGTCTACACTCTGATCAGAAAATTTATTATCATTTTTTGCAGAGTAATGTTGTGTTTTCAATTTTATCTAAAAATTTTATTTCGAAGATAACGATAATTTAAAATCTTCTCTCAATTTTTCTGAGGAATGATCAAAACAATATTTTTTTAACATTTTTATAAACATGAATTATAAACTTCTTTTGGCTGGCGTTATTAAATCTAAGTGTGGTCTGTCTGTATATCCAACATGCAATAATAATGTTATTTTAGCTCTTTTTATCATTTCAATTTTGATTTGTATTCCATTCATGTATGTTTTAACTTCAATTCTCATTGATGCAAATAAATTCAAGCCAATAAAAAAAGATAAAGGACCTTTATTTTGTATCTTAACAGTAATGAATTGTTTAATAAATTCTATTTCATATTTAACACCTTTATTCATATTTGTGATCAATGAATTATCAAATGCATATGTATTAGTTCGAGTTGCTAATATTTTCCAGGTATTTTCAATAGTTTTATATTTTAATGAAATCACAAAAATTTTAATCATTTTTAATGTTTTTGGAGGAAAGTTTTTACATGTTTTATCGATGGTATTACTAGTTCTACTTGGTTTGCTTTCGTTCATTCAATATATCCAGTCATTCATAGAAAATGAAAAGATGGCTTATTATTTTTATCATATTTTATTTGAAAAAGATGCTTTAATCTATATGGCTACATTTATATATTGCTTGAGTTTTATTATACTTTCTATCACTTTTATTTTTTCCACACTTAAAGAGTTTCTTGAGGCATCAAAAAGGAAAAAACTATGTGTTGCTCTATTTTTCATTCCTATTGCTATTTTCGTTCAATATCTTCTAAATTATTCAATCAATTCTACTCTCTGGAGAGTTAAAATACATTATCAGCTTGAACCTTATATGTTTTACACAGATGATAAGACTCATGCAGGAATGTATTTATATTTGTATATTTTTTATCTATGCAGCTGGTACAGTTTTATGAATCTTATTCCATTATACATTTTGAATATATTGTCTGTGTCCAATGAAAAAGTACTAGAAGCAGAGCAAAGCAGTAATAATGTCCTTGAATCCATAATTGCCATATAAAACATCTCAAAAGAAATTTTTTGCCGTATGTTTGTTAATAAAAGGTATTGTTTTATCGATAATGATATTTTAAGCAAATGGAATTCAAAGAATGTTTTCTGATCAATACTGTGAACATTCGTTTCAAAGTTGAAAAGCTTCAAACTAAGCAAATTCATAGCTGCTCAAAGAAATAAAATGTAAAACTTTCACATCAAATTTTTACATTCTAATACAGTTTGGGGAAATCAGAGAAGATAAAAAGTTTAATGAGCAATATCTGACAAATATTTTGTGACATATGTCAGGTTATTTTGCCTACTCTTAACCGATATTTGGCAGATGCTAAAGAAGAAATTCGGTTGTTTCTTTACTTCTGAAGGGCAGTTTCTCCAACTATATCTGTTTGGTTGATACCTGCACCATATGAAATAAGAAGTTTGGTAATTTTCTTATAATTATTTGCTTCAGCAATATGAAGAGCTGTTTGACCGTCTACATCTCTTATATTGGCATTAGCCCCGTGTAAAAGAAGAAATTCGGCTATTTCCTTTTTATCTAAATCTACTGCTCTATGCAGAGCAGTTTGTCCAAAATTATCAATTTCATTGATATTTGCACCATGTAAAAGAAGAAGTTCGGCGGATTCTTTTGTTTGATTAAATGCTGTCTTATGAAGAGCTGTTTCCCCATCTATATCTTTTTCATTGATATCTGCGCCATTTGAAAGAAGAAGTTCGACTGTTTCTTTGTAATTTTTAAATGCAGCATAATGAAGAGGAGTTGATCTATCATTATTCTTTTCATTAATATTTGCACCATGTGAAAGAAGAAGTTCAACTGTATCTTTACAATTATTAAATGCTGCATCATGAAGAGCTGTTTCTCCGTCAATGTCTTTTTCATTGATATCAGCACCATTTGAAAGAAGAAGTTCGACTGTTTCTTTGTTATTTTTCAGTGCAGCATAATGAAGAGGAGTTTTTCCCTTATTATCTTTTTCATTAATATTTGCATCATGTGAAAGGAGAAGTTTAATTGAGTCTTTACTACTACTATATGCTGCATTATGAAGAGCTGTTTTCCCATTTATATCTTTTTCGCTGATATTAGCACCATGTAAAATAAGAAATTTTGTTGTTTCTTGGTTTTTATAAAATGCTGCCGATTTAATAAGAGCTGTTTCCCCATTTATATCTTTTTCGTTGATATTCGCACCATGCAAAAGAAAAACTTCGGCTGTTTCTTTATTATTATAAAGTGACGCAATATGAAGAGCGTTATCCCCATCTTCATTTATTTCATTAATATCTGCACCATATAAAATAAGAAGATCAGCTGTTTCTTTACAATTATGTTGAGCAGCAATATGAAGTGCTGAGAGTCCAAGTTCATTTTTTTCAGTAATATTTGCACCATGAAGAAGTAAAAGTTCGACTATTTCTTTACTATTTTTTGATGCAGCTCTATGAAGAGCTGTTTGCCCTTTTTCATCTTTTTCATTGATATTTGCACCAAGTGAAATGAAATACTCGCAAAGGGATGGAATACCAAATATCGTTGAATAAACAAAGCATTTGTTAAAATCATTAGTTTGAGCAAAGTAAACTCAAGATTATTATAGATTTCACAATGCTTTAAATTAATTTCTAATTTAAACTCTTCCATCAAAAATGTAACAAAATCAATGTTATGTGAAATAATTGCATATTCCATGCATTCTTTATTTGGTTTTTTGTACTTCAAACATTCGCTCATGATCTCTGGACTTCTTCCTAAAAATGAAAATTGTAAACATTTTTTAGTTATTTTTGATTCAAATTTCGTTCTTAATAACTTGAAACAATCAATAGCTCCATGGTAACAACATAATTCAAGTAATGAATATCCTTCATAATCGAACGGGTATAATCCACATTGAATTTTTTGATCTTCATCGAATTCGTCCATTTCAATGAATGAGACGAATCTTTCTTTGTCATCATTCATAATTGTTCTGTGAATTGTATATTTTGAATGAATATCTAGATTTTCTGAATTAATATCCTCGATATTATAAGATTTGTTTAATTTAATTCCATATTCTTTATAAAACAGGTAATTAGAAACATCTGAAATATTTCTAATCTCTTTAATATGATAGTCATCAGATATGAATTTTGCAAGAGCTAAGTATGACTTTGTATAGTTGTTATTATACTCGATCATGCCTAAAATGTCTTCTATAATATTTTTTGGTTGATATTTCTTTGAATCAATCAGATTTATCTTGATCATGTTGTAAATCGACCTTAATTCTTCTTCATTCTTTGTTTTTAACTGATACAATGCAGCATATAAATCTATGTGGTATTTATATGCATTTCTCAATTCATTGTATACCTTTGGAGGAATATCTTGCTCAGACATTTAAAATTTTACTTATTTTTCCCAACAAAATATTAATATATGTGATACCATTGCTAATATAAGATAAAAAATATATTCATCCTTTCAATTTTGGCAATAGTTCACAGTGAAAACCACAATCAGGTCACCCAGATATATTATGGAGACTTAGAAACGTTATTATTTTCCTTATACCTTATGCGCATTTCTTAATTTTAAGATGGGATCAAATCATAAGAAAGAATAAACAAGCATTTGAATTTATGCTTATAACTTAGAAAATATATCGGACTGTGCATTATATTATAAAAATTTTTACAGTATTTTATATGTTTTATAAACAATAGATAAATCTAATTTATAAAAGTAAAATAACGTAAATATGAGCGTGGGTAATAGCTATGATAATGCATGTAATGATTGATGCAGTGCTAATTTCAGCATGAAAGCTAAAAAAATATAGAAATTATTCGGAATCTGGTTTTGATTAAAAAATCAAATCACAAATGAAGAAAGGAATGTTGGTAAGCAAGAATTGCTTTGGTCATGAGAAATGAAATGGAGTATTTTATACGAGTGGCTTTTTCTCTTTTTTGTTTTCTTCTACTTTGCCACGATTCCTAGTATTCGCATAATTTATAATGGATTTTGCTGTTCCTAAACCTTTTGATGCAGCTCGATAAACAATTTCGCAAATATCGATAAATTCTTGCTTCGTTTTCAATAAAAAGTTCATTTTGTTGTTTTCTCCTGTTCCATAATCTACTGTAATATGCCTGTTTTTGAAAAAGAACATAACACTGCATGGATCTACTAATTCGTACATTTTATTAAAATCTGGAACTTTAATGATATCAACTGCATAAATAACTACGAAGTTCTTCAGTTTTTCTGCACATGAAGCAAGCATTTGGTCCATTTTCATGCACATCGGATCTGTATCTCGGCCAAATCTAATACAAACAAGCTTTGTCTTCTCCCAAACAATTGCTTGATCTACATCCCACCCACTTGGTAAATGAGTAAGAAGAAAAGACATTAGATTTTGTCAAAAAAAAATTAAAAAAAATAAAAATTAGTCATCAAAAATTGCAAAGTCTTCTAAGAGCTATAAGGTTTCATTATGAGATAATATATTGCAAATATGGATGTCAAGCCTTCGCTGTTTCTAACTAGCTTAATTTTTGATGATTTCGGGTTCATTTCGAAATTTTGTCTCTTTGTTTTCCATTTTGTCATCTTTAGATTTTACGTCTAGAAAACTATTACAGAGTTCGTTACAAAGTGTTAAGATTCAAAGGTTAACCTGGACATAATTTTGTTTATTTTTTAATCCGAAGTTCATATCAAAAAGTTGCATTTTTGATTTAATGAAAAAATAAATTGACTTATGCTATTAAGTCTAAAATGTATAACGTCATTTTTTGCTAACCAAAGTCTATTCAAAAATTTATCAAATTAGAAATCATAAAAAAAGCTGATAAAATTTTGTTCAGATGGGAACCTTTTTGATTTAGTGATTTCTCTTAAAAAGGTACATTTCATTTTTTGAGAAGTTTACGAATTATAGATGAATACCACTGTTACAAACTTAGCGATATTCCGTAGCATTGGTAGTTCGTCCTTTTTCACTGATGCAGCAAGGAATATGCCAAGCAGTTTCAGTTTTAATAAAATACGCTTTTCGCAAACTTATCATTCTTTCTTCCGTGGATCGAATGTTAGGTATTTCAAAATTGCTTCTTCTTCGTTCAATAAGTTCCACGATGCTGTTATTCATATATCATCTAACGAGACACTTAATTATACCAATAAAGATATATCTGGAAATAAAAACTCAACCGAAACGACCTTTACTTTCAAAAAGAACTTCGTTGGAAATGCTGGTAAATTACTTCAAGACGCAGAATTTCTGGATCTTGCCGCAAAAACTGCAACCATTCACGTAACATTTACTGAATGCCTTCTAGCCAACTTTTATACTCTAAAAACTGCAGGAATCTCCGTGAAATCTGCTAACGACCAAGCTGTAACTTTTACAATGGAGAAAACCATTATTACAAAGTTTATCGCTAAATTCTCGAATGTGATGGAACTTGCCAACATTTTCGTCATTGCAAACACTACCACTTTTCAGAACAACCATTTATTTAGTGATGCATGTCTCGATGACGGAAAAACAGTTATGTTCTTTAATATACACAACGGAAAGAGTGTCAATCATACAATGTCTCAGAACAACATAACTAAATGCAAAGGTGGTCATATTGGAGTTGTTTATAATTTGGCTGACAATTTCCCCACATATAAATTCTGCGCATTCGCCAATAACTACCACCGCAATAAAATATGTTCTGAGTTAGTAATTCTAAATTCTTTATATGAGGACAATACAATATATTCCAAAGATGGATGCGAATACCATATTGAAAATTGCATTTTCGCAAATGCAACACAAGGAATGCATCTCGACGATGCTGATTTTTACTTATTTAACTTCGCTGGTTACAAAGTTAACTTCACTAATTGTTATTTCTTAAATTGTCCGAAAGTGTTTGCTTATTCAACGCCTTATACTGATCATGGTAATTTAAAGATTGTCTTCAATGACTCATACACCGATTCATATACTAAATTTGAACTCGCCAACCCAGATAGGATTACGGAAACCACATTTAAGGGTCTTCAATTAAGTTATAATGGAACAGTACCAGGTTATACAACTGCTGACATCCCAGTCATTGTATCTCTCAAGAAGTTCTATCCTAAGTTCACACAAACATATTCTCAAATTAGAGAACAACTCACTAACGATGAAGGTGAAAAGTACGTAGCTTCAAGCAAATCTCCAGGTTCACTTGCTATTATTGTCGGTGTCGCTGCCCTTTTCTACTTCATTTTCATCATCTACGCCAGAAAGGGCACAAAGCAAAAATTCTTCGTCCTCGGAAACTACGGTGCCGAAGGCAAAGGCTTTGCCGACCAGGAAAGATGCTGCGCCTCTTGCCTCGACGCATTACCTTGTCTCAAGAAGAAGAAAGAAGACGATGCTAGCTTGGATAACATCGTTTCTGATTACTCTTCTTACGACAATGTTGAAGCTGCTCCGAAATCTAAGGGAGCTACGAAATCCAAGGACGCTCCGAAATCTAAACCGCCACCACCTCCAAAGTCAAAGTCAAGCAACAAGAGATTCGAGTCTGCTTCTGATTACTCGTATTCCGGATACTCTGATTCTTACTCCAAGCCAAAGTCGAAATCAGGTCCGAAATCAAAGCCTCCGAAGTCGAAAGACGCTCCAAAGTCTAAGGATGCACCAAAGAGCGAAAAGAAGAAGAAATCAAGCTCTTCTTCATCATCATACTCTGGTTACTCTGACTACGATTGAAGAGAAAAAAATTACATTACTTTTTATATTATCATTTGAATTTTAAAGCGAATCATTATATAAATGAATTTATTTTTACTTTTTTCCCCTAAAATGGCAACGAAAACCCTAAGATAAAATGAAATATCCAAGGAAAATTTAAAATCCGTTAATTTGTCCATACAATTTTTAATCACATAGTATAAGCAAGTGGTTGTCTGTTAGTCAATCGTTCAACGAGTCTGGAAAATTATATTGATTAGCTCAAAGCATTTGAAAAGCGAATAATGAACCAGCATTTACGATACAGTAGTGTTTTAGCTTCATTTAGAGGGAAAACAGTTTCATAAATCTACGAAATAAAAAAAATAATTTGAAAAATTTTAAGCGAGGATTAATAAATTAGAACATTTGTTTTATTTATGGCAACAATGAGTGGTTGTAGAAGTATTTGATGGCATAAGCGCTGAGGCAGCAGAAGATCTGGAAGCAAAGAAGTTCCACGCAAAGTCTGGCTTCTGTCTTGGGGCCAAACAAAATAAGCCACCAGTTTACAACGTTAAGGTTTGTCTTAATTCCCTCAAGTTTTCCTGTTTGTGGGTTTCTCTTTGGAAGGCGATGTCTTGGGCATGGAATGATTCCGAAGAGCTGTGGAAGTGAGAGTACGAAGTTGATGATCTGTGGTAACATGAATAATAAAGTCATTTCGGAGAAATGGCCGAGAATTCCAGCGGCAGCGATTGTTGTGCCTGCTGTCAATGTAAATGTATCGCCAACGAAAACTCTGGATGGGTACCAGTTGAAGTGTAAAAGAGCATATGTCGATGTAATGAATGGAATTAAGATTGTTGCGGCAGCCTGAGCTTGCTTATCAACATTCCAGTAGTATAATGAATGGAATAATAAGAAGCAGGCAACAATAAATGACTGACCAGCTTCAAGTCCATTAATTCCAGCGTAAATGTTGATTGAATGGGTGCAGAAAACTGTGAGGAGGCAAATGAAGATCTGATAGAGGAATCCAATATCAATGCACTGGAATCTGAAGATCTTTCTTAATGGCAAAAGAAATCCTTTGAGGCAAATTGTTGTTGAACCATTGTAATCAAGTACCAATGGAAGAACTGTGAAGATTGGGATAACAATTTTGACTCTCCATGGGATATCAAGGACATCATCTGCAAAACCAAGTAATGTTGTAATAACAACAGACACTAATGCTGGATAAAGGTCCTTCTTCTCATTAGAAAATGCTGCGATAATAACTAAAGCGAAAAGGAAAGCAGAACTGGATTGTAAACCCATTGATTCTGGGATCTTCTTTGGATTCTCTTTATCATTCTCCTTGTTAATATCTATGCCTCCGAGATTGCGTCTAAGGTGTGCATTCATGCAGCGAGGAATTGCATATAAAGTTAAGAAGTATGACATAATCGAGAGGCCAATTGTTGAAAGAAGACGTGGATCTTTAAAGTGTGTGTACGAAACACCAAATATTGGAAATAGGAGAAGGCTCAGCAAGGAGTAAAAAACTCTTGTTGACATATTTGATTGTTAAAATTTTTGTCATCGGCTAAACAGCTATTTTTTGGAAATTTTAAAAATTGAAATAAATGCACTGTTATATGAATGTTGGTTTTATCTGTTTGTCACTTTTTGGATTGTAAATTTCAATATTTTCAAAACCTTATCGAACGGTGATGAATATAATTTAGCGGTTTATTGAATTCCATTGACGTACGTACGATATATGGATAAAGTTCTGTATTCTCAAACCTTTTGCAAAACTAATTTTCAAGAATTCGATTTCCTTTTCGGATTTAGATGAACTGAATAATAAAGAGTATTTGCAAGCAATTTTAAAAATGTATTCCCACATTGAAGTTCAGAATAATTTGTTGAGCAACAATTTGATTAGACAATAAATAATGTGTATTATGCATAATCATGTATTTATATACTTATTACAAACAATCTATAACAATAAACTAATATGGGGCGGAGTTCTTAATCTCCGAGAGAGGAATGAGTTTCCTTTTTGCAGGTGGTTGCGGAAGAGATGCACCTGATGAGTTAGATCTACCACATGAAACTATAAGTTTCCTTTGGAGAGTTTTCTTGATATTTTTATAAAACTCTTCATTTTCTTCGAAATCAGTACCATTAAAGATACTGCAAACTTCATTAACTGCATTGAAAGCATCACTTTGATTCACAAATCCATTCATGACATAAGATTTCGCTAATTGAAGGAGCATATTAAAAGCTTTGTCTGAAATCAATTTGAGCTTCTTCAATTCGTTCCTTTTTCTAATGTCATTGGATATAGTTCTCAATGCATCCGAGCATGGATCAGGGCTATCATGCTCTCTGTATGAAATTCGATGACCATTTTGCCATGTTGTCCCATAGTGCTGATTTCTGGTAGAAGTTCTTCTCTGCTGCTCTATAATCTCAAAATCATCATCACTATCGGAGTCTATAATGATTGGAGTTGGTGAAGGATTATCATCAATGAACATTGAGATATCATCGTAATCTGGCATCTGTTGCTTCTTAAACTCAACATCTATTTCTTTTCCAGAATAAAATGAGTTTTTGAAGAAGCGCACTTTTTTGATTTGAGATCTGCATAGTGGACACTCACTGCATTGCTGAATCCATTTCTCAATGCACGCTTTGCAGAATTTATGGTGGCAATCTGTTATTCCTACCTCCTGTGACATGTTTTCCAGACATATCACACATTGCTCCATGCAATTCTAAACGTAAAATTTTCAGGGCGAAGAATTCCTCATATGATTTGTAGTCAATTATTATATATTCTAGATAAATTTCACTTTTTGTCGATAAATATGGCATTTATTCACTGAGTTTTCAGAATATATAATTATTCGCTTTCCTTAACGAGGTCTTAACTGTATGATCAATTAAACAAAGTGGAAGTAATTTTGCTGGAACAAAATATTATAGAAATGGATTAAAGTTCATCATTTTCTATTACGAATTTATGGAAATAACGCTTAGACTCCCTTAAATAGATCGATATATGTGATTAAAAATCAATTTTTGCTAGAATGCATTTGGGTTCGTTGAAAATATATTACAAACAAGATATATTTTATTTCCTAAGATATTCTGCATTCATTCTTTTCTATTGTCGGTTGATACGTTAGCAAAAATCTTCTTTTGCGCTCGGTAATGAAGTGTGGATTATATTTCCTCATCTGCTCTAGAGCTTCTTCAGGGGAATATCCTTTATTAATCAATGCTATTGCTGCTAATGCAGGTGAAACACCACATCCTCTTCTGCATGCAACAGCAATGAAGTCATTATGACCTCTTTTTGGAGATGTAAATAAGCTCCAAAATAAATCAATAATCTTCTGAGAAGGAGCTGCACCATCTTCTGATTGGATGCTATGAACATTAATATGATTGGCTTCAAAGAAATCTAGTTCTGGATCGGGCTCTGAGGCAACAATTAAATCCTTTACATGCAATTGTTTAAAATAAGATAGATATTGCATGAAATAATCCCTTTGTGGTATTGCAGTAAGAATCATATTGATTCTTTTCTGAGTTAAGCATAGAGTTACCCCGCTTGGTATCCGATTAGAGAAACTCATATTATGATACGTCAAAAATTTTCAGGTTTGAATACTTCTCAAAAAAAAAATTCAATCGTTTTTAATTCAAAATGGATACAATGGGATTTTGAAATGAAACCAGTTGATGATCGGCTTAATCAAAGCTGTATTGAATTTGCTTGCCAAATAAAATATATTTATGCAGTAAGGGTTAGTAGATTTGGGTTTTCCAAAAATTTCGAAAATTTTTGATTATAAGTTTATTCTAAAAATACGAAAATATTAGTGTATTGTTAATTTTCATATTAATTTCGCTAAAATTGTAGAAATCTTCTACATTTGAGGTTGATCGAATGAAATTTTCAATTGACACAAATTATTTGGAATTATAATAGTGCAAAAACTATTAAATAACTAGATGTATGTTAATAATGCATGTAACGCTCAAAAAAAATGGTAATTATCAATACAAACAAAATATTTACTATAATAAACATCCGAAATTAAGTATTATTCTTTCTTCTTCACTCTTCTTGGTGTTTCCTTGGTGCCTTGGTGGTTATTACTTGAAACGATCATAGAAGATTTTCTTTTAACGTGTCCTGAGGCTGGAAGTGTATGTGGTGCTTTCTGAGTTGTTTTGTAGGCACTGGAGAGCTTTGGTGTTGATATCTTTTGCTTTGGTTTGTTCCAATCGAATTTGTAGTCATAAGTATATCCCAACCTCATGAAAAGGTCACGGAACATGTACTTATATGCGAAGTAATTAGGTGTCTCTGTAAAACGTAATGCTCTAACTTCTGTAATGTAATTCATGAATTCTATTGGAAGTCCTTTGCATAACTCGTTTAAATCGACGGATTCTTTCATATTTGCTATTTTTTCGTATTTTTCTTTATCTGTTTTTGCTTGGATGCCCATCCATGGAAGACTTCCTTTAAGAAAGTAAATCCAGACATAACCAAGCGATTCCATGTCATCTCTTCTAGATGATTCAATACCTCGTAGCTGGTTGATCGAAGCATATCGCGCTGTTCCGGTTAAACTCTTTCCTTGGGTATATGGAATATGTTCGTGCGAATTCATATCTCTGTATTGTTTGGCAAGGCCAAAATCAATGATAAATACTTGATTTTCCATTTTCCCTGTTCCCATCACAAAATTTTCTGGTTTTATGTCTTGATGAATAAAGTTTTTGTTGTGAATGTATTCGACGCATGATATCATCTGATCTATTATCATTAGAACTGTTTTGAGTGATAATTTGTTTTTGCACTTCTCAAAGAGGTCTTCAAGTGATTTGTTCATTAAATCCATAACCATAACTTTCTCTTTGCCTTCAACGCCAAAATACCTGATTTTTGGCATATTTACGCAACCGCTAAGGTACATATAAAGTTTGGACTCCATATCTAGTTGTGGATTTTCGGTATTTACTGCCTCAAACTTTACGGCAATTTGCTCATGAGTTTCGGTCTCCTCTCCTGAGAATATTTTACCAAAACTGCCCGCACCGATCTTTTTCAAGACTTTATATTTCCCATTAATAATCATATCCATTTAATATAAATTTTGATTTCAAAAGTACGAAATGTAAATATTTCAAAAATTCAGAGAGATTCGCCAATAAAAAAGTCAACTTTACTTAACCACTAAAATATATACATAAATCTAAAACAGTTTTATAAGGGCAATTCGTTTTTGCAAAATAAGGTATTTTGATGAAAACACGTTGCCATCATGTATTCTAAAAGATAACAAAGTTAATCAAAAGACCAAATTTATGGAATATTGATTAATTGCAAAAAAAATACTTTGAAAATTCTAATATTATTGAGTTTTTCCCCGGCAAACATAATTATATTAAGTGAGAAAATTAAATATTATAAAATTGATATTAATTTATTCTTGAAATAAGATACCCTCAATTTTTGACTTTTGCAACTTTTTCATGACCCCCTACCCAGGTATCTAAAATACCATTTATCGCCTGAAAAGCACCCTTAATTTATGCCAATTGACAAAATAAAGATATGTTTAGAATGCTGATATGATGGAGAATCATGCTGCATCATTATTGGCCAGCAATATATAATATTTAAGAAATCTACGAGATTATCTGATTTCATGAAACTCAATGTATACTAAGTTTCAGACTTTGAAATTTTAACATGTTGATATGGGTACATAGGGTTTATGATTCCAGTCATTTATTTAAAAAATTACAAAAATGAATTAATATGATGTGAGTAACAATGATAATAAACGCTTAATTACTAATATATTATTTTTTGGTAGGAATGAAATGTTTTGGTGACATTTATAGAAGTTAAGCTGAGAATCAAAAATGCAAAAATTATTTTAAATATTACAAGCATTATTTGATGTCATTGAGTTTAGAGTCGTGTAGATATATGAGTACAATATGTTATTGATGTATATATGCAATAATTGTGAAAATGAAATGTGAATCTCAAGATGAGTTGCATAATACTGCGTCATAATTTGAATTCAATATGTACATAACATTACTAAATGTATTTTAAGATAATACAAAAAATTAAGCTTGCAAAAAGATATCGAAATGTAATTTTCATTAGATTCAAAGATCTGCATAGATTTCGATTTTAACTATTGATGAATTTGTCAAACCTCTATAATAATAGAATGTAGAACTAATTAAATATAATTAAAATAAAAAAATACAAATTAAAGTGATATTATAAGAGATATATGTGATGTTACCAATATGACATGATATTGGAGAACTGAGAGAATTGTGATGTGAGACTAAATATGATTTTATTATGAATAGGAGAATAATTTTAGAAGAATTTCTTGAATTTAATATATCTGAATATGTAATTCGGCATATATTCTATATATATATTGGTATATTAACTAGAAATAAGAATAGGAAAGATTGTTAATGAATAATATGAGATTAAGCGAAAATATATTGTTCTAATAGATGAGTGTGGAGATTCAATATATGTGAAGAGGGATATGTGAGAGGAAATATGTAAATTTAATAAAATATGCGATGAGAGAAAAAATAACAATGATTTATATGAAATATATGAGTATTGAAAAAGCCTGATTAGTGATTTCATGTCTGTAAAAGGAATAGATATTCTATGAGAAAGATGAAACGAATTAAAGAAGTAGAAAAAAAATTTAATTAAGATTGAAAAAAAATTGGAGTTTATGCAAATTTAAATAAGAAATATATTGCTTTTGGCATGAATATGTCATTCTGGGAGATATTGCCTCTGCATGTATCCCAGAATGGAACAATCTTTTGCAATCAGAATGTGATTGCAAAACTTTGACCGACAAGAGTGTATTGTGCACTCTTGTCGGTTGCAGTGTCTCATTCTGGGAGACATTGCCTCTGCATGTATCCCAGAATGGAACAATCTTTTGCAATCAGAATGTGATTGCAAAACTTTGACCGACAAGAGTGTATTGTGCACTCTTGTCGGTTGCAGTGTCTCATTCTGGGAGACATTGCCTCTGCATGTATCCCAGAATGGAACAATCTTTTGCAATCAGAATGTGATTGCAAAACTTTGACCGACAAGAGTGTATTGTGCACTCTTGTCGGTTGCAGTGTCTCATTCTGGGAGACATTGCCTCTGCATGTATCCCAGAATGGAACAATCTTTTGCAATCAGAATGTGATTGCAAAACTTTGACCGACAAGAGTGTATTGTGCACTCTTGTCGGTCGCAGTGTCTCATTCTGGGAGACATTGCCTCTGCATGTATCCCAGAATGGAACAATCTTTTGCAATCAGAATGTGATTGCAAAACTTTGACCGACAAGAGTGTATTGTGCATCCACCTTTGTCAATTAACTATGTTTTATAGAGACATCCCCTCACACATATTTTTTCTAATATAATTTTACCTTTTTAATATTTATTTTTTATTTTTTGTGCTTTATATAACTTATGGTGTGTACCGAACTATCTTACAGACTCTACTGAGCTATTTCCACATATAAACATGTGACAATAACGCATACATACTCCCTTCGTATTCTGATCTCATGACATATTATCGCAAAAACTATATTTATACAACACACCTCATAAAGTCTCATTTTAGCCCTATCTAAGCGTTCAAAACCTATTTTCCCGCGTAATCTGATTCTTCAGGCTCCGCTGATTCGATTTCTGCTGTCAGATCGTGAAAATATGCATCACATAACAAGATAAACCCAAATTACTTAACTTAATATTTTCCTTAAAATTTCCTATTCCTCGCTATGGGAATATTAATTATATCTTCCGTTTCCCCTCACAAATATATTTAATTTTCTGAATAATACGTATAATAAAATGAATAACTCAAAAACTAAAATACAATATTAATATTGGGTAATGACTCGATATGATCAAAACTTTTGAATTCATACATTTTTTGAAAAATTTGGATTTTTCAAAAATGATTTTGTTTGAGCATGAACGTGAAGCGAAATTTTAAGGAAAATATTAAGTTAAGTAATTTGGGTTTATCTTGTTATGTGATGCATATTTTCACGATCTGACAGCAGAAATCGAATCAGCGGAGCCTGAAGAATCAGATTACGCTGGGAAAATAGGTTTTGAACGCTTAGATAGGGCTAAAATGAGACTTTATGAGGTGTGTTGTATAAATATAGTTTTTGCGATAATATGTCATGAGATCAGAATACGAAGGGAGTATGTATGCGTTATTGTCACATGTTTATATGTGGAAATAGCTCAGTAGAGTCTGTAAGATAGTTCGGTACACACCATAAGTTATATAAAGCACAAAAAATAAAAAATAAATATTAAAAAGGTAAAATTATATTAGAAAAAATATGTGTGAGGGGATGTCTCTATAAAACATAGTTAATTGACAAAGGTGGATGCACAATACACTCTTGTCGGTCAAAGTTTTGCAATCACATTCTGATTGCAAAAGATTGTTCCATTCTGGGATACATGCAGAGGCAATGTCTCCCAGAATGAGACACTGCGACCGACAAGAGTGCACAATACACTCTTGTCGGTCAAACTTCCGCGTTCAAGTTATGAATGCGGAACTTTCTATCATTATACGAGACCTCGAAAAGAACCTCACATCGACTCTCTCTTTCCGGCATCTTTACCGCATAGAAAGCTGCTCGTTCGCAACTTTGTGTGCAATCTAAGAGATGATTGCGGTAAAGATGCCGGGAAGATTGACGCTGCAGCAGAGAATCACTACGGCTCTCTTTTACCGGCATCTTTACCGCATAGAAAGCTGCTCGTTCGCAACTTTGTGTGCAATCTAAGAGATGATTGCGGTAAAGATGCCGGGAAGATTGATGCTGCAGCCCCAGGCCGCACTCAGATTTCATCCCGCTACACAATTGTTCATCCAACAACTGTCATAGAGGTTGAAATTTTCGACCAGAAGTGAAACATATCATTTTTAAGACTGCGGCGCGCAAGCAAGTTTGAACCTTTCAAGGGTGATCAGTCCTTTACTCATTTCAAGACCTCTTGTTGCCTGATAAAACGATACTTCCTTCCTTGTGGGCCATTGAAAACCGCCCAAACCGTCACAACTTGCTTCCTAAATTTTATTTGCGGAGTAATTATCATGCATATTTTATCGGATAATAATATCAAAGCTAAATTTCATATTATTTTTTAAAGATATGCATTTTCTGTCTAAATTTATTTTTTCTGTTTCCAATTCACGGAATAATATTCTTACAAGCATATACATAGCTAATATATATCATTTTAATAATAATAAAACCAAAATGATGTATTCTTCATATAGTTATTTAAAATTCGTTAACTAGAATTGTATTCAGAACGAGGTAAAGTTAGGAGATACATAAAAACCAATAACTTGATAAGTGATACCTTTTTTCCTGATATATCTATATGTGTTAATGTCAAACACGATTTGGAAAAATTAATTCTTTAAATCGGCTTAAGAATAAGACCAACATCAAAAGCATGGCTAATAAATTAATAAATCAATGTTTAATTACCGATTCATGCATTTTTTTCAAAATTTCAAATTTCAAATTTTTGTTTCTCCAAAATATTAATTGTTTCCACTAGATTAACAAATAAACAATAAATTGGATTAATGTAATGCCCAATCATTCATTTTAAATTTTAGATTTAAAACAATATTTTTCTCCATATTATTATAACATGAATCGCTATGATATAAGAAATATATTTTCAATATTGAAATTGAAAAATTCTAAAATTTTTGAAATTCAATTTGAGTGTGATGATCGATAACATATATTTTTTAATTAAAATATTGTGTCGCTATCATATAAATATACTATTTCTAAATTAAAAATAGAAAAAAAAGTACTATTTAATGATGAAATTGCAAATAATATCAATATATATATATTCATGCTGATATATTTTGGGAACAGATTGTCAATCACATAAATAGGATTGTGTTAGTTTGTCATGGATATAAAACAAATTTTCGAGCTAATTGAGCGAATTTAAATCACAAACACTTATATTTTCTATTACAAGGTATATTTGTAATATACAACCAGTAAATAGTTTTCTCTAACTTTTACCAGCTTAGATGATAGCAAATTAGATACGAATTTCATGACCCCTCACCAAATTCCATTCAAACATATACAAATAAAAGTACTAAGTGGGTATCATCTAACCCTAGAATTATAGCTCCTAGGACTCATCCTAGATGGTAGTTCTGGAAAAACACCTGTTTTTTGGAGTTGCAAAAGTTAAAAATTGAGGGTATTATTATCTTAAAGCTGTAAATGCAATGAAAGATCTGCAAAGTAATTAAAATATGAAGTGTTTTATCTTCTAAATTTTTTCTAAAACTTTAAAAATCAAAGAAATAACTAAGAAAGTTCTTTGAAAAATTAAAATTTTGAATTTTTTTTTGAAATTTCGAAATAGGCTTTTTCAAAGAATTTACATGAAATTAGATATTACTTATCATTTAATATCTTATTATGATATATTCTCAAAGTTTTTATCATATTTTAACCTTATTAAGTTTAATATGTGCTATATCTGTGAAGATAAAAGAAGTGATAAAGTTATCTAGAGTATTTTCATGATACAAACAAAATTAAGAACAAAATATCGAAATTAAACAATATCAATGATTCTTTTCTGCTTAAATAAGCTCACCAAGTATACAGATGTACTAAATTTGGAGCAAAATCATTAACCCAACAATAATTTGACAAAAATAACAAATTTTGAGGGGAATTCCATTTTGCATATTTAGAACTGCATAATTATTTCACTGCCACACTCACAAACCAACAAATTCAAGCCTACATTTTATTTTTTGTGAAGTTTGATTTGAATACTTTATCGAGCATAGGTATGAATATAATGTTAGCTATTTATTTCAAAAATAAAACCTAAAACTATCATCGATATTTTATCGAAATTGATAATTCATTTAATTTCCACTTTTTCATAAGTTTACAAATCATTGAATTGAGGGTTTATATTATTGAATAAGTAAACTTTTCAAAAATTTGTTAACATTACCAATAATTTGATTCTCAAAAAATGGATGGTGATAACATGGTATTAAATCAAGAAATAAGATCGCGCCCACTTGTCAGGCAAACATTCACACCAGAAGAGGACGCAAAACTTCATCTTCTTGTGATGAAATATGGTCAAAATTGGAAACAAATTTCTTCTGAAATGGCAAATCGGTCAGTGCGTCAATGCCGAGAACGATATCAAAATTACTTAGCTCCAGGTGTTTTAAATGGACCTTGGACACCTCAAGAAGATCAAATTTTGTATGAAAAATATCAAATTTTTGGACGTAAGTGGACTATTATTGCAAAGTTTTTCAAAAATAGATCTGGAGCTAATATCAAAAACAGATGGTCACACTTAGAAGACAATTTTAAGCGACAATCAATTCCTAAAGTTAACTCAGAGCCTTCACCTCCGAGCCCTACAATCCCTGCTCCTGATAGCCCAGTAGCAGAAAATCATCAACAAACTCTTTTACCCCCAATTAACGAATTATCTAATAAATCTACAGAAGGTGGAGGAATTCAGCTGCTAAACCTTAATCTTTTGTGGAATAATCGTCCACTAGATCCTTTACTGAATGAAGCTACGGCAGCCGATCAACGATCGAACAATTCAATGGATAAATTCAGAAACTTTAAGGGTTTTGCCGGAAAGATATGGTAATCATCATACCATATAAATTTAAGGCAAAATATTCTTGTTGCCGAAATAGAACTATCTTAACTTTTCGGTTCTTATTTTCGGAATTTCTATTACATTTTGTTTGTATTAATTAATCATGGATTTTAGATGAGAAGCTATCACATATACCATTTTAGCCCACATTGTTTAATTCATTTTAGTTCTTATGTAATCATAATTCAGATGTTCAACGGATAAGCTTTTAATTGAACACGCGATTTCCTAAATGATCAGACGATTCCACCGATCAATACGTACCAAAACTACTTTGAGATTAATTGTTGAAATCCAATTTTATTCTTTCCTTCCGAATTTTCTTATATATAAACGATGCTTCTATTCTTCGTACTATTAAGGATTTCTTTAATTTCGATTTTAATTCAAACTTTTTTTACTTTCATACATTATAATCTGAATACACTAATCAAGAACTACACCTTAATTTTTATAGTCTATATTGGTTTATTTTCCATCATCTTCTCATATTCAAGAGTAGAATTTTGATAATGCAATTTTCGACATTTCAATATGATCTTGAATTTTAATACCCATATGAAACTATCGTAGGGAGCAATTCTTTTAAGAATCTCTTTATTATAATTTTGAATTATTGAATTTATCTTTCATTTCTATGGGGCACTCCACGCCCCATAGAAATGAATTATATATAAGAAACATTAGTACACTATTGCAGTATAAAAACTTACTATATAGTAATAATCTGCCATAACTATAGATTAATGAATAAAAATTTATTCACAAACACACCCACACATACATCAAAAAATTTACTTTATCTTTTACAACAATGATAGAGAGATAATAACCAGATATATCAAGAAATTATTTTCTTGCAATTGATAATAAATATTCTCTTACTGCTCCTCCCGAATAATCAAGTGCTGTTCTTCCATCATTATTCTTTGCTTCTTTATTAGCTCCAACTGAAATAAGATATTTAACAATTTCGAGTTTACCATAACATGATGCCTTAATGAGTGGAGTAGATCCATCATTATTCTTTGCTTCTTTATTAGCTCCAACTGAAATAAGATATTTAACAATTTCGAGTTTACCATAACATGATGCCTTAATGAGTGGAGTAGATCCATCATTATCCTTTATTTCTTTATTAGCTCCAACTGAAATAAGAAATTGAACAACTTCAAGTTTACCATAACATGATGCCACAATGAGTGGTGTATATACTTTATTATTCATTGCTTCTTTATCAGCTCCAACTGAGATAAGAAATTGAACAACTTCAAGTTTACCATTAAATGATGCCCAGTAAAGAGCTGTACCACCATATTTGCTGTTGATTTCTTTGTCACAGCCACATTCAATGAGAGATTTAAGGATGCACACGAGAGGATCATGTAAACTTCAGAATTTAGAACCTTATTTTTAGGCATTATCTTGGCTACCTATTTAGGCTCGAAAAGCAAAAAATATCAAAAAATACAACTTGAGTCCATTATGACCCTTTCATGGAGGTAGTTTTTATCCGCTAGTATTTTCCCTTTGAATCTCTTTACAATTCGAAATCAAATTCAAAACTCAGTAGAAGAAAGGAAGAATCGACTTATTACGGTTGTAATACGAATAAATACATATATTTAATTATTTTTATTTACATAATAATTGTTTGAAGCTCATATTCCATCAAATTTTTAAATAAAAACATTAAAATGTTGAAAATGTTCATATATTTTAATAGGGTTTTGGCACTTTATTGAGGAATTACTACATACATAGTCGAACTGAACTTGATATTTTGAAATTTAAATTATTTATCAAAATTAAAATTTAACTTGAAATTTATAATTCTTTAGTCATATTTTGCATAATTCTAAGTAGATTTTGTAAAAAATCAAGAAAGAAAAATTTTAACGTGCTTTATTTTTTCTTTTTTATAATAATACATATTATTATATAATTAACATATTCATAATGTTTCACCCTTTCAAAAATATAATCCTCCTCCTCTCAAATAAACGTACATACGGGTGGCCTCTTTTTTCAAAAAATTAAAATTTGAAATTTTGGGCTCAAATATTAGAGATTTTTTCAACCTTCAACGATATATGTTGTCTATATCAGACCTCCTTTCTTTTTGATACTTAACATTGTTCCTAAATCTTAGCCGTTAAGGCTGTTCTGAAAATATTTTTTTTCGAAAAAATTCAAAAAAAATTCTTAAAATTCAAAAATTCCTTAATTCCTGAGGATTTTGGAAAAAAGTTTTTACATGAACATGTGTATATTATATGAAGTATATTGATAAGGTAAAAATCAAATTTTATTGCATATTCATCGAGAAAATAAACTAACGAATCCCTCAAAATTGAGAGGGTAATCCTCCTCCTCTCAAATAAACATACATACGGGTGCGCCCTTAATTTTAAAATATTGTTTCAATCAGCAAGCCTTACAAAAAATTTCTGTTCAAACGATGTGAAATTGTTTAACAAGCCTCAGATTTCCTTTTGAAGATGCATAATGAAGAACATTTGTACCACAATAATCAGGATTTTGTTTTTTCCAAAGTTCTTCTTCACATACTTTAAGCATCATTTTTTGATTTCCTTTTTCTGAAATTTCTTCAAAGAATTTGTAGATTTGATCAAAATTTTTGGAATTTTTAAGTTCGGAAATTTTCGAAAGAAATTCTTTTGGTAAATTGTTTCCTTCTTTCTCTTTGAGTTGAAAGCGAAGAGTTTGCATTTCTTTCTCAACGTTTTCTTTTTCTTTTTGGATCCGATTTAAATCTGCTTGAAGTTTTTCGATTTTATTTGTTGTACTGGATTGATCCTTTTGTAATTGATCTAAGAAACCAATAACTCCTTCGAATATTCGCATCTTCATGTACTTTTGAACTGATTTAAGTGTTGAAACGGCATCTTGTAAGTTGTTTACTGAAATATTTGCATTTCGAGTGCAGATATACAATTTGCGTGCTAAAATTTCTGAATGAGATTGAACAAGAAGAGAGTTGAAGTCATTAGGTGTTTAATTCGCGAATTTCATGATTGATTCGATATCTTCTACTTCGAACGTGCTAAAAAGATTATTCTCTTCAATGTAATCTTTGATATGTGAGCCAATATATTCATAGTTCAGAACAATTCCCTGATTCATTAAAATTTGTAAAGTTTTTTTTTTTTCTCATTCTCATGCCGAGCTTACGTTCTCGTTTATTCCTTCATGTCTTTATTTTGGAGTAATATCTGTCGTTAACAGAATCAATATAATCATATAGATGTAAAAATATGTTTATAATAGTTTCAAAATAAATCAAATATTTAGAACCATCTATATTTGTCTAAAGCTTCATGATAAACAGCGAGAACTTTATCATGGAAAGCCTGATCTTTGTTAGTGAAAATAAGACCATCCTGAGAACCAGCAACTCTTGCATTGCTTCTATAAGAAATTGCTGCTCCTGTTCCTGTTGTAGCGAATCCGCCAGCTTCACGAACAAGGAGTTCGAAAGGAGCAATGTCCCAAACATGTTCTTCATTAGCACCCCATGGAACTCTGATGTAAGCGCATGCTCCGCCTGATCCAATAACAAATCCTTTTGTCATGGAGACCATTGTTAATTCTTCATGAATATCTAAATGATCTTTCACGTATTGGTATAATTGTGTGATATTTCCGACTTTCTGCTTTGTGTAGATTAATCTAGCGCGTGGATTTTCTTGTTTTGTAAGTTTGACCCAATGGCCTTTGAGATCAAGTGCATAAGCACCAAAGCCTTCGGAAGCAACAAAAATTGCTGGTCCTTCAAGTTGTGTAAGTCCAGTTGCTTCGACTTCATGTCTTGGCCATGCAACTGCTGAACAAACAACATGGCGATTGACAAGTAAGGCCATAGCAATAGCGTAATTGCCGCCAGTAACGAATCCGTATGTTCCATCAATTGGATCAATAACCCAGCATCTCTCATCTTTATCAGAGATACTGTGAACAGCAACAGAACATGCTTTAACTGGATCTACATCTGCTGGTAAGAGTGATTTCACATGACGAAGGAATTCATCATCAATATTTTGGATTTCTTCTTCGCCGAGAACAGAATCGTTTGGAAAATGCTTCTTAAGTCCATGCATAACCATTGATTGGCATGCAAAATCGACGATAGAAACAACAGTTCCATCTTTCTTTGTTTCAATTTCTGATTTGTTTAATTTTTCTTGGCCTTCAAGTGAGATACCAATAACAGGCTTTAATATCTCAATTGCTGCGTTAATTTCAGTAGCCCATTTGCCGAATTCCATCTAAAAATAATGATTTTTGGAAAATTTTTGTAAAACCGTTCGTCTTTTTGACATCTGAGCTGAATCATAACTATACATGTTTATCAATTTTCCAAAAATTGAAGATTGTCCTCACAATTTCTTTTTCTGTCAATAATCGGTCAATATTATTTGAGCTTATTTTATTCTAAATCAAAGACCAACTATCATAACTAATGTTAGATTGATCAGAAAAACTCGCTCATATCTCCTAGATTTCAAAATAAAATGAGCGAGAAATTTTCATTATGTCACTTTTCAAGACGATAATAGTTCGTTAAAATGAACTTCAAGTCGAAGCCAGTTGATCTTGGAAACATTATTGGACTGAAAAAGAATGCTATCAAAGAAGCTGAACAGGATATCGAAAAACTTAAAGCGTATAATAAAAATTTGAACGAGCAAATCGCGAAATATGATGCAGATTCAATCGAAGTCATTGCCAAATATCGTAAAGAGATAGATGCTAAAACAGCAACCATGAACGAACTTATTAATAAAGCCCAAAAGCTCAGAGAAGAAACAAAAGCCAAAATTAAAGAATTATATGACGAAAATGATAAGGCAAAACAGAATGTTAGCAAAGAAAATGATAACATATTAGAGCAAATCGCAGAAACAGAAAAGAAAATGCAAGTAATTTTGGAATTTGAACAAAATAAACAAAAAATTCTTGACAGAATCCAATCTTACGATGACCAGATCGAACAATCAAAGAAGACAACTGCAGATGAAATCGAAAAGGATAAACAAGATAATATTGAAGCTGAAGCTCGTGTTCGCCAAGAAAACGAAATCAAATTAGAGAACGAAAAGAACAAATTCTACGCTCTACAAATTTCAACTGCAGATCAAGCAGTTCTTTTGCATATTCAAAGAAGAAATAATCTTGATTCAGATTTAAGGTCTTTGGAAGAGATGAGACAAAAATACCTTGGCAAAATTGATGATTGCGAAAAGAAGAATGCTAAACTCCGTGAAACAATTGAACAATTACATAGAGATCAATTAATCGAAGAAAGTGCTGACCAATCAAAGCAAATTGCAGCTCTCCAGAAGGAAATAGCCAATTCTCGTGCTCAATTAAAGGAAATGACGCTCAAAACAAAGCAAGAACATGAACAGGCAGATAATCAACGAAAAGCTGAAGCAGAAGACATGGATCTTCAACTTAGACAACAACAGGATCTTCTTGACCATAAGTTACAGCAGATTGCAGCTTTAAGAGAGCTAACTTTGACTGTTTTATCTTATAGATCTCAACTTGAAGCAGAATTCATCACAGTTTTGGGCGAAGTCATATACGAAGTTGCACAACGTGAGAATCCAGGCGTTCCTCTCATGCAAACACGTGCAACAAGGAAATTGATGTTGACAAGCTCAGGAAATACATCTGCCGCTTCAACAAGGGCCAAAGAACAAACAGGAAAGGAGATTTCTATCAGCCACACACTAGCTCAGTTCACAATGGAAGATAGAATTACAGTTTTGACTCGATTTATGGAAAGAGTTCAGAACAGCGTTGAAGGTAAGTTTGACACTACTTCAAGATCTGGTTTGTCTAATGATTCAATGAGCCAAGGTTCAAATAAGGCTTAATTTTTATGTTTTTGATTAATTTAACATATTCGGATTTCATTTGATATCTTATTTGTTTATTTAATAAAAATATTTGTTTTTTATTGCATTTCCGTTGCTTTTCATTATATTTTAGACCAAATTTTAATAAATTTTTCTTAAATAAAGCGTTTTTCTTATAGAAAGATAAGCATAAAATTCTTAAAAAACTTTGTCAGAGCTTGCTTTATGCATTTCATTCATGAAGAAAATGCATCGATCAAATTGAATCTAATTAATAGAGTTATATTAATTCACTCTTGGTAGAATTGAATATAATACATGTGTTGATCTGAAACCTATGAATAATTTTTAATAAATCGAATAAAAAAAATTTAATATCCAAAATTTTTCATAAAAAGCTTTGGCATTTTGAAGCAGAAACAAAAAATTCTTCATATAGTTAAAAAGCTAGTAATTAAGAAAGAAAGAGAGAGTTTATATATGTGTAAATTTCAAAACAACATCAGGGCTAACATCTGGTCTACGCATTATATATTGCACAGCATCCTGTAAAGACGGAAACTTAAATCCGTTGATTTCCTTAATCGGAATTGCTTTATTTGGTATCTTCATTTGAGATAAATCTCGATTGCACTGAACAAACTCAGAAGGAGGCCACATGGACTCGTAGTCTGACAAATCCAAGTCCTCAGCCTCTTCCGAGTAGTCCTTTGTAATCAGCGAGTGGTCGTTGTCATTTGTTGCGTCCATAAAGTGCGGATGGTAGAAAATGAGCCTTCCGTTCTGATACGGGCAGTTCTGAAGGTGGGCCGTAACAAGACGTGCGTAGAATGGATTGACCATTTGTACAACAGCGTATTTTTGCCTTGCGTTCTGAAAAACTTTAATTTTGTTGACAGGACCGTACTGAGAGATCAGATTATGAAGTCCATCAGCTATGTTGCGATAATCATCGAATCCGGTGATTTTTATCAATTGCGCATAAGGTTGATCGACAGGAACTGGTCGCCAGAAGTCAAATACCTCTGAAATCTGATCTGAGTGATCTGGAGTGAAGAAGGCGGATTCAGAGCTACTTGTATGGCGAAGTTGATCAAATTGAGCAATTGCGCCCGGATGTGTAAAATCAAAGCTTTTAGCGTTGTTAAACTGGATGATAATGTCTTGGTTATGTGAGTACTGTATTTTGATCTGAAAATTAGGAAGATAGCGGCTTGAATTTGATAAATTTGCTAAAGCAAGAGCAGCTTCTTTAACATCATGCATTTGGACAAGAGCAAACTTTCCGTTTTTCTCAAAACAGATGATTTTCTCAACAGTTCCATAGTTTGAGCACTCATCATAAATATCATAAATTCCGAGTGAAATCTGTAATTTTAATATCTGAAGACAAATAACTCTGGATGCATTCTGATGAGCGAGGGCATAATCTGGTAACTCTAACGTTGGAATTGGTGAAAATGAGATCGATGCATAGTTGCCAAATTGATTTGATTTAAAATCTGATATAAATTTAAGCGCGATGTTGTGTGATTCGAATTCTATAAGTGCATTTTTGCCAAACGTGTGACCAAAACGAACAGGATATTTGCTCTCTATAGAAGGAGCAAGTTCTGCCCAGCTTATGGGTTTATCCATGTCCGTGATCTTAACAACTTTCTGGACCGAAGGATTTAGGGGTGGACAGTCCCATGGTTTGATAATTTTCCCTCGCATTCGAAAATTTTCTTCTTCGATAAAAAAATTTGCTTGCGTTGAAACTTAAAATTTCCGATTAAAATGTGTGTGCTTAAGGTAATATTAATGACCACTTATGAGCTTAAAGTATTGAATGGGATTTACGGTTTTTGTAAGTTTTTTTGAGAGAAATTGTAAAAATATTCGTGCTTTTACGAAATTTTTTATTTCCATACAGAAACTGATTATTCCAAGTTAACAAACATTCAAGTCAAGCAAATTCCTTTATTACAAGTAAGTAAAGACAGGATTTTAAAAGAAATATCTTATTTCATCGAACAATTTTACATACTAAAGCATTTTTCAAACTTATGGAATGCACATCCTTTTAAGATTGCAGAAAACTAGAGCAACACATCCGTGATTTTTCATTTCCGACAAAAATTCTAATTGTCAATTCTCTATTATAAGCAATTGCATCTCATTTACTTGTATTACCTCAATATACAAAAGATGTAATACGATACTCTTTATGTTAATTCTCTTTTTCTTCAATATTTCCCTTGGCTAAAATAAAATTCCTTTTCTGACATGAGTATATCTAAGCAACAATAGATATATAATTCTATAATTGAGTAATTAACATAAATCTTGATGCTTATACATCGAATCCTTATTTTATTCTATAAAAGAAAAAAATCTAACAACTAAACATCATTTATCCTAATTATCTGAGTTGAATTAAATAAGAATGAGTAATGTAACTGTTTTTAGCCAGTGATAAGGTTTGAACACTCAAGCACAGTATTTTTGAATTTTTCATTTTCAATTATAGACCCAACCTGATAGAAAGGATTCATAAGAAGCTCAGTGTAAGCTTTGTGTACATGTTTAAAGAATTTTTTGATTGAATCAGATTTCTTTCTTGGATGAACGAGAAGAAAGACTGTTTTCCCTGCAGTGACATATGCACTAATATTGTTTGAATCTACAGTATCGATACATTCATGAAACGCAGTAGGGTCTGAAAAATCAAGTGCATCAAGAGAAGAATAAAGCATAAACTGATATTGATACATTTTATCTGCAGCTGATGGATCAATTGATGGCATCTCCAGTGAAAATAATAGATTGTTACTACCAATTACCGCAAACATAATCAAAAATTATTTTGAGAACTTTCTTTTTTTTATAAAATATAAAATCCTCAAATGTTTGCAATAGAAATGAATCATGTTTGAGGTTGACATACTCATTAAAAGAAAGAATAGCTTATATAACGATAGTATTTACAAACAATCTATATAATCTATATATAATAATTCTATATTAAAATGGATAAAATCTCTGATGGGATCTAACAGGAGAGAAAGGTGTAACAGAGAACCATTTCAAGGCTTCTGTCTTCAGCATAAAAGAAGTTTTATCTTCAAGGAAGAAAAATGATTCAGTTGGTCTCGTATTAAATATTGAAACAAGGTCCATTTCAGCATCAATATTAGGAAAACCACCTGAATATGCATTCACTGTTCTTCCTCCATCAAATGTGATTGGTTCTTTGCTATGCACTTGTTTAATATTACGAAGTCTTATGTTAGTTGATGTGACTCTTCTCGTGCACAAACTAGAAATGCGTCCGACTTCTTCGACTCTGCACTTCAAAAATTCCAAATTTGAATCATTGACTTCTTCAAGGAAACATTGTATCAAACCAGGAATAATTACAATGAAACCAAGCCACAAAGCTTTATATATAGCTTTGTAGTATGATAAAGCAATGATTAAAGGTGTTGGAGTTGGAACTCTTTCAAGAATTTCAATAAGTTTTTCGAATTCAACGAAATCAAATATTTTTTCACTCAAAATTTTTTGAATTTTGTTTGTTAACATCGAAATTCCATCTTCTGTTCTTCCTCCAATTATATACAATAGAGCTTTTATATCACTCTTGTTATGCTGTGCTTGTAACAAGTAATATTCCTGATTTTGCAAGCCATGTTTTGCATAAAAGTTTTGATCAAGTTGCTCACTTTTCAACATCAACATCAAAATTTTCTTGACTTTTAATGAAGCCAAGTCAAAAGCTTCATCAATAATTCCTTGAGAAATCATTCTTGTACAGTGAAAGAGCCAGAATCCATCTTCATTATAATTGAATTTTTTGGCAATCTCAACAGCCCAAAGACTTTCTCCGGAATAAGACAATAACCAACACGCGGAAATATAATCTCCAAAAGCAAGATAAAGAGCAGCAGCAAAGAAAATTTTTCCTTTCTTCTTGTAGTCTTTGATCTTGTTTGTGATGATCTCATATCCATCAAAGATCTGCGAGATATCGTTGTAATCACTGTAAAATGGAATTTTTTCAGTGACGCTTTCTTTGAAAACAGAAATTGATTCTGGCTTTTGGATCTTTTTATTTTGCAATGCAGAAAGAACTAAGAAAGCTCCATCGAAATCTTTCATATTTGCTAAATCATCAATAGCAGAATTTGCTTCTCCAGCAATTATATTATAAATGAAAGAATTCTTTTCATCAATTTTTGCTCGACTTTCCATCAATGATTTCCAAAAATTATATGAAACATAAGGAGCTGCAGCAAGAACTTTATCGAATTCACCACAAACAAACATAAGTTCGCAGTACTTCTTATGGTTTCCCATCTTAAGATAAAGTTCTGCTGCAGAGATAACTTTGCTTTTTGAGTTCTTTGCTCGTTCCAAAACTTTCATATCCAATGGAATATTTTTCAACAAATTTTCTGCTTTTGTTTTCATTATAATACTTATGTCATTCAAATGAACAATATCTTTGTCATTAAATGTTGTTTTGATTCCATCTTTGAGCACTCTATGAACAAGCTTTTCCATGTTTTCGGAGCCTTCTTTTATTGAAATTTTTTGACAAATTAATTTTTTGTCAGAATTTGACAAAACATTTTTCATCAATTCAGGAAAACAATCTTCTATTGACCAAAGACCAACTGTTGTATTTTTAGACATTGTGGCAACTAAAAATGGATGATCTTGGTGCATAACAATACAAAAAACGGATGAAATATGCGCACAAATATTCGAAATTTGAAACATTGTTTTTGCATTCCAAATTCGAATGAAACCATCTCTTCCAGCACTTATCAAAACATCTTGCAATGAAGGTGACCAAGCCAATGAATAACAATGACCTTTATGCGCTTGGAATTTCTTAAATGTTCTCATTTCTACATCGCAAATTGCTATTTCTCCATCTTCATTTGCAGCAGCAATTATTTTAGGATCAAACAATGACCATTGTATATCTCTTAATGGACTTTTTCCTATATTAATAACAGTGTATCTCGCTCCTGTGAATCTAATATATAAATTACCATCTTTGCAAGCAATTCCGAATAAAGTTGAAAAAGGAGACCATTGGATTCTTTGCAAAGGTTGTTTTGCTTCTATTGGAGTATCTATTTTACGTTTCTCTATATCGTATATTATACATGACGCGTCTGATGAAATAGAAGCAATTAAATTTGGCTCAGTTTTACACCAAGAAACAGATAAAACTGTTCCATTATGGAGTTTCTCTTTGATCAACAATTGTCTTGTTTCTGTTGAATAAACAGAGATATATCCATTGTCATGTCCTGTAACAATGTAGCCACCTCCTGGAGAGTATTCAACACAATAGACACGTTTAAAGTCATCGCATTTCAAGACCATTGTGTCATTTAATTTCATCGTAGGAATCGACCAAAAACAATGTCTTCCATCAACAGAAACTGTTGATAATATGTTACCGTTATGTGGCATGAATTTTCCTGATAAAATACTATCCGTATGGCCAGCACTTATAATTGTGGTTTCAACTTCACTGGTGAAATTATAAACGGAAACAGAACCATTCAAATAATAAATTCGAATTGATTTCTCGTCACAGCCGATTAGACTTGAAACTTTGGTTCCAGCCAATGATATTGTCTTAAATATTTCACCACTGGCAATTGACCACATGTATAAGACAGGCATTTCAGGATCTGATGTAATTATCGTCGTTGGAGAGTCATGGAACCAATATCCTGCACTGCATTTAACATTTTTGTTTAAACTTTCACTTACTTTAGTAATTGAATCTTCTTCTACGTTTAAAATAATCCATTTCATCTCTCTCGTAATTATTAAAACAATATGTTCGTTTAAGGGACTAAAAACCATACTTTTGACTGGTACTTTGCTATCGTAGAATTTAATTTCCATTGTTTCTATGTTTAATAAAAATAATGAATCTTGATTTGTAGAAATTAGTAAATAATTGTCTGAGAATGGACAAACTGTGAATATTTTGCATATAAAGTCATATCCTAGTGATATTTCTGATGATTCTTGAAAGTTTATGTCAACTTCGTAAATTTTTCCAATAATATTAGTGGTAAAGTATAGTTTATCGCACATATTTGTAAATTCCATATGTAATATTGATCTCCCAATGAATACACGAGATCCTTGAAGTAGTAAATGTGTTTTAAAATTATAAAAATTTAAAATGTAGTCACTTGTTAAGTATGCTATTATTGGTTCATTACTTTTTGGAATGCAGACATATAAGAATACCTTCCCACTACTGTTAATCGCATCTAAAATTTCAAATGTCGGTATTTGATAAATAAAGATAATATATTTTGATAATGCTGCACAATAATAATCCGAGGAAGATAAGGAGCTACTTGGCCGGCTTGAACCTCCTACAGCTGATGCAACTAGCTTCAAATTTCCTCGAATCATTGAAAATTCAAAACGTTCACTTTCCAAACACAAATTGTAAAGATTTTATATTCCATGCTAAAGAAGGATTACCACAAGAAATAATGTGATAGTCATAAATAATTCGAATTTTTCCAAAATTTGCAAGAGACTTGAACAACATTCATATTTTAAAGAATAAAATAACAGAAAATGAGTATACAATGAATATTTACCATAATAATCAGATATCTTTTTCAATATTTTTCTCATGTGGTAATAAAATGACACATATTCGCAAAAAATCGAGAAAACACGAATCCTTATAGCCAAACTGTTAAAATCTTATTACAGAAATTATATTTTATTAAATAAACAAATAAAAACATTTAATTAGATAATTATTATATGAATTTCAGTCATCTTGAGTTGAAGATTCTTCCTCATCGTCATCCTCGTTATCAGGAAACAATGTTTCGCCGCAATCAATGACAAATTGAGTTCCAGTTACATCTTTCGAGAGATCTGAGAAAAGAAACTCAATTGTATTTGCGACGCCATCTATAGACACTAATCTACCTAAAACAGTTGTTTTAACGTGTTCTTGGAAGAAAGCAGTTAATTCTTCTTTGGATTCGAAGTAATTGTCATGGAACTTAGTAGCAATTAATCCAGGAGCTATACTATTAACTCTAACACCCGAATTTAAAAGTTCTTTGGCCTTTAATTTTGAATATTCTGAAAGTGCGGCTTTTGTTGTGCAATATCCTGTTCCGCATTCAAGTGGATGAAAAGAGTTAGTACTGGATACAAAAACTGCAGAACAGTGCGAAGATGGTGAGATTGCTTCGAAAGTAGTGACTGCTGAAAGAAAATTGATGTTTATTACCTTAGAAATATCGTATTTCATCTGTAGATATGAAACTTGATCCATTGCACCGCAGGTTCCGGGACAAAAAAGATAATAATCTATTTTTATATCTGAAAATGGCTTATATTTTTGTTCAAACTCTAAGATGTTCTTTTCTTTTGATAGATCAACTTCAATTGTATGAATTTTTGTTGATTTGCCTTGGTATTTTTGCGCAATTTTTTCTAAGTGGTTTGAATCACGACCAGTAATGATTAAATTTGAAATATTATATTTCATAAGTCGAGAGATCATTTCTTCTCCAATATCTGATGTTGCACCAATAATAATTGCTGACTTTTCGCTGCAATCTCCGATCATTGCAAAAAGTGGGGATAACTTATTCAGCAAATCAATTTAGATGATCAAATATATGTATGTGATTTAAATAAGATGGCCAACCAAATCTCAAAACCCGCCAAATGCATCAAACAATTTGATGATATATGTTATAAAACATTGATTAACCATATATGATTACTTCCACTCAAAATTTCCTTCTTTTAATCGAATGATCTCCAATTTATAATGAATTTACCAATTCTTTTAGCAATGCAAAAGTTTTTCACTTCAGAGGATCTAATCAGTTGATAATCAGATTTACATATTTGTCAGATAGCAAAGAATTAATTCCTATTCTCTTCTCCATCAGGAAAGGCATTTTATCATCTTGCAGGATGATAATTTCATTAAATGTCATCCTTTGAAGACAATTAACTCTTCAACTCATTCATTAATAAACGATTGGATGAGATATGCCTATGATCGTATAACATCTTTGATTCCAAACCAAAATTATCTATTTACAAGGTAGTAATATCAATATGAAAAATTTGTTTATATTATCAATGTAATTTTTTTAACATAGCCCAATTTTTTCGCAGATACACCTTTGATCACACCATGGATCTACTTTGGCTTCATAATACATTATTTTTATATTCTGAGAGATAAACCTTTTGCATTTAGTAGCAAAAAATCTCCCAAAACCATCACACCATTTCATAGTACCATTGTAAACTTTGGGAAAAGATGCACCAGACCTAACAAACTCAAGAAAGTCTGTTACATCATTGCTACATACGCCGCATAATTGACTCGACATTATTAATCCCAATAAGAGGAAGAACATTATATTTAATGATCTGCTGTTGAATACAATTGAATTTTTTCTGATCAATTCAATTTCATTTCAGAAGATCTGATCAAATGGCAACCACATTTATTTCTCTGCTAGAAATAAATGAATTAATATATTGAACTCTTTTGTACTGAACTGATCATGGAAAGGTAGGAATTTATTTCTGACGCAAACACAAATTATATAAACCTGACATTTTTGAAATGTATATTTATAATTCCTATCAACATCTAAAAGTATGAATATGTATTTAGATATATATGAATAAATAATGTGATTTAGGTTGAAGGAAAGCAAATAATAAAAACGGTATATTTATTCTCATCTTATGTTGATTTTCATTCGTGTTTTAGCGAAATTTTTTATAAGTTGCTATAAGTCGAGAGATCATTTCTCATTCAATGTATGATGTTGTGCCAATGATAATCACTGATTTTTCACTGTCTATTTGATGAATATCATCCACAAAAATGATGAAAAAGATATCCAACAAATCAATTCAAAAATATATATTTATCTCTCAAATGAATAAAAATTAGAAAATACAGTGATAATGCTCCGAAATTTGACAAAAATGTGACTTTGCCAATTATTATTTAACCCGCATGGGATACTTTTATTCTGGAAGGATTTAACATGGAACCCAATAAATCTCTTTGTTCAAGGTATTTTTAGAAATAAAATAATTATGTAAAACATTTTCCCTAATGAATTCAGCTATAATTAATGATACTATATTTCAATCCATTAGAATAACTATTCTTAGCAAAAACCTAATTTTTTGCAGAAATTTTCTTTGTCACTCAATGAATTTGTAATAATTTCATAGTACAGTGTCTTTAAGTTCTTTGACATTATTCTTCTGCAGTATGGCATAATGTGTGGATTAAATTTTTCGCACCAACCCATTGTTGCATTGAAAACTTTTGTATACGGTGCTCCAGAGCGGGTTAAATTAACAATATCATCTCCAAGTTCTTCACATATGAAACAGGATTGACCTGACAATATGAGTCCCAATAAGAAGAAAAACAACTTATTTTCTGGACTTTTCTTTCAATTTTATCGGTGCTATGCTCACAATAGAATTAAGACTTTATTTACAAATTATAACTCACATCATTTGGTTTGCTAATGTACATTAGAGTTAAATCCGAAATTTAGATTTTTTTCGGACATCCTTTCGATTCTTTATGTGCATATCATATTGTTGAATTGTAAATTGCATAAAATTAGTTACATGATTCATATCAACTATATTAAGAGCAAAAAACACTATATATATATTCGATTTGCATGATCATCTAAACATAATATTTTTATAATAATATATCTATCTAATTGTTGGGAAAAACTGGGCAGATTGAGCTCTATCTAAAGTGTTAATATTAATAAAATTCCATAACTTAATTTTCTCATCTGCGGCAATTGATGCAGCGTATGAACCATCAGAGGTGCATATAACCTGCATTATCGGGCCATCATGACCTTGAAATTCATCGATTTTTACTAAATCGCGGCCATATAATTCCACATCAAAAGGAAGAATACGATGAGCAACAAAAATTCCTCGAACAGGAGTCCATGATATATATGAAATTGGCTGACCTGTTTGAATCGAAGGAATTTCCTCTTCATTAGGGTATAAAATATTAACTAATTTCAGAGTACCTTCATCATTTTTGCATCCAACAGCAATGGTTGTCTGAGATAGCCAAGCAATTGAAGATATTGGTAATTTGAGTTGAATGCGCTTTCTCTTCCTATTTGACCAAATTGTTAAAATACCAGACTTATCGGCAGAAGCTAATATTACACCATCTGGAGACCAAGCAAGACTAACAATCTCTGATTTATGGCCAATAAGTGTTTCAGTCTTGAATGTTTTCAAATCTGATATATTAATCAGTTTGTCTGTTCCTGCTGTTGCAATTTTACCTGAAGTGCATGCAATGCAATTAACGCGTCCAGAATGTTGCTGTAATCTGCGTGCACAGCGTTTTGAAGTGACTCCCCATAATTCGACGTGTCCGTTTGGAGCAATCACTAATGTATCATTATCATACCAATCTAAGGCATCAATTGAAACTATCGCATTCATGTAATATTCTACATCTCCCGAGCGCCAGATATAGACATGCTGCCCAAGAGCAACTGCTAGATGACCGGCACTGTTGAAGCTCATGATCTGATTTACTTCTAGATCTATAATATTGGGGGCATCTAACGTAGTGTCGGTAACTTGGTATTTCTTTTCCTTTTTTGGTGTACTAATCGGCGATTTCATAGGACTTTCTCTAAAATTGCTGCATGAAGGAGACTTATATGCTGGCGATGGCGATTTAGTTGGCGTTTTTCTTTCTGAATTCACAAATCGATCTTTATTAAAAGGAGATCCCTGTTGCTTTGTCAACTCTCCTTCGATATAACTTTGCGATCTTTCCTTGGACATCGGAATTCTTCGATGTGGAACCAAAGTAAGCATCAAGCTTTAAAAGAAGTAAGTAAGAAAATTGAATCCAATATCTGTACGTTAAACATTTCAATTATGAGCTCTAAAAAGTGACAGCAAAATTATACATTTCTTGGTAAATTTCACATATAAATCAAGATTTAAAACATAATATCTAGTTACATAAGTGTACTTGCTTCAGAAAACGTTTCGATTTTGCTAGGCCTTCGATATTGTTTATGAATTTATCTTTCTCAAGGTTACTATGCCATGTTTAATATGATACATGCCTTATATAGACAAATTACACTTTTGTGTGCTAATTCCGATTATATAATAGTGAGACATATTAGATTCATGAGAAAAAAATATTTTTTAAAGAAACCAAAGTTTCATGTTACTTTCCCAAAGTATATAGAGTCTATGATATTATATCTTTTGCTTTTAAGCTTGCTGTATTTTGATTTTTAAAGCAAGATAAACCAAGTATAGGATATTTAAGAATTTCCAGTAAATTTAGCTATCCTTATGCTACCTTGTAGATTTCTAATGAGTATGCGTATGATTTTCAGATTGTTTCTTAATCATCAATTTTGTGTGCTATATTGTCTAAGACTTTCTCTGGTAATGGTATCAAATCAACAATTGAATGATTTGCTATATGAAGCTTGTGTTAGTTTTCCTGCCTAATTTATTTCATTTCTGTTATTAGAATATCTGTGTATCAAAAGTTATTTTTTATTTTCCATGTGATTAATTGTGAAGTAATCCAAGATAAGAAACTATATCATCAAAATTTTCTTTTGTGTCACTTTTTAACTCTAACAGTTTAAATTCATGGATCCAAATTTGGCGGCTTCTCTTGAAGAAGGAAATGTAGAAGCCGTTTGTAAATTAATAAGTGAAAACAAAGACTTCCTGGAATCAAAAAATAGTAATGGTTTCACTCCTCTTTTGTTGGCCGTTAATTATGGAAATTTAGAACTCGTTCGCGCGCTTGTGGATTTAGGAGCAAATATTCAGGCTCTTGATCCCGAGACTGGTGAGAACAGTTTGCATATTGCTGCTAAAGGTGATTGCCGCAAAATTATTAAATTCTTATTAACTCATGGAATTTTAATAGAATGCACCACAAACAATGGCTGCACACCATTGCATATAGCTGCAAATTATGGAAGTGTTGGATCAATCAGAAAACTCACAAGACTTGGTGCAAACATTAATGCGAAAAATGTTAACGGCATGACTCCACTCCACATTGCTGCTATCACTGATAAAAGAGAGTCTGTTGTTGCTCTTCTTGAGTATGTTCTTCCCAGCCTTGAAAAAGACACGTTCGGAAAAACAGCTTTAGATTATGCAAAAGAAAAATTTGGAGTTGACGATGAATTAACTTTATCAATTGCTGATTATGGAGAAGTCTGTTTCCTCTATCCATTCCTTAAAGAGAATGAGCAGATTTTTAGGACAAAGCTTGCAGAAACAGAGCATAAAGGTGGTAAACTTCAATTTTTGATTTATAAAGAAGCAATCGAAAATAAAAGACAAGAAATTATAAAAGTTCTTCTTGAAGAAGGTGTTAATCCAAAAATAACAAACCAAATAACAAAGCAAACACCATTGCACGTAGCTGCTGCTGTTGGTGTTGTATCAATTATTAAGCAATTAATTGAAAATGAAGCTGATATCGATGCTGTTGACAATGAGGGAAATACACCATTGCACATGGCCGCTCAAAACTGTCAATATCAAGCTGTTTCTGAGTTAATTACAAGAGGAGCAATTGTTAAAGAAAACAATGATGGCAAGACAGCAATTGATTTATGCAGAGACAGTTCAGATGAACTTCCTCAGAAGACAAAAACATTTTCTTATTTGGTTAAAATGATCGGATACAACATTGCAATTTCAAAGATTGAAAATTCAAAAGAATTATTATCTTTCTTGAAATTGAACAAGAAAGTTATCAAGAAACATGGAGAAACATTAATATTTGATGCAATTGCTAAAGATAAAGCTGATGTTGTTGATTTTTTGCTGTTGAATAGAGTTGATTCAAATTGTAGAGACAAAGAAGGAAAAACTCCTTTGATTTGCGCTGTTGAGCAAAACAAATTTGAAATTGCAAAGCAACTATTAGTTTATTCTGCTGATGTTAATTTGACAATAGAATCTACTGGACAAACTCCTTTGCATATTGCCGCTGAGAAAGGATACTTTGATATCTTGGAGTTATTATTGCAGAATAATGCAATGTTAGTTGATGATGCAAATGGTGATTCTGCAATCAGAATTGCACAAAGGAAATTAGATGAAGGAAATATAGATTATGAAAAAATTGTCAATGCTTTGTGCGTTGTCCAAAACAGAGATAGCTTGAGCTCATCAATGTATAACGCTGATGTCTTTGCAAAGCAATTAAAAGACTCTCCAGGAGTTATCGAATCTTATGGTCCACATTTATTAAGAGAAGCAATCCAGAAAAGATATTTTGATATCGTTAAAATCCTTGTTGAAGCTGGTGCCGATATAAATAAGAATGATACTGAAGGTGTTAATGCTGTTCATGAGATGGCAATGTCGAATTCAGATGAAATGATGAGATATTTCTTAGAGAAAAAAGGTGACTTGACATTGAAAGAATTTCATGGAAGAACACCTCTACTTTGCGCTTGTTCATCAGCTAGTCCTAAAACAATCAAGGTTCTTATTGAAGCAGGTTCACTCTATGCTCTCGATGATGAAGGATCTACACCAATGCAATTAGTTGTTGATTGTCCAGAAACAAACAAAAATGAAGCAATTGAAATCATTTCTGATTTCACTTTCGAAACAGCTAAATCGAAATTAACAGAAGAAGCAGAATTGGAAGAAATGCTTGAACAGAATGCATTCTTATTAAGAGACAAAGGCTCATTCTTCATGCAATGGGCAGTTACAAATAAGAGTACATATACAATAAACTTCTTAATCAGTCAAGGTGTTTCTGTTTCAGAAAGAGATGATGCAGGAACAACTGTTTTGATTACAGCTGTTAAAGCAGGAGACATTGATATGATTAGAGTGTTAGTTGAGAGTGGTTCCATTACAGGTGTTCATGATAACGATGGAAGAACTCCATTGCATTATGCAGCTTTAGGAGATAATGTCGAAATTGTTGATTATTTGATCGAAAATGGCGCAACAAACAAAAAGGATAATAATGGAAAAACGCCATTAGATCTTTGCTCTAGAAGACAATCAAAGGCAGCCAAACAAATATCACATTCAATCAGACATTTAATTGAGTATTTCATTGAAATGGATGCAGCTCAAAACTATCACCAATTCAAAGAAGTTTTCAAGAAATACAGAACAAAATATGGAGTTCATTCTGCAATTAGAGCCATTTCTTATAACTCTAAACCTCATGTTGAATATTTGATTAATCATGGATTGAAGCCGACAGTGAGAGATGAGAAAGGAATGACTTTACTTCATTATGCAGTTCCTCATTGTTTCGAAATTGCAAAGTTCTTAATTGATAAAGGTGCAAATGTAAATGCCCAAAGTGAGGGAGGCTATACACCATTGCACATTGCATGCAAATATCAGAACAATGATGATATAATTCATTTATTAATCGAGCATGGCGCTGATGTTAATTTAACTACTAAAAACAACATAACTCCTTTATTCCTTGCTATGAAAGTCGGAAATACAATTGCAATCAATTCACTTTTGAATAAAGGTGCTGATCCAAATATTAGAACAGAGACAGACTTAGCTCCTCTTGATATTGCTGCTAGAAGACATAATACAGAAATGATTGACATCTTAATTTCTAAAGGTGCTGATGAAGTATCATTGGAAGAAACAAGAATGCAAGAATTATCAATCAAAGAGGTTGAAAAGCAGAAAATCAAGAAGAGAAGAGCTTTGAGAGCTGCTGGTTTAGAGACAAACGAAGAATCAGAAGAAAAATCGCCCACAAAAGATAAAACAGAAAATAAAACTGATGAAGCTTCAAAGGAAGGTAAAGAAACAAAGTCTACTGACGAGCCTGTAACACCACAGAAAGAAAAGAAACAAGAAGGAGATCAGAAATCTCCGAAGAAGGAAGAAAAACCAGAAGAAAATCAAAAATCACCAAAGAAAGAAAATAATTCTGATGAAAGTCCAAACTCGCCGAAGAAGGAAAAAAAGAATGATGAGAAAGCAGATGGTGATCAACCAGAAGGAAAGAAGGACGAACAAAATAATAAACAAAGTCCCGGAAAGAAATCAAAAGAGCAATCAGCACAGAAAAGCCCTAAGCCTGCTGCTCCTTCTCCCAAGAAAGACATATTTTACCAATGATTTATTAACTGTATTAGAAAGTATCATATATAAATAATTAATTTTGATATTAATTTTTTAATATAAATTGCGTTTTTCAATCTACTTCACATGTTAGAGAGTGTTGAAAAAATCGGGTGAATATCTGCATGTAGTAAGTGCGCTTTTAATTTCACTGATAACTCAATTAGCCGCTGTTTTTAATAAAAATTTATTTAAGGGCGCACTTACCACTTTCCGACATTCTCTCAATTTTTTTGACATTTTTGCTTTTTATACAAATTTTCTAATGTAAAAAGTTAATAATTTTGTTCGGGTAAAGGTTATTTTAAATCACTACCTAGCGCCTTATATTAATGTTATACTTTTTTTGCAATTACGATAAAGATATATTGATATTATGCGTGAATATCAGAATGTGGTAAGTGCAGCCATAAATACGTTTGATTATGGGAGATATTATGAGTTTAAAAATCAGAATTATTAATCAACTAAATGTTTAGTAGCTTATGCGTTTTTCCGCTTGTTGATAAAATGCATTGCGTAGATAACAACAATGAAAACTAAAATAATAAGCGAACAAGTAATAATGACAGGGACAGCCCATTTAGGATTCTCCTTGTAAACCATCCATCCATCATCGCATGTTGAAACAAATGGACTCTTTTCGTCTCCAGCCATGCATTGTTGTGAATAAGTGCACCAACCGCAATAATCTTGCTTTAAGCATTCTTTCTCTGTAGTGAAGTTGCATCTGTTATATGTCATAGAATCAAACTTGATCCAAGTGAAGTTCCAACGGTCAGGTAAGCCAATACGAGCAAATTCAGGGAAAGCCTTGAAATCAAAGACCGGCTGTTGATCGTAGGTTGGTGAATTAATTGCATCGAATGTTAACAATGAGCGTGCAGTCGTAAGTTTAGCTGCTTTTGTATCTAAACCTGCATCTGGCTTCTTATCTCCCCAAAGGCCGCCGTATCTTAAATCGTATCTAGACATAATCATTTGTCCTGGGTCTCCGTTGGAGTAAAGATCTCTTTGCCAGTTATTATATCTCATAAATTTCTTGAAAGTTTCGAAGTCATTCAATCTCAATGCTTCTCTTTCGATCAAGAGGTTTCTGGCTGTTGTATTGTAATCCCAGAAAGAAGCTGTTGCCGGATTTGCAGCAATCTTCTCTGGATACATGAATAACTTGGAGAGTTCTGGGAAGTGTGGCTTGTTGAATGATGGGAAGAATCCTTTTTCAACAAGTTTGTCAGTAATATCTCTTGCCATCGAATATGTTCCTGGAGATTGTTCAATAACCCAAAGGAGATCCTTTTCGGGCTTCTTGTATCTCTGGAATTTGTTTGTATCAACAATCAAATACTGGTTGTTATATGTTCCGAGATTATTTTTAACAAAAATTTGGGTCCATTCTGAGCCATTGTGGGCCATCCTGGAAGCCAAAAGGGATCTCATCCATGTGGAAACTCCCTTTGGTGTAATATCGTAGAACAACGAGTCATTAAAGATTCCCATTGTAGTTTCAAGGATCATTAGACCACTATCTGTCAAGTAAAAGTCATCTGCTGATGCAATTTGTCCAGGGCGAGTTGATAAAGATATTGTTTTCGCTGCAAAATCTTTAACAGGGAGATGATATTCTTTTAATGTGCCGTGAAGAGCTAAAATGTTACTCCATGTATCGTGAGCGAAGTAAATATCTGAATAGTCATCAAGAAGGCGAACCAAACCTGTGCATTTATCACCAAGTTGTTTTGGATCTGGAGCTGAGCTTAAACGAGTTGGGCCACCGGAATTTCCACCTTGGATCTTCTTAAGGTTTATGATTTTCAGGAAGTCACCGAGATCACCTTCAGCTTGAACACACCAATGATCAATTTCAGACATATACTTGTGCTCTGGATGCTGTAAATAGCCTTCATAGACGCCCTTTGCTTGTTCGTTAATCAATCCAATCATTCTCCAATATTCTGATTCTGGATAAGCGTCGATTGACTGACGGATGTATTTTATGTGTTCTGCAACAAATTTTGCATAACCTGGAGGGTATCTTTCTTCATCACTAGTAGCACTTGTGTTCCATTCCATATATTCATTGATTGAATAAAAATGTTGGTAAATTTCTTTATGGGCAAGGTAACCTTCTACAGCACCAGCGCATCGTAACATAGCTTTTGGTTCAGAGTTTTCGTTTCCAACGACTCGAATTTGATGCCAACCAGTTGTATTAAGATCATCATCGTAAATTGCATAAGCATCATATGGTGATTCGATGCCATCTTTCATTTGAATGGCTCCGTCAACCATACGACAACTTGCTGTACGATTTTTCGAAGATACTAAAACAGCAAGCGAAAGCATCATAAAAATATTTTATATTTTTAAAACATCATAATGAAAATGACTGCATAAAACTATGCATAGTTAACTTTTTATTATGAGTTAACTCCAAAAAATGCAGATGTTGAATCAAAAAATTAAAGCATGATTAGTATTGATAGTCACTGACATGCTCAGCTTATCATTGGCTACTTTACTTCCCGTTCTAGGGAAATATTTTCATTTTTGAAATGCTTAATATAGAACTTACCAAAGGGAAATTCATATAAATTATTAGTGTACAAGTGAAGAAGCTATTTATGATCGCTGAAATTTTATTTTTGTAATTTCAATTTAAATTCAATCATAAATTTTTAAAGCATTTGATCAGAATAAGTATCTTACTGAAGAAAAAGCAAACTTCAAAATCTTATGTTCAAAAATCTTAATATTTCATAATATTTAAAGATTTCAACATGAAAAAGAGATAATATATAATAATAAAAACATTTGTTTAAAATAAATATCACAAACATAATATTATTATGACAGAGTTATGATATCGACTGGATCATCTTGATTATTATTTGATAAATCAATTGAAGGATCTAAAATTACATGAATAGATTGATCTTTGTAGAAAGACACCTTTTCTGAATCATCTATTGCAACATAGTCACTATCCCTGAAGATTATATTCTCACTTGATAATTTCGGACATTTTTCGATCAATTCGTTCTTTATATCAGTAAATGTTTTCTCGTTATTAATGGAAAGTATTTCTGTCTGTTTCACAGTTGAGATTTCATTTGAGTTATGGAATAATATTTCTATGGTGGGTTCAGAGTTTTCTTCTTCTTTCTTTTCAATAATTATAATATCATCATCTTCATTTGATTCCTTCTTATTAAATTGAAGCTTTTCCTCTTCTTTATTTTGAATAATTATTTCATTATCTTCATCTGATATAGGTTTTTCTTCTTTGATCACTGCTTTTTCAATATTTTCTTTCTTAACCATTCCACCTTTAATTGATATAATGTAGTCTATCCATGCTTGTTTGTCAAGAGAATAATATAGGTCACTGTATATAATGAGAATAACCTTTCCTCCGTAGGCATTTAGATATTCACTATCGAGATCAATTTTTTTATTCTCTATCAAATCAAGGTAGTAGAGATCGTCTCCTGAATCAAGTTCAAAGTCATCATAATATTTGTCATTGAAATCATTAAAAGTTGTACTATCTGCATCTAATTCAATCTGGAAACTCTTTGTATGAGTAACAAAGAAAACTTTATCTTTCGGGATTAATCCTGTAATATCATTTGATTCTGATTGCCCAGACTCATTCTTCTCTGGTTTAGTTGATGTAGTAATCGCTGGCTTCTCTTCAATAATTTGAATTGAATCACTATCATCAAATTCTTCTTTTTGCTCTGCCTTCTTTTCTACTTTTTCTTCTTTCTTCACTTCATTTTGACCATCTTTCTTTTCTTCAATTGGAATTTCTTTCTTTTCTTCAATTGGAATTTCTTTCTTTTCTTCAACTGGATTTTCTTTCTTTTCTTCTTTCTTCACTTCAATTTGTTTAACTTCAACTATATTTTCTTCATTCTCCTGATCTTTTAATTCTGATTTCTCTTCAATAAGGCTAATTGGACTTTCAGTTATAAGATCAATTTCTTCTTTCTTTTCTTCAATTGGAATTTCTTTCTTTTCTTCAACTGGATTTTCTTTCTTTTCTTCAATTGGAATTTCTTTCTTTTCTTCAACTGGATTTTCTTTCTTTTCTTCAATTGGATTTTCTTTCTTTTCTTCAACTGGATTTTCTTTCTTTTCTTCAACTGGATTTTCTTTCTTTTCTTCAACTGGATTTTCTTTCTTTTCTTCAATTGGAATTTCTTTCTTTTCTTCAATTGGAATTTCTTTCTTTTCTTCAATTGGAATTTCTTTCTTTTCTTCAACTGGATTTTCTTTCTTTTCTTCAATTGGAATTTCTTTCTTTTCTTCAACCTGATTATTTTGTTTATATTCTACTTTTTCTTCATTTTTCATTTCTATAGTATGAATTGGCCTTTCTATTGTAGTAAAAGGTGCTTCTTCTTCTTTGCTATCATCTTCCATAAAAAGAGGTTTTGTATCAATTATAACAATTTCTTCTTCGTTTTCAGGGATTGATTCAATTTTATTATCTTTTTCTCCCACTTTTTTGTTTTCAACTTCGATTTTTTCTTCTTTCTTTTCTTCAACTAATTCAGTTTTATGTTCAATTATTTCGATTTCCTCTTCATTTTTGTTTTCTTCTATTTTTTCTACAGGTAAATCTTTTGGTTTTTCTTCATTTGTGTTTTCTTTTGATGTTTTATCATTTGTTTTTTTCGTTCGATAGTCTAAAATGTATTTGTAAATAGCATTTGTGTCTAATGCATTTTCTAAATCAGATGCATATCTGATGATGATGACTTGTCCTCCGAAATCCTTGAGATAACTGTCGAAACTAATTTTTGTGCCATTTGGTTCAATATATGCAATTTCGGCTTCATATTTCAAATTAAACTTGTCAAAATATTCTTCATTAAACGTTTCAATTGTTGTTTCATCCGCATCGACTTCTTCGCCAATTTTCGTATCGTAAACAAAAATAAAAACCTTTTCTTTTGGAATCAAACCTTTGAATTTATCACAACTTTCTTCTGCTTTTTCAACGACAGGCTCTTTCTTTTCTTCTTCTTCTTTCTTCTCTTGAGGTTCATTTGGTTTGTTTTGTTTGTTCTTGATTTCTTTTGCTTTTTTGTCAATTTCTCCAGAAATTCCGAAAATAACCGTTTTTCCAGCAAATTTTGAAACAGGAGTTTTCAATTCAATGATATCTCCATTTGTTGGATCCATGTATGATATTAACTCATCTTCTGGACATTCGAACTCAGAAAACATCGCTCCTGTGAGATTATCGAATGTATTTATATTGGAAATATCAGCTTCCAATCTTTTAGAATCATCTGATTTAACAAGAACAAGTTTTGTTTCTTGAGAAGAATTTGTTGTTTCAACTACTGGTACATTTTGTTCTTGTTTTTGTGGTTTGTTTTCAATGATTGTTATTGATGCATCTGAATCCATATCTTCTTCATTTATCTGTGGTTTGCTTGTAATTTTTAGTGAATCAGAAAGTAAACTATTTCTTTTGGATCTGAAGTTTGGTTTATAATGATCACTATCCAGTTCAGCGAATTGTGGTATATCAAAATCATCTGAGGGACTTGAGGGAAAACCAGGACCCCATTTAGCAGTCAACATTGCTGGTTGTACTTCTAAAGGTGGTTTTTCATCGATTTCAAGTGTTTCGGTTTGAGACGGACTTAAATTATTAACTGTTTGTATATTTTCGTTTGGTTTTGTATCGTTAGAGGGAGGAACAGCAATTTCTGTATTCGGTTTCGTTTCTTCTGTAATAGGAAGCTCTTGAGATGTCTCGAAAACGTAAATAGGTCTGTCGCATCTATTTCTTGCAGCAATATGTGCAGCACATTCTTTTTCATCGATTTCCATTCCATTTAAAATATACTGTATACGGCGTTGGTTAAATTTAAATTCTTTTATTACTTGTGTATCAAGATCGTGGATTGTTTGAGTCGGACCTATAAAGATTTCAAGTTCTTTATCCGGATTTCTATTCTTAAATGTAAATTTGAGACTTTTCGAATTTAGATTTTTTTCTACTTTTCCAGGATCGCCTTCAGGTGTTCCAATTTGAGTTAAAACAATAAAAGATCCACCCTCTTCAGAAATGCTTTTGACTTTTTGCTTTTCATCTTTAATTTGCTTCATTATATAGAATTTTTTATCTTTGCTTATGCTTTTTGTTTCTCTGATCTGTTCTAATGTATCATCATTCTTAACTGTTAGGTCTAGCTGTAATGGATTTCCTGGGTAATAAAAAACTTTTTTATTCATATGAATAAAAAAAAAAACCACACTTTCCTAAAAATAGTGAAATTCCAAATAAAAATAATTCACATTAAGAATCCTTGGTGGCCATATGCTTCGAGTCAAAGATTCTTTTATAGAATGCTCAAGAATAAATTAATTCCAAAGTATAATTTTATCAAATCAAATATATTTTTTTTTCAAATAAACTCTTGTGCATATACAATTGATAATCCACTTGATTGCTTCGCTTGTTTAACAAATTTGAGAATGCATGTGTATAAAAGAGCCGTTTTATTGGACTTCCTAGAACTTAAGGATCACAACACAAAAACGGCTAATACATATAAAATTATCATTATCCAAATAAGAAAAAATTTGATGATCCAAAAAGTAGTAAAAAACAATTAACAATAGTAGAAATATGTGGCTCCATTCAAGTTTATTTTATTTCGTAATAAAAAGTTAACTATATCTACTTTCATCCGGAAAGGAATAACTTCTTCAAAAAGAATTATTTCTGTATCAAATTAATATTAATTACTCTATAAAGCATTGTGATTATCATTTTTTAAACCATATTCGACTTTAGCACAAAGTCGACTCTTAAATTCATTGACGACTTTTACAAATTTTTTCGAAAATCTACAAACTCCTTGATGAGATTTCAAAAGAAGGCTATCAGAATATAATGTCCAAAGCAGTTGAAGAAGGCTTATGCGATAAAACAGAGCCAAAATATTTTAAAAACATGCTTCATTTGGCCACCGAAAGAGGTAATTTAAGACTTGTCAAATCCATCTGTGACCGCTCTATCTTATGCAGTTCTGAATGACGAACTAGAAATTGTTAAATATCTTATCTCTGCTGGAGCTAATAAAGAGGCAAAAGATAATTACAAATGCACTCCTCTTACTTGGGCAGCCCGAATGGGCCATTTAGAAATCGTTAAATATCTTATATCTTCCGGAGCCAAATTAGAGGAGCCTGATAGATGCGGAAGAACACCATTTGGATATGCAGTTGGTGAAGGTAGACTTGATGTTGCTAAATATTTAATCTCAGTAGGAGCAAATAAAGAAGCAAAGATCAGTTCAGGTGATTCTCCGCTCATGGAAGCCATTGAATCTAATCAACTTGAAGCAGTCAAATATCTTATCTCTGTTGGAGCAGATAAAGAGACAATGAATAACAAAGGAACTACTCCTTTAATTTGTGCAACTCAGAATGGCCATATTGGCATTCTTAAATATCTTATTTCTGTCGGAGTTAATTTGAATACAACAGATAAATCAGGAAAAACTGCTCTTGATTATGCAAAAGGCGAGCTAAGAGTTTATTTAATATCAGTCGGAGCTTAAAATTACTTGAAATATTTTGATTAAACTCTAATTTTAAAATTATAAAATACTTCTTAAATTAACTTAAAAATCTCATTTTATCATATTGATATATATCTATTGAACATCAAAGAGATTATTGTCTGCTACAGTAGAAAGACCTTCTGGATCTCGATACTACAAACTTGAATAATCTAATTTTATGATTGAATAGTAATGAGAAGATCATTCCTTCAATAAAAGCTCACATTTCATAATCAAATATCAAATGAGTTTAAGGCACCGAATTCTTGAAGTACCAAATTTGATCAAAATTTAATAAATTTTGGATTTTCAAACTTATTCATATATATCCCGATCTCAGTTTTATTGAGCTCTATTTGTATATAAAATTATTCTTTACAAATGATATAAAAAATTCAAATTCGAGTTGTTAATTCTATTGAATCCTACAACATTATTCAATAATATTTTATTCTTGAGGCTGAACAAGAGAATAGATTGTGTATGAGTTACGACGGATTGTATCTTCCTGAGATTCAGTTGCAAGTCCTGCATCGATGATTTTCTGGATAACAGTATCAGCATCATTGATGGCAGCATGGATCCTGTCTGCACTAACAGATAATGTCTCTGACTTAATGCAGTCCTCTGTAATTTGATAAATACTTCTACTGATGGCTTCAATGAGTTTAAGGGCGAATTTTCCTGACTGTGTCTCAGAAATTTCTGGAGAACCTTGTCCGCTTGCCAAAGTATTCTGAATAATTGTGCTGACTTGTTGGGCAGATGATGAAGTAACAAGAAGCTCTGTTTTCTGAGATGAAAGCTTTTCCTTTATTTCCTTACGCTTATTTTCGACTTCAAGTAATTCATTGCTTGTTTGAGATACTTCTTGCAATAATTTGCGTTGTTTCTCAATTAAAGTGTCCTGAATTTGAAGGATTTTCTTGAGCTGCGTGTTTTCATCTGTGAGTCTTTTTTCTTCGGCATTAATTGATGCTATCATTTCACTGAAGTTGGGTCTAGACATTGCACTTTGTGAACGGTTAGATTACTTTTGATATAATAAACGAGCATTTCGAAAACAAAATTTCTAAAATAAAGCACTTTTATTAATCTACAACAGAACTATGGCCTTTTCTTATAGAATTTTCATCGAAATGCATATGAAATCTAATCCCCATTGAATTTCTTGAGAAGATCGAACGAATGGCTATCAATACATCATCAATACCTACTAAAGTTACTTTGTTCTCATACCATACAATCAATATTTACGATGTCCAACCTTGATTTAGAAATCACTCTTTAGCTCAATTTATTTATGTAAGTTGGTCATATAAAATATTAATGTTGGCTCTAATTCTACACCAATCATTGATAAGATGTCCGAATATGAAAATAATTCAAATAAATTTTCTGCAAGAAGAAATGATGGACTGCATAATTGTAATTCATATAACAAGATAGAGCGAATACCAAAATAGTTAACAGTTATGTTGTTATCAATAAAACTGGCGCCAAAAAAATATGCTCTCATTTTCCAATGAAATTTCGCGCCAAAATTTGCTAGTCAGTTTTGAATTTTTCTCTGGTCAGATTTAAATTATGAGTTACACATCTCTCGCTGAAAGAAGATCAAAACGAGGCGTGAGGCATGTTAACTATAATGAAACTCAGATGTGGAACCGCACACTTCAAGATTATTCAGATTCCGACTCTGATGAAAATGAGAAAGGTAGAAATGGCAGAGGCAAGGCAAACAACAAGAAAAATTCCTTCGATTACTCAGAATCAGAATATGAACAACAAGAATTCAGCGATACTACACCATCCGAGTCCGCTTACGGTTCAACAGATGAATCAGGTAAAGAAAACTATTCATCATCAAGTGAAGGAGAGTATTATGAAGAAGAAGAAACCGAGGAGGAAACAGAAGACGAGTTAATTGTTCAGTCTATCCTTGGAAAGAAAGACAATACAGAAGATGATGCGCCTAAAAACAAAGATGATCAAGAATACTACGTTAAATTCCTCGATAAAGCATATATTCATTGCCAATGGCTCAAAGCTAAAGAAATCAAAGAACTCGAAGGAGGAGAAAATGCACTTACAAGGTTCGAAAATAAGTGTCAGAAGTTTATTCTTTCTCCTTCTGTATCAATTGGAGACCTTCTTACATTTGAGGATCAAGAAATTAACCAAGTTTGGTTCCAAATCGATCGAATTATTGATGAAAAGGGAGATCTTGAAGATAATGATTTAGAGTACCTCGTTAAATGGAAAGGCCTCGAATATGATGAAGCCACATGGGAAAAGGCCGAAGAAATTAAAGAAAAAGATAAAATTAAAGAATACCAAGAACATCTCAAAATCGCTAATCCAAAGAAGATCCCATCACGTTGGAAACGCCCAAGCGCTAAAGAATTCAAAGAACTCGAAGAATCTCCGAAATCAAAACATAATTACGAATTACGTGACTACCAGCTCAAAGGCCTTAACTGGCTTCGCTTCTGCTGGTACAACAAGCGTAATAACATCCTTGCCGATGAAATGGGTCTTGGTAAAACTGCACAAACCGTTTCAATGCTTGAAAGTCTCAGAAAATACGAAAACGTACGTGGCCCATTCCTTGTAATGGCTCCACTTTCAACATTGCCGCACTGGAGAAACGAATTCGAAGAATGGTCGTCCTTAAATACGATTGTTTACCATGGAAATGCGGATTGCAGAGAACTTATTCGCAGATCCGAGTTCAATTGCCTCAACAGCAAGGGCAAAATCATACCAAACTGCGTCCAATTCGATGTTTTGGTCACAAATTATGAAACTGTTTTACAAGACTTCAATGTTTTCGCTGATATCGAGTGGAGATACATTATCTTTGATGAAGCCCACAAATTGAAGAACTCCAAAGGCAAGCTCTACAAGAAAGTCGAAACGTTGACTTTCGAACATTGTACAATGCTCACCGGAACTCCAATTCAGAACAACATGGAAGAACTCTGGGGTCTTTTGCATATTCTCTTCATCGACCAACCTAATTTCTTCACTCTCGAAGAATTCAACGAAAAATACGGCAACATGACTGATTCCGCACAAGTCAAGTCCATACAGAAGCTTATCAAGCCATTAATGTTGCGTAGAAAGAAGTCCGATGTCGAACAATCCATTGCGGCCAAAGAAGAAACAATTGTAAGAGTCGAATTGACAAGGACACAGAAAAAGTTCTACAGAGCATTACTTAGTGAAAACGCCAGTACATTATTAGAACAAATCACAGGATCAGCAGCCAACAACTTGCAGAACATTGCCATGCAACTTAGAAAAGTCTGCAATCACCCGTATTTGCTCAAAAACGCCGAAGACACAGAAGTCAAGGAAAGAATGGCCGATCCAGCGAATAAAGGCAAATCTCGTGATCAAATCGAGTTGGAAGGATTAGTTGAATCTTCCGGTAAAATGGTCTTCATTTCCAAACTCCTTCCAAGACTAAAAGAACAAGGCCACAAAGTCCTTATTTTCTCCCAAATGGTCAGAGTTCTCGGAATCATCTCCATATTTTTGGAAGCGAACCAATACAAATACGAACGTCTTGATGGTTCAGTAAATGATAACGACAGACAAGCAGCCATTGATAGATTCAACCAAGACCCAGAAGCCTTTGTTTTCCTTCTGAGTACAAAGGCAGGTGGTGTTGGTATCAATCTAACAGCTGCAAACACTGTCATCATTTACGATTCAGACTGGAATCCGCAAAACGATATCCAAGCCGAAGCAAGATGCCACAGAATTGGTCAGACACAGAAAGTCAAAGTTTACAGATTAGTTACTCGCGCTACATATGAAGAGAAGATGTACGAACGAGCAAGTAAGAAACTTGGCTTGGACCATGTCGTTTTAGATGGCGGAGACATGTCGAAAGAGAAACCAATGAAAGCGAAGGAAATCGAAGAAATGTTGAGAAACGGTGTTGTCAACATTTTCAATGATGATAACACACAGGCTGATGAATTCACTGCTGCTGATATCGACCAGATCTTGGATAAGAGAGCAACAACAACTTTCGCGGATGTCGTTGCAGGCGGAGACTCCGTTTTCGCTACAGCACAATTCAAAGCAGATAATGATACTTTGGATATGAATTCTGCTGATTTCTGGGCAGAAATATTACCAGAAGCGAGAATGGATAAGTTCAATCAGCCAACAATGAGAAGATGCAGACAAACTAAACTCGAAATGGAGATAATGTCCGGAGAAAAAGACACAGACATGAAAGGAGCGATTCTTGAAATAACATACAAAGGATATACAGAAAAACCTTTTGAAAGACTCATTTTAATGGCTGCTGATTCTTTGTATAAATCAAAGAGTTCTCATGATAAACAGGCCATCAATAAAATCATGTCTACATTCCCACCTGAAGAACAAGGAGAACTCGAAAAGTTCTTGGGCCAACACGGTGTAGAAGTCGAACAATCAATCGAGAAAATCTACTTGAGATGCGCTTTCTTCTACAGATTAAGAAGAATTCTTTTCTTGATTCAAGAAGGTGATTATAAATGGCCGGCCATTTTACCACCATGGGAAGATCCTGTTGCTGAATACGCATTGATGTTAGGTGTTTACAAGTACGGAATGCACGAGTTGACAGCGATTCCTGAAGACAAAGAGCTCGGATTAATGGAAGCAAGGCCATTAACAAGAAGCGCTTTGGAAAAGAGAGTTAGAGAGCTATATATACAACTCGAAAAGGAATTCACTGAAGAACAACTCAACATCGATGTTCCTGAAGATTTCAAGCCACTTTTGCCTTCGGAATGGAAGACAAAACATTCTTCAGTTTTGGCAAGAAAAATTTTGTATGATTCTGAAGTTTTGTCACTTTTCCAAGCAATGTGTGTTATTGGAGCACCAGAAACAGAAGACGGAGAGATGATTGATTGGGAGAGATTGCGCCAGTTCTGCAAACTCACTTTAGTTACTGCAAGAGCCGTTGAACAAGTCGCACAACAAATTATCGATCTTTCAAACGCTGAACAAGAGAATACAACAGTTACTGATGACGAACAGAACAAAGAAGAAGGCGAAGGAGGTAATAACAACGTTGATTTATCTCCTTACGACAAATTGAAGTGCGTACAAGGAAAGATTTCGAAGAAAGACGTGAGAAAAGTCCATCAATCCATCAAAGAAATGGCGAAAATTTACAGATTTGTGCGTAAATTATCTCACAGAAGAATCGAATCCCTTAAACAAGCTCCTAAACTCAGTAACGGACCAGATTGGTGGAACTGGGAATGCGATTTAGCCCTCATCAAGAACATCGCAATGTACGGACAACAAGCAACTTCCATTTGGATTGTTGATCCACAAGGACCATTCAGAGCTCACATTCCTCCTGAGTTATTGGAATCATTTGAAGATGCAGCATCAAAAGAGAAAGAAAAACTTGGAAAAGGCAAAGCAATTAAGCCATCTGACCAAGGTCCATTTGTTTTCTTGTTCAGAGAAAGAACAAGAATAGCAAGAGCAATTACTGTAATTACTTATGTATTCAAAGATGTCGACAAAGTCAAGAAACACGAGAAAACAGAGAGAAAGTCGAAAGCAACTGGTGAATACAAAGTAAAGACAAAAGATCTAAGAGTTACAGAACTCGGAGCAATTCTTAACAACAGGTATTTCGTCAAGAAAACTCATGTTTGTCCTATTGGCTACACAGCAATCAGAAGATATAGATTCCCAAGCCAAAAGGAATACATGAATTACAAATGCGAAATCTTGTCACAAAATGATAGGCCTTACTTCAAAGTAACAAACATTGATGCTGATCCACCTCAAGTTTACGAATCTGATGATGTAAACAACGTTTTCAAGCTCATTGTTGAGGACATGTGCAAAGATCCGATGCAGAAGAAACCTTCAATTAAAGGCAATTTCTTCTTTGGTCTCGTCAATAAAGACGTCAAAGCAGAACTTTCTAAACTCCCTGGAGCAGAAAGTATCTCTTGTTTGATCCAAGAACCAACGACATTACCTTTCAAGGTAAAGATTCCTTTAGTCAAGTTGGAGGACTTACAAGAGAAGCAACAACAGTAATTTTTTATTGTATTTATTATATATTATTTATATTATGAAATATTTTGTATTCTTTTTATATTTCTTTGTTATATCAATAAAAAAAGTATAATATTTTGAACTAAATTTTTAAACAACTTCATTATCTTAACTTATAACTAATAAATTCATAAGAATTAAGTCCGAAAATGATGAAAAATTAATTCGAAATTTTTATTAACTCCAAGATTTGAGTTTTCGTTCCCAAGGAAATGATTTTCTGAGAAAATAAAAAGTTTTTTATCTGAAGTACTATCAATATTCGTAAATTAAATAAATAAAATTCATATTTGTTTGAGGTTGAATCAAGAGAAAGGAAATATAAGCTGTGAGCGAGTATATGCAATAAATTAGATGTTTACATTTTTAAAAAATCGGTATAATTTGTTAAAATAGAATAATTCCAAATTTATTTTATATAAGAAGACAGCTTTCGTACCATTTCTTCTTCTGGACTACAACAGGCTTTTTGATCTTGGCAACTTCTCTTACTGCTTCCTCCATAATTTTCTGAATATTTTGTCCTGTTTTCGCAGAAGATGGTATATAAAGGGCCTTGAGTTCTTTAGCAAGATCAATGGCTTCCTTTTCTTCAATTTGACGGCCATTGCTAAGATCTTGCTTATTACCAACAATAATGCAAGGGAAAGAGTCGGTATTTTTAACGCGAGATATTTCATCATGATAACTTCTAATTTGATCAAAAGAAGCGCTATCGTTAATTGCGAAAATAAGGACGAAGCAATCGGTCTGATTAATTGTTGGTCTAATTAAAGCGGGTGTTGACTCCATACCAGCTGTATCGAATATGTCAACCATGTATGTGTAATTGTCAACTGTTAATGCTTTTTTAAAATTTTCGGAGATTGTTGGTTCGTATTCTTCAACAAAAATGCCCTGAACAAACCTCATTGAGATGCAGCTTTTTCCTACTGAGCCCATTCCGAATAAGGTAAGAGCAACGTGATTGTTAGGATCTGGAGACATTCAGAAATAGCTATTTGTAAAGTTCTATTTACAAATTCCAACAAAAAGTGATCTTCTCCCTCTCAATTTATTTGACTGAGTAGTTAGTAAATATAATCTATAACGATTCTTAAGCATGATTTTCGAAAAGTGATTTGCATTTTCAATTGTTAATTTCTGAATCTCATTTTCGACTAATACTGTAATTTTCGACTGGATTTACGAACATTGTTTTTAACACAGTGATCCAAAAAAAATCTAATTTGCTAAAATCAAAACTAATAGGATTCGATTTATTAGTTTAACTTTGACATTTCATATGAAATTACTTAATTGTAGATTGTACTTATAACAGTTCAGTCATTCCACGGTTTATAAATGGGGTTTTCTATTTGTTTTCTCTAATTTTAGCAATTTTAAAGAAGTTCTGCCCAATCAACGAAGTTAAATAGATATAATCGTTGTTACATTGATGAAAGCTTTCATCCTATTCATCGTAATAGTCATTTACTAACAAAAAAAAATTCAGAAATTTAAAATATCTTTTAGATAAGTCTGAGCTTATAATATTTGATTGCATTTTTGTAATGATAAATTTTTGTTGTGTGTAATTCAAATAAAATAGAAATATTTATTATAATATATTGGCTCAAAGCATCTTTTGAGCTCTTTCAATGATCTTGTTATAAACAGGATACATATCTCTTTCATTACTTACTTTGCAAACATCCTCAACAGGAACCCATTTGACGCCACTGTTTTCATCTGGTTTTACAAAGAGTTCCTGTGAATCATCAGCCTCAAATATATATGTAAGATTGATATGCTGATGACTTGAAACCCATTGACCGCGTTTGACATGCCCCCAAACTGGAAGAATATCGAGAGCAATAGGATCCTTAGAAATAACCTTTACATCAACACCAGTTTCTTCCTTTGCTTCTTTGATAGCGACATGGAGGAAATCTGGATCACCATCATTGTGGCCACCAGTCCATGTCCAGCTATCATAGATATTATGGTAAATAAACAATGTTTTTGTTCTGTCCTTGTTGAAAATGAATGAAGATGATGAAAAGTGAGCGAATGTATTGTCTCTAATGAGAACATTATCAAAAAGGTCAAGGTATTTCAATGTAGTGACTTTATCTTGCTCCTCTTGTTCACACAGAGGCTTGAATGATTCAATAATCTTCCTTACAGCTGCGTTTGCTTCCTTTGAAGTCATACGTTAAAATGATTTTAGTATAATTTTCCTTTCAAAGACAATTTATTTAAGGGTGCACACGAGAGGATCATGTAAACTTCAGAATTTACAACCTTGCTCGAAAAGCAAAAAATATCAAAAAATACAACTTGAGTCCATTATGACCCTTTCATGGAGGTAGTTTTTCTCCGCTAGTATTTTCCCTTTGAATCTCTTTACAATTCGAAATCAAATTCAAAACTCAGTAGAAGAAAGGAAGAATCGACTTACTACGGTTGTAATACGAATAAATACATATATTTAATTATTTTTATTTACATAATAATTGTTTGAAGCTCATATTCCATCAAATTTTTAAATAAAAACATTAAAATGTTGAAAATGTTCATATATTTTAATAGGGTTTTGGCACTTTATTGAGGAATTACTACATACATAGTCGAACTGAACTTGATATTTTGAAATTTAAATTATTTATCAAAATTAAAATTTAACTTGAAATTTATAATTATTTAGTCATATTTTGCATAATTCAAAAAAAAAAAAAAAAAAAAAAGGTAGTGGGGCCTCCAGGCACTTCGTGCCCTCTAGCCCTGAAGATGTTTAGTATAAATGAAGTTTTTTGGGTACTGGGGGCTTCCAGGCGCGTTGCGCCCTCTAGCCCATAAAAATTTTTGGTAGAGCACTCAAAATAGTATAACTTTGTCCGGACAAGTAAGGGTCTATCGTCGCTACAGGAAAAGTTACAGGCGTTCCAAGGAAGTATACTTTGAGAAGCCTTTTCTGTCACTTTTCAGGAAAAAACATTTTTATTATTATATATAAATGAATTTTACAAAACCACCGTTACCCTTCTTTGGAAATAAGAGTAGATGTAAAGATATTCTATTGAGAGAACTTAAGAAACTACCGAATGGTCTAACATTTGTAGATTTGTTCGGTGGAAGTTTCTATATATCCCATTTGTGCCATACAATATTCCCAGACTCAAAGATTATATGCAATGACTTCGACAACTATATGGACCGTCTCAAACATATACCAGACACAAACAATATATTGAAAGCGTTAAAAGAAAAGATACCTATAGGTAAGATGGAACGTATACCATTAGATAAGAAAAATATTGTGAGAGAGGTTTTGAAAAAAGCAGAATATATAGACTGGGATAGTATATCTGCTAGACTATTATATAGTGGTTCTATAAGAGTTCATGACATTGAAACACTTATGTCAAATGTTTTATATCTTAACTATACAAATGTTTTCAAAGAGGACATAGAAAAATATATTGAGGGTATAGAGTTTGTGAGATGTCATTGGACAGAGTTGTATGAAAAATATAAAAACAAGGAAAATGTTTTCTTTATAGTAGACCCGCCGTTCTATAACACATGGGATTTTCAATACCAAGTAGACTGGACTTTGAGAGACTCTTTAGAAACTTTAGACGTTTTACATAACCATCCATGCTTTTACTTTACATCCGATAAAAGTGGTTTGGAAACCGTTATGAGATGGTTAGAGGACATACATGACTATGAGTTTAGATATGACAATATAGAATATGAGAGAGGTCCTATAAACCGGAGAAAGTGTCATAACAAAGAAATTTTACTAGTAAGTAAATGTGGTTTGAAATAGGACTACTTGTTTTAGGTTTTTTCCATTGTGTCATTTATTTATTTGACGTGGCAGAAAAGTACAGAGAATATGAAGATGAACCAATGTCTGCAAATGTTCAGCATATGTACTCGTAAGAGATATTTTTATCTAATATTAAATGGACGCACAGAACTTAGCGAATGCACAGCAACCTGGACAACCAAACCCAGAGAATATTCCAAATGAAGTTAGAATACAAACTGCAATGGCAAACTATGGTCAAGTGCCAACAGATGTACAAATGCAAACTGCCATGTCAAATGACGCTGCGTTAGGTTTGCCACCATGGTATGCAAATATGAGATGGAAAGAGTTTTATACAAACCCTGAAGTGGGATATAAACAACTTTATGCAGATGACGCAAACACAGGAGTTGACCCAGAATATGTTTTCTACCAGAGGAGAAACAGAATGTATGAGCTCCAGTTAAAGAATGCTATGGAACTCAACAGGAAACGTAAGAGACTAGGTGGACATTAGATTTTTACATATAGTAAAATGGGTTTCTTCAGTAGTATTGGAAACTTCTTCAGAAGAGTTGGAAGAGGTATATGGAATGGAATAAAATCTGTCGGAAGAGGAGTATGGAACGGTGTCAAAAATATTGGTAAAAGAGTAGGTCAGTTCGTTGGTATTATACCTAAAGACCCTGAACCAGAAGAGCAAGCTCCTGTTATACAACAGCCTGAACCTGCACCACAGTCAAGTTGGCAACCAAATCCAACACCTCAACCGTATTAAAAAATTATATTTTTACCGTTCGATAGTAGTTGTATATGAAACTAAGTTCTAAGTAAAACGCATGGTATAATGGAATTATTCTTTTTCTTCCATCTGTAGTAAACCATACTTGAAAGTCTGAAATACTTCCACTTGGTGGTTCGTATAACTTTGTAGGTTTTTCGTAAAAGTCATTTGCCAAGCATAAGAAAGAGTTTTGTGCACCAGAAAATGAAGCATGAACGATAATAGCATCTGAGTCGAAAACATTTTCATATGTTCCATTAGGGTTTTCGACTTCATAAAAGTCCGGGTGTACTGGATATTCTGCAGGCTGATTTAACATCCTCAGAAATCTATACCATGCCAAGTTGTTATATTTTGTAGAAATATAAACGTTTTCTCCAAGGTCTTCTATTCTATTGATTTTAACAGTTGCATTTTTCCTGTCATATATAATATCGAGATGGTATCTCCTTTCGTCAATGTTATACTGTTTTGCATATTCGAGATAGATATCGTTTATTTTTTCTTGAAAAGCTTGAAGAGTTGTTTCTAAGTTTACAAGCAAATTCACTTGTAAAAGTTTCCCTGTTCAAATTTCTCATACGTACGTTTTTCTTTGTTATAGTATCGAACTTTCAAAACCGACTGTAAATGGGAAACCATGTATGGCTTCTGAAATGAACTTCATTCTACGAAAGCAATAGCTTTTGTGACGGATGGGTCTCTTACCATCTTAACGGGTAGTCAAAAACGATAGCCTTCATGCTTTACGGTCTCTGTCTCAAACTTTTGACCTACATTAGTAAAAAGTTCATCTAATGGTTTAGTTGTAGCAACTCTAGAATTTTCTTTTTCTATTGAAAGCATATTTTATCTAGAATAAAAATGTCAAATGAAACAGCGTCTATGAGAGAAATACAACACAACGACAACTCATTATACAAGCTCTAAATAAGAACACAACAAACTTTTCAAACTATTTAAGATATCTGAGTCATTGAAAGAAGGAAACTTAAAACTGACATTAAACCCAATGACAGATGAGTTTCTATTCAAGACAAGAAGAACCATACTGTCTGTATAAATCCAACAAAAGGAACTTTAAACGAGAAACCTATAAATGAACTTCTTTTGAAAGCAGATGTTGACAACAAAGCTGACAAAACATATGTAGACGATGCAATAGCAAAAGAAGAAGAAGAGCTAACAAAGCTTATGCAACAAAAGAAACATACTCATCCTGAACTAGCAGACAAAACATATGTTGACAATAAAATGTCAAGTGAAGTGACAAGAGCTGAAAACGAATATTCTAAAAGACTCATACACATACCATTGCAAATATTACAAACTTACAAGAAACCTTAAACAGTAAAAGTGACGTTGGACATACACATACCATTGCAAATATTACAAACTTACAAGAAACCTTAAACAGGAAAAGTGACGTTGGACATACACATACAAGTTTTACAACTTTTACAGCAGATGATATAATATTGAACTTTGACCTTGGTTCAAGTGCACCTTTAGAGAATCCAAGCACTAGTGTAAAAGATACTCTTAACAATTTAGATAACAGTTGCAGGAATATCGAAGATCATGCCAGAAACTTTGAAGCATATGAACTACCAACAATGTTAGATAAGAAAGCAGACAAAACAGAGCTTCAAACATTAAAGACAGAAATACTTCAAACATTATATCCTATAGGCTCTATTTATAACGTCATGAACTCTACAGACCAGAAACAGTTCTGGGTTTTGGTACGTGGACTCAAATAGTCGACAGGTTTTTGTATTGTGCAAACTCTTCAAAGGAAACAGGTGGAAGTAAAACGATTTCAGGTGCAAATTTACCTGCACACAGTCACTACATAGATTTAAGTACATCTCGAGATGGTTGGCATAAGCATAGATATTGGGATTGGACAGGAATGACAAAAGGTAAAGGATATGATGTTAAAGACGACGTTCAGTTTGCTATAAATTGTTACTTGAGTAACACTGAGGAAGGAGGAAACCATATACATCGCGTTTCAGGATATACGCAAACAACGGGACAAAGTAAAGACTACATGCCACCTTACATGACAGTTTACGCATGGTATAGAAATGCTTAGTCGTCATTTTCAACTTCTTTAGCATATTCGTCAGGAGTTGTCTTATATTTGTTAGGAACTGTCTTTGAAAGTATACCACCTTGAACTTTGACAAGTTTGAAACGAGGTCTGACAATAGTAGTTTTATCTTCTGCTTGCAGTCTGTACATTTTGCCATGTTTGCCTAAAACTTCATAATATTCTCTTGTATACTTTCTTCTATTTTTACGAACACGAATGTGAGTACCTGTCGGGTTCCCATTGGTTCATAGTCAATAGTATTTTCATATGGGTCGCGTTTAGGTATTTCTATTTTTACTTTGTCACCTTTCTGAAGTTTGAAGCCGGCATTCTTTCTTGTTTGTCTCTTTTGACTAAATTATTAAATATATAGTCTTTCTCTAAGTCAGGGTTGTTTTTCATTTCTTCGGGGGAGTGGTTTCCCAAACCTTTTTGTTTACGGTTATTGTAAATATTTAAAACTTGTCTCATCTTTGCCATGGAGAAGTGTCTATATTTGTCGTCATA